AATCACATCCTGTCCGCGTGCCTAATGTAAGGATTTTCTCCTTCAGAACCAGCAGCACTCAGAGATAAATTTTGGTTGAGTCGTTTGGATTCGTATTGGTCCTAAGTCGATTCCCCGTGGCCAATATACGATCAACTTATCCTCTGGAGTATGGGCAACCTCAAGTATTTGGCACTAACAAAATATAATCAAGTATATAATACAATATTTCTAGGCACCCTATGGCTGGACACCCCCACTACTTTACTAAAGAAAGCCCCCAGGTTATGATAGTTCATTATCATAACCATGTTAACACATATAATGAAGATATCATACACATACAACTGCTAAACACTTAAGAAGGTGACATAGAGAAAAACCTAAGTCAGCCATGAAAAGAATGAATGCATGTATTTAGTATAATATCTGTACAAAACACAATTGAAGTGAATTCCAGCTATCAGTGAAAGAATTTCAGCACTAATGTCTAGATCCTAAAGAACCTAGCCGTACAGCCGGTCCTGAGGTGACTACTATGTCATCATGGGAACCAATGGAGCTGTGAGGAAACAAACAGCAATTGAGCATCAGACTTAGCTTCTGTCCTTTCTGCCTATGATGCCTCCCTACAGCTCCGGATGATTTTGACCTGTCTTTGACTCTGGGAATTCTGCTCCACTGGATCAAGTAGCAGCAAGAGTACTTCACTGTACAGCAACTGTACTGGTATCTAGCATGTCTATATCACCAGTAAGGACACACAATGTCTTAGAGCCACATTACTCTGGCACTGGTAGCTGTTTGAGGCACAATCTCCCCCATTTTTGGAGATGTCAGGAACCTTCACAGGTGTTAGCTGGTGGGTAACACAGTTGGTTCTGTGTGGTTTGGATTGGTGGTTGGATGTTGTTGAGACTGTGAATCTTCTGCCAGCTCTTCAGAAAAATATACATCCCAAGCATATGTAAAACTAAATATCTTTCCAGATTGCCTTGAAAAATTTAAAGTATACAGGCACAGATTAACACATCTGGAGGCTTGAGAAGCTGGCAAGGAGAATCGCGTCAGATAGACATTTCAGGCGTCGGTACAAAAGAAGTTCCTTGTATACTGGGGCAAGGAGTAAATCGGTTTCCAAGAAACCTCAATTAACTCCCTAAATATATCCCCAAAAGAAATACATTTAAAAGTGGAGTTTAGTTAAAGTAACCAGAAAAGGCAGACATAATAATGTTGTCCAATACAGGCCTATATATATAGATATAAGGGACTATATATTTCTGGGCGAGTCCAAGTTTAAATTTTGTGCAGATTACAGGTAAGACAGGTTATCAGCCTTACAAACCGATGTGTAATGACTATCATTTCACGACAATTCCGGTGCCCCATAAAAGGGAAAACAAAACTACCCGTGTGCATCCCGATGCCCCATAATAGGGAAAACAAAACTACCCGTGTGTATCCCCGTGCCACATAATAGGGAAAACAAAACTACCCGTGTGTATCCTCGTGCCACATAATAGGGAAAACGAAAATCTACCGAATGCCTGATAAAAAGCATGTCGTACCAGTCAACTGTTTATAGGTTTTCTTCAAAGTCTGAGTGACAAGGAACCACTAGTCTGCACACGGACAAGCCAGATCTGTAAGACGCATGTGGACGCAACACTTTTGGAACAAGACTAATTAAAAATAGACTGATACCTAGAACATTCTGCCAGAGTTTACAGACGGTGAACGCGAAGAAGGAATGAAGAAGGAGTGAAGAAGAAAAAGAAGGAATAAAGAAGAAGAAGGAGGAATGAAGACGACAAATATCTAGGAATAAGAAAAAGAAATTAGGAAGAAGAATAAGGAATGAAGAAGAATAAAGAAAAAGAATGAATGAAGAAGAGGAAGAAGGAATGAAAAAGAAGAAGAAAAAATTAAGAAGAAGAAAAAGGAATGAAGTAGAAGAAGGAGGAATGAAGAAGAAGATTGGCAAACCACGTTCAGCTGTAAATCTGGAGCTGGCCGTGGGCAAACAAATATAATAATATGCCTAACATTTCTTCTCTTTAGCATTCTCTGGCTTAAAACTCCAGCATAAAGTTCGGGTTGTTCGTCCACTTCTGTACGTCAATCTTGTTCTAAAACTTTGATTGTGCATGCAGATCAGTTGAAACTATTGACCTACTTGTATTCAGACTACTGGTAGCTCCCTGTTCAAGCAGATGCACTGTTAACGTTTAACCCTAATTAGTCAACTTTTACAATGTGTTTTTCAGTGAGGCAGTGATTCTGTTTTTCCCTCCTTAAATGGGACCACGGAATCACAAACACAAAGGGAACGTTGCGGCTAGAGAGCCTTCATCAGCACATTACACGAATATACAGAACCACAAACACAAACGACAAGTGAATGTTGCGGCTAGAGAGCCTTCATCTGCACATTACACGAATATACAGAACCACAAACACAAACGAAAAGTGAATGTTGCGGCTAGAGAGCCTTCATCTGCACATTACATGAATATTATCAACAACCTCTTTATGCCGTAGGGCATATGGCTCGAGTTACAGGCCGATGACAGATAAATCTACCCTAAACACGCCGAGTACGAACACTCTTCGAGCACACACAACAATCTTTAATGTACAACGGTCATCAAACACCTGGTCTCCCCCCCCCCCCCTTCCTCCTTTTCCACCGCCACGAGGGCGTAAGCGCCCCTACCCGCAGGCGGTGATGGCTTTACAACTCACCATTCACCCCTTCCCGTTCCCGTCGATAAGCACCAGGCAAAAACCCACACTTCTTTCGACATGCTCTTTCCGCTGTCGCTAGCCCCAACACGAGGATCGCGAGGCACGCACGGGATGAGTGGCCCAATGTCTGAGGGCAGAAAATGTCACCGCAACCAATACCCAACAACCTTAGATAGCTAATCTAACCTAATCTAATTCAATAACCGTAACCACGTAACAATTCTACAAGAGCTAACTTCGTCAAACACCCTACAACATATTTACAAACACGATCTAACGAAAACGAAACTCTATCAGTCACTACCACCGTGGATAAAACTCTACGCTCCAACTGTCCAGTACTAGATGTCGCCGTCACAATGTCCTAGAATCTTCTCCCCCAAATCTCATCTGTGCAAGCGTCTTGTTCTACCTTCACCGCTCACCTCCAACTTCCGGTTACCCAAGAATTGTCCCAAACGTACAGCTCAGCCGATCACATCTCACACCGTCGTCTGTCCGTCTGGCCTGATCCACAGTTCATGTACAGCTCAGCCGATCACATCTCACACCGTCGTCTGTCCGTCTGGCCTGACCCACAGCTCACGTACAGCTCAGCCGATCACATCTCACACCGTCGTCTGTCAGTCTGGCCTGACCCACAGCTCATATACAGCTCAGCCGATCACATCTCACACCGTCGTCTGTCCGTCTGGCCTGACCCACAGCTCATTTACAGCTCAGCCGATCACATCTCATACCGTCGTCTGTCAGTCTGGCCTGACCCACAGCTCATGTACAGCTCAGCCGATCACATCTCACAGCGTCGTCTGTCCGTCTGGCCTGACCCACAGCTCACGTACAGCTCAGCCGATCACATCTCACACCGTCGTCTGTCAGTCTGGCCTGACCCACAGCTCATATACAGCTCAGCCGATCACATCTCACACCGTCGTCTGTCCGTCTGGCCTGACCCACAGCTCATTTACAGCTCAGCCGATCACATCTCATACCGTCGTCTGTCAGTCTGGCCTGACCCACAGCTCATGTACAGCTCAGCCGATCACATCTCACACCGTCGTCTGTCCGTCTGGCCTGATCCACAGCTCATGTACAGGTCAACCATTACCGACGTCAAGAATTATCACTTTCATACTCCTGATCCCATACTTGCACTGACCTTTGACAAATTTACAATACCACAAACGACAAGGGATCTTTTCGGCTAGAGAGCCTTCATCAGCACATTACATGAAAATACAGAAACAAAAACAACAAGTGAACGTTGCGGCTAGAGAGCCTTCATCAGCACATTACATGAATATACAGAAACACAAACAACAAGTGAACGTTGCGGCTAGAGAGCCTTCATCAGCACATTACATGAATATACAGAAACACAAACAACAAGTGAACGTTGCGGCTAGAGAGCCTTTATTGGGACATAACAAGGAATTTCGATACCACAAATAGGAGCAATAATACCACAATCTTAACTGATTTATCTCTGTGAGAAATTGCATTTTTTTAAAAAGAAATTACCAGTCCAATATTTCGTGGTGCTACTGAGGATAAGATCAGATCACTTGTGGATCTGTCAGGAGTGCTCCGAGGATAGTCCTAACTAATCACTAATCACTAACAGCAAATGCCCTGATGTGCGATCATAATGATAAAAACAGTTTGAATAAAGAGACATGGTTCAATGCTGCAGTTTTCGCATACCTTTATTTTTGTTCCGGGACTCGCAGGCGTCGATGGAAATGAAAGAGCTGATAGGTTGACTGAATCCGCTATCACTACCGACGGTCAGCCTATGGATCATGTTGATATTAATAATGCCCTCAAAGAAATGGGAAGGATAGAGGACTTTGGGAACAGTGAATCCACATCACTCGCTAGAATGGCAGACTTGGGAATTAAGATCAGCATAGCAAAAAAAAAAAAAAAAATCGAGACTCACACCAGACGACTTGTTTGTTAATCAACATAGAAGTGGTACTATTAGCCATCGGACGTTGGGGTTCATACTGAGGGGAGGATCTGAGCACCTATGGACATGTCCAACTAACTAACTAATGATAAAACCGAAAAACATATTTAACGTAACAGGAAGTAAAAGACAATAGTAAACGAAAAGATAGAACCTATGTCAACTCCATCAACAGTTGAATATTATACAACCGTTAACAAGAGATAGAGGGCTGGTGGCGGTTTCTCACAAGGAGTACATAGTTAAAACTATAACCTCGTTTACTGCCAGTTTCTGGTTAGTATATAATCCCAACAAAATGTCAAAAATTGAAGTGCCAGTTAAACCGCACGTTTTTAAAGCCATGCAGACAATCGACACAGAAGCTCTGGCGTCTGCTTCGGATGACGATCTGCGGCCTGTTTTAGCAGGACTGGTCAGAATGGCGTTGTGTGCACCGTTAGACGCAAGCGTCCACGGCAAACAGACCAGGATGAAAATTTTAGCCATTCTTTCCAGACTGGAGGTTGTGAATAGTATTGTTGACATGCTTTCTATTGATTTTCATGCACTGGAACAAGATGTGAAGAAAGAGCAACAACTGAGGTGCGTCTAAATTATACTCTCTAATATTATTTATTTATATAACTAATAGATTTTTGGCTCGCCTCCGAACTTCTACCCGATATTATGGCGGCAAAACAAATACCCTAACAGGGCCTCAGTCCTATGCAGAATGCAGACCTTTTTGCCGCGGCAAAACTAGGATCGGCTCCTAATAAAGAAAAAAATGCTCTTACAGGGTCTCAGCGATATGTTAATTGCAGACCTGTTTCAATGCCGCACCGCCGAAAGTATCCCCGCTACGCGCAGCGCGGATGGGAAACTAAACTAGATGGCTGGGACTCAGGAGCAGCAGCTACCGCATCTCCTGCAACTTCCTCCAATTTTTTTGAGTCCCAGGCATCTAGTTTAGATCCCCATCTGCACCACGCTTAGCGGCGCGGGTGATATGTTAGATGGTGAGTTTAATCGGAAGAACACTATCTCTAATGTGCATCGAAGCGATTGGTCTCCCCGCCATCTCCATATTGTTATCTGTAATGTTGCGTTTCTCGAAATTGTCGCTAGTATCATCTGCTAGTATCGTCTGCAGAAACGCTCTAAATTGTCAACAGTCGCTATTATCGCCTGTACTATCGTCTGCAGTGTTATGTCTCTTGAAATTGTCAAGTAATTCTAGTTTTGCCGCTATGTGTTCGTCACAGGAAGTCTGCATTTTACACACGACTGAGGGTGTTTGTGTGGCCGCCATAATATCGGGTAGAAGTTCGGAGAAGAGCCTAATTTTTATTGTTTACTTAATTTGTTTATTTTGTAATAATTTAATGAATAATAATTAATATTTATAATTTTATTCAAACTTTGTTTACATTTCTATGTGTGTTCTCATACATTTCTATGTGTGTTCTCATACATTTCTATGTGTGTTCTCATACATTTCTATGTGTGTTCTCATACATTTTAAACAATAAGTGGTTGCTGAGATTACCAAAATGGGTTCTCATCCGAAGGATGAGTCTGAACGATCACGTTTAAAAACATACCTACCAGGGACTCAGTGATGTGTAAAATTAGGAATTCTCTCCGGCAAATATGGCAGGCCGAACATCGGCTCTCTGACACAGATTAGCAATAATGTTTTATCGATTGTTGATGTGGCTGCTGGAGACATTCTTTGCCTTAGGGTTGGGGTTAATGTATTGTAGATCCTAATTTTTCAATAATCTATCACTCCTCTAAATAACGGCCACAAATTATCTAGGTCAACATCATCATTGAGGCCCTGTTAGGGTATGTTTTTAAATATTATTATTCAGACCCATCTTTCGGAAGAGAGCTCCAAAAAAGGAAATCCAATTATATCGTATGCAACTCTCTGTGTTATTATGCAGCCATAAGTTTTTTTTGAATTAACAACAGTAACACAGTGTCAATGAATCACTTACTATTTTAGTTAGTTGCGCAAATTGATCAAATTAAAAAGTAATTGAAAATAACATTTGAGATCACTTACTTGCCAGTCTAGTTGTCTTAGGTTTAAATCTGCATCAAGTCAGAATAACATTAGAATTCTTCTTCTTCTTGTTCTTCTTCTTCTTCTTCACTTCCTCTTTTACCGCTGTGGGTGTCGAGGGAGATATAAGGTTCTGTTTCTTCTTGTTCACTGGCTGTAAACTCTGGTGGACAGTTCTGGTTGTTTGTCCACCTCTGGACTTTAGTGTTATTCTAGAACCTGAGTGTTGCGTGCACATCCATTTAACAGATCTGACTTAGTTGTATGCAGATTGTTAGTTCCTTGCCTCTCAGGCAGATGCACTCCTGACTTTAAAGGAAGCCTCTAATTAGTCGACTTGAATGGCATGCTTGTTGGGGAGGCAGTGGGTCTATTCTTGTTTTCCCCACAATGGAAGAGAACATTAGAACTGACAACATGTAACTTGGTTTTATTATTTCAAACTGTATAATTTAGAATTCTGTATTTTGGCCAGCTTTTAATAGCTGCTGATGTCTTACCAGTGTTGAATTAACAATCAACATCACAGCACTCGGTACACTCCCATAAGTGCTCAGTCCCATCTGGTAACACCTCGCAGCGCCATTCTCCTTAGACCATAATGATCTATCTGTACCTCCGCACTGTTCGCTCGCACCCAAAGGGCAATCACAATATCTCACTTGTCATACATCAGTTCATCACCAAGTGGTGCAGAGCCAGCCAGTCTATCTGCCTGCTCATTTCCCAACACACATTCATGCCTGGAGAAAATATCCAAAGGATGCTGACTACCCGGGGCTGATATCTTATCAGTGTGTGTCATTATCAGAAATGATCAGGGGAAGGAAACTGGTGCTGGAACATTTAAATAGAGGCTGATTAGGTATATAATAACTAATGACATTCAGCACAGCACGTACAGGCTATTTACAAAGACAGCAAATCAAATGGTTAGCCTACTTAGAGAGAATGTCAGGCCATATAAGGCATACAGTACACTATAAGAGAAGGTTGTGGGGTGCAGGGCAGACCAAGAGCAAGCTTTCTTATGAGGGTCCCGGGGCACCATCTTTGAGGGAATAAGAATAGATCCACTGCCTTCTAACAAACATCTCTTAAAAATCAACTGTAAAGTTGTATTGCATGCAGATTCTGTAACTTCTTTGTTCCTCTTTGCGTTCACCGGCTGTAATTAGTCAACTTGGGGAGGCCATGGGTCTATTCTTGTTTTCCCCACAATGGAATAGAACATTTGAATTTTTAAGAAAAGAGACAAATACAAGTGAAAATTATAGATGAATATCACTATTATCTACAAGCTATAAGATACTATCGGTGGTACTGCTAAACAGGCTAAAACCATGCGTCGAAGACACATTAGGAGATTACCTAACAGGAATCCGGCAGAACAGATCAACAATAGATCAGATATTTATTTTATGGCAATTAGCAGAGCAAAACTAGGAATATCGAAAAGGTGTACATACGGTTTTTGTGGATTTTGAAAAAATATATGATAGTGTACATAGAAAAAGTTTATGGAATGCTATGAAGGACTTTGGAATACTAAAGAAATTAATTACCATGACCAAACTATGTATGGAAGACACATAATATAGTAATATATAAAGGCAGAAAGTCAGACCCTTTTCAAATAACATCTGATTTAAAGCAAGGTGATGCTCTGTCCCCACTTCTTTTCAACTTGGCCCTGGAGAAAATTATAAGGAAATTGAAAGAATACTTGGTAAGGCAGATGACACTGAAATCCTTGGAGAAAATGAACTGGAGACTGTTAAAACACTGACTCTCTTAAAAGAAGCAGCTCACAAAATGTGACTAGTTATCAATCAAGATAAGACAGAATACATGATAATATTAAGACAGGGAAAGGATATTAACTCTGGCCACATACAAGACGATAATAGAAAATCAAAAGAACGAAAATATATCGTAGTTGGGTGCAAACTTCAACTGCTCCAACATGCTGAGAGAAGAAATACAATCTGGAAATAAAGTATACTATGCCCTTCAACATCTGACAAAGTCAGAGTGTCTGTCTCGCAACACCAAGATCAAAATATGTAAAACGTTGATATGACCAATTGTTTATATGGCTTTGAAACATGAAGCACAGCTAAAAGAGATGAAGCCTCATTACAGATTTTCGAAATTTGGAGTATTAAGACGAATCTTTGGACCCATTAAAGATGAAAACAGCAGGAAATGGAGAGTTAGAAGCAACAACAAAATTCAAAATCTGTTTAAATCACCATTGATCATTGGCATCATGAGATCTAATAAGACTGAAATGGTTTGGGCATATTGAGAGAATATCAAATGACAGAGAGGTAAAAACTGTATACACAAGGAAGATGAATGGTCATAGACCATGAGGCAGACCAAGAAGATGATGGAGAGATAATGTCCAGACAGACCTGCAAACACTGGGTATCACCACCTGCAGAGAGATGAGTGAAGATGGATGACATCTGCAGCAATGAACCTCAAGGGCTTGGAATGCTGAAGAAGACAGCATGAGAAGGGTGTACAGAATGTCGTAGAATGATAGAAAAACAAATACCTCCTCCTAATCAGAGATGAAAGTCGTAAACTGATACGGAAAATTATATGCAAAGTTTTTTTAAAAAGACGTTTTACAAGAAGAAATGGGCTCAGAACTTTGTGATTACTAACAGGATTATGGGGGGGGGGGGGGGGGGGGGGGGGGCAAGGTCAAGTCAGAAAGATAAATACCTGGATGGTTTGGTCATGTGGAGGGAGCGATATGAAAGCATTGCTCTTCTCTGTGAGGGTTCTTAATGTTTATGAAAGGTTCAAGAACAACCAGGAAATGATGATGGTAGCACTTGATCTCGAGAATATGTAAAATAGAATTAGATACAATATTTTAATGGCTGCACTGATGGAGAAGGGGGTCAGTCTGGTTGGTGAATTGAATAGCAGCTGTAGTCTCGTTGGGTTGCTCTCCATCTGGGTTCATGGACCTTATTTTATCTGTGGGACTGCCACAGAGATCCACCATCTTGCCTGTGCTCTGTAACGTGTATATCAGCAGAATCGTAAGCCTAGAAGCCCCAGGGATACTGACATTTATAGATGATATTCTCGCTTAAAGACGGGAGAGATAGGGAACAAACAGCTCAGGAGCTACAGGTGACAGTAGACAAAGTGACTGACTGGTGAACAGAAATTAGAGCTGTCGTCCACCCAGAAAAGGTATCTGTTTTGTGGTATTCTCTAGACCCTAGGATTGTTAGAGTTGATGTCCCAAGTCTCACGATAAATTGTAGAAACATAACCAGAGAGCAAACTGAAGTATCCGAGGATCACATTTGACACGAGCCTGACCTTCAAGGACCATGTGGAGATGGTTGTGATAGGATGCCAAAAGAGACTCAATGCACTTAAGACTGACTGCAATGGACATAGAGCAGAGAATGATTTCACACTATATCAACACCTGATCCTTTCAGTGATCGATTGTGGACTAGGGCTGCTCACTGTTTCAGTGAGTCAGCTTGTTAAAGTAGAGCACATACAACACCCCAGTAGTGTGTATGCGATACATCCTTTGTTTGCCAACTGTTGCAGGTAGAGGATCAAGGTGCTGCAGGCAAAGTCATACCTCAGAATAGTTGCAGACACAGATCACCCTTTGCGTGAAGCGCTGGATGCAGTAAAGGGTCTGTGTCTGATAAGAGGGAAGTCAAAGATGGCTCCGGTGGAGGTCACGATTACACTGATTTGCATCCTGGAGAACATTAGGCGAGAAAATGAGTGGGTCAGTGTGCCAGCAGAACAGACTTTTGTACAGTCATAATCACATTGAGCTGGGAGTGCCGGGACTAGTAGGTGCCGCAGAGGTGGAAATTCAGCAATTAATTCAGTATAATGCTCGCTCAGGTGACGTGATTATCTGTACAGATGGTTCAGTGTCAGGAGGCAAAAGAGGTGCCTGGGGGTTCTTAGTAAAAACTAATAGCAGATGTTTGGTGCAGAAGAACCTAGCATATGATACCATAACATCCAGCTTAAGAATTGATGCAGTCACTGCAGCAGTCCGCTGACTATAGAGCTTGATATACACACATATCATGATTGTACTTGACTCAGAAAGCATGTTGAGGAAAGTGGGAACAGGCATGCTTTGCTTCCGAGTTCAAGGGTGAAGAGCAATGTCACAATCTTTTCTTAGGGTATACTAGTGTTTTGGAAAATGAACAGGCAGACAGATTGGCTGGCTGTGCATAACCTGGTGGAATATTGACTCATGATAAGGCAGATGTGGTTAAGGCCTTATGGGAGCACATGTACAATTTGGAACAGCAAATGGAGGATCACAATGTGTGTTGAGGGACTTTGGCCAATACTTGACACTCAGAGGAAAGGCAAGATGAACATATAATCAGACTGCTACTGTCACCACTGGTATGGGAACTCTGCTGAAGATTGGGACAGAGCGCTTATGGAAATGTCCCGCGTGCTGTGATGTCAGTTCTTGAATCAAATCAAATCCTTATCTGTGACCTCACGAATGGCTAACCCTAAAAGTCTATGCTGTCAGCTGGGCACATGAAGATGAGATTGACTTAATGCTCAGAGGAAATAAAACCAAAGGTAACAGTAATCACATAGTGGCTGTTATCATCATCGAGTGCCTCGTCGACCGGCTTGGACGATCGTGCCTATCCGCGTTTGTATCGGTCTTGATCTTGCCGTTGGAGCATGAGAAGGCCAGATTTGTGTGTGTTAGTATTTTTTATGTTACCTGGCCTCTGGCTTTCACAGTATATTTTTTCGTGAGCTCAAGTCGCAGACCCATCTACACTTAAGTATAGGTTACTTTGTAACCATTTTAAGGTGCCCCCGTATAATTGTTAAATGGCTGAATGGAGTTTCTGGAATTGTTACCTGTCTGTGATTCTCTTCCTTGAAATGTTTGTCCTACAGACTGCAATCCTGGAGTGAAGGACCCTCTTCCCGGCCTTCAGGCATATTTGACATATGATGCCAAATCTTTATTTTACTGACCATTTGTCACTTGGTGGCTGATGAGATCAACACCACACTGGCCATCTTTACTTCCCAGGCCTGTACCTGGTACCCATTTAAATCTTGTCAACCTGGGAGCCATTTAAAAAAAAAGGTCCTGCTCTGTTAGACAATCCTAGAGGGAAAACTGCCTTTTTTTTCAATTTCTTTAAACTTCCTGTCAGCTGTATATTATTCTTCTTCTTTCCTTTGCTTGAAATAGATCTACATATGCAGTATTGCCTCTAATATGAACTTCACTGTCAGCGACGTGTAAAGTTTTACTTGCATCGGTTTTTCTCAAGACCAAAAGTTTTGCCTTGATGTTTTGTATTTGGGACAGTCTTGGAGGACATAATCTGTTTCTCAGGGACTAATCCGTATGTGCACATGGCTGATGCGCTTAAATTTTATGTACATGTGGCTGCCAAGTCGATTATGTCCTGTTCTAAGGTGTAGAAAAATATATTGCTTGGGTCTGTCCATTGTATGGTAGCTTTATTTTGATCTATTTCAGAGCCAAGCTTGGTGGTAGCATGACTGAAAGTGTGTTGGTGTCTCAACTTCCCAATGGACTGGTCTTGGAGTTTGAGCGTAGTTCAAGTGACCCAGCTCAGAGGATCCGACTGTTGCTGAGTGAACTGTTATTTATTTCTTCAGAGGTCAGTCTTTGCAGGATATATTTCATTGTCATATATCAATCTTTCCTCACATTTTAACAGATTCTAGGTTGCAGAGCCAGGGTTCATTCGGTTGCTTGGTATGCTGATTTGTTATGGAGTCTTAGGTTGTCAATGACTCCTTCTGTCCATTTTCTTCTGGGTCTCCCTCTGAGCCTTGGTGTTTCCATTTTCTTGTTGTACACTCTTGCTGCTGGCACCGCCAGATTCTTTCCCACTTGCTGGCCAAAACATTTCGGTTGAGCTTTTACTTTTTAGTTATAATATGTAGGTGGTTTCTTGCACAATCAATGTACACACACTTTGAATTATACACATATTCATAATGTACAATATTTACTGTGTATTAGACGACCCCTATTTTTGTTTAGACGGAAATTAATAAATAAATATTTAAAATACATTCCATGTATAAGACTAGCCCTTATTTTGAACTTAAATTGGAAAACATATACTCTTATACATGGACAATTACGGCATATACCTCTCACCTGTCTTGTCTCCAAGTCACTTCCTATCTGGTGTCTGATGAGTCAGCAAGAGTACGTGCAGACAGCATTTGTTTTCAAACTTGCATGGATATTTCAGCCTGCAGTTATTGCGTCTAGTCTTTTATATAGTTATTCATCCATGTTTTTATACGCAGATTCTCCATATGGGTTCTGGGGCCACATAGTGGGGAAAAGACAAAAAGTGACCCGCTGCCTTCCCCTAAAGCATGTCGTAGGAGTTGACTAATTAGGGCTTCCTTCAAAGCCTGAGCAGCATGGAACAACCAGCTGCAGACAGATAAGCCAGTAAAATGAATGTACATACAAACGGTAACAGAGCCAGAGGTGACCACACAAAATATGGACCGCAGAAATATCAGAGACACTGAAATGTACAAAAGGGCCAGTTTCAGAGATCTCTTCCCATCCTGACGCCTTGAGGCATTTCAGGTGTAGAGAAAAAAAGAAGAATGGGTGTACACTAAAAACTCAGATCCTGGGTCAAAGTCCAAATGGACGAACAACCAGGACTTTCTGCAGGTGTTTACAGCTGATGAACAAATAAGCAGATACACAGATGAATGCTTCTTCTTTCTCTTGTCATCTCACTGATACCAGGTTGTAGCCCTGTGTCGTGGTTTTCTGTATTTGCTTGCACTTGTCGGGTGGCTTGGGTGATGGGTGGGTTTCAGCTACACCATTTATCCTTCTCTGTCTTGGTCTTCTCCTCACCTTCCTCTCAGATATTCTGCTCTAAACATTCTCGGTTTTGTCTGACTGCATTCTCACAAGATGGCTGAACCATTTCATTCTTTTGTCTGTCAGTATATTTCAGACACAAGATTTTATTCCTCTCCAGTGCTGGTATTCGTAACCATGTGCCTATGAATGCTTTCTAGCTTACATAGTCCATTTGTCATCTGTGATTGTGTTTTATTGGGAAGCTGACCTGTGCTACCTCTCATTTGGATTTTTTTTTTTAATGGTAATACATACATCCAGCATAGATAACATCAGTGTAGATAACAACAGCAGAGATAACATCCAGTGTAGATAACATCAGCATAGATAACATTGTGAATGCAACCCCTGGTGGCTTACAGAATACATTGTTCAAGCAATGTTACCCTACCACAAAGTATGCATCTCTTTCTGAAACCGTCCCTCGGGTGCACCTTTCTACGGCAGTCCTTTATTACAGCCAACTATCTGTCACAGCAGGGACTGTGTCTGATCTGACTGAGCCATTCGAATTTACTGTCCCCTTCTTGGAGCCAGTCATGCCGACCTTGTGTGCATAGGGAATTCCCTGTGTCAGTGTTTTTTAACTACTGCGAGTTTGAGTATGCCTGCTGAATTTTAGTAATACAGTGAGATCCTATTTTGGCTACGGGACACCAGTAGCACACATATATCTTTGTGTAGGGGTCAGCAGTCCGAAACCCAAGTTCAAGGTGTCTCCTTCGTGTCAAAGAATTGCATTGCTGTTGGGTGAACAGTCGTTAACGAAGGCAGTCAGGTCGTTGTTGGAGCGACGCATGCTGGTGGATGTAATGTCCTAAATCCCTTCCCCAGCTAATAGTAGGGTACTGCTGGGGTGACAGTTTATTAACCCTCACATAATGCTTCAGGTCCAAATGAACACTAGGCACTTACACTATTTTGAGCCGAGGCATAAATTTTTGCTTCTGCCAGACTGTGGCCGTTGCTTTTTTGCTCCATTTGTAGACCGGAAGTATATAGTTTCATTGCCCAGCTTCTGAGTTGAGTGCATGGTGTGACACTGTGAGCTGCGGATTTCATTTGGAATGTTTTTCGACTGACCAACGTGGTGGTGTGATTTGTAGATTCAGAAAATGGAGCGATGCCTGTTGTCGCAATATTGGTGGGGCCATTATTTGATTAAATTGATTGCGTGTGCAACTGCTGATCCTTTGGTGACTTCAATGATGAACTGCATTTCTAACGTCAGACTGTTTGTGTTAGCACTTCGGATGGCTACCATATGCTTTTAATGCGAGTGTATGCTAGATTTGCTGAGACAGCAGTTTGTCAGTCTTTCCACAAGGGACTGTGATACACATTCTGTGTTTTTCGTTGGCACAGGAGCGGAGCAAAGATGGGGTGACCCGTTTGCTATGAAGCTGAAATTAAAACTACCAGATTATCAGTATAGATAACATCAGCATAGATAACATCAGCATAGATAACATCAGTATAGATAACATCAGCATAGATAACATCAGCATAGATAACATCAGCATAGAATAGATAACATCCAGTATAGATAACATCCACTATAGATAACATCCAGTATAGATAACATCCAGTATAGATAACATCCAGTATAGATAACATCAGCATAAAGAATGTATTACATTGCAAGGTTGTTGCCATTCATGACTTTTTCTTGTCCTGTCAGTCCACCATGCAACCAGTAGCACAGTGCTGGCTCAGACCTTGCCATGAGGCTCTGGTTGTTTGTCCACTTCTGGACTTTGGTCTTGTTCCAGAACTTGAGTTTTGCACGCACATACGTTTTACACATTTAGCTAATTTGTATTCCTCATCGCTTAGGCAGTTGCCCTCCAACTTTGAATGAGTCACTCTTTTAAACTTGGACTACATGCCTTGTTAGGGGGCAGTGCGTTTATTCTGTTTTTGTGCCAAAAATGGTTCCCCAGAACCCACATGGTGGATAACCTGTACTGCTTTCATTATCATCATGCTGATAAGCATATGATCACCAGAACTACAGATTATGTCAGTGTTTTTGTCCTGCTCCGTGCAAATAGACAAACAATCCATGTTTTTACCTCTTTGCCTCCCTCTTGCTGTTTTTCTGTCACTCTTCTTGGTCGTTATCCATTCTCATGTCTATTCATTCTCATGATATGTCTGAAAAACTTGACTGTCGATGTCTAACCACTCTAATCAGTTTATGGTTTTGTTCTATATTAAATGTTTGCTTTAAAAAAAAAATGGTTTTCCTCAGGTGAAAGAGCAGAAGAATGCAAGCTACCATAAACAGTCCGATTTGTTTGAGTGTTCAGTTTATACTTACGAGATACTGGATGCACTGTGTATAGCTATGGCAGGTTCGTTTATGTGTGTAGAATGTTTATAGATTTAGTAGATTTTTTTTTACAGATAACAAGTACATTTATTTGTGCAGAATGTTTATATTTAAAGATGTCAAGTACACATTTGTGTGTTTATAAATTTAGTAGACTTTAAGTAACTGTAGGTCCATTTATGTGTTAATGAAAGGTCAACCCAAGGACTTTTGTCATGCCAGTGGCACTTTGTGAAGCTAAACTCATTTTTTTAAAGACCAGTCGGCACTCATCAGCATCACGCTGGCCACCTTTACTTCCCAGCACTTGGGACGCCCTGTGAGCCAGGGTAATTTTTAGAGAGAAAAATCTGAATTTAAACCCCAGACTTTTAGTCCAACAGTCTTTTGTAACTCCTGTTTATGTGCAGTATGTTTTAAATCTTTTCTAAAAATGTGTGCTGTCTTTGCAGTGAAGTTAGGCTTAAGTGCACCCACTGCTATCTTGAGAAATATTACGTAGTGAGGCTCCCAGAGGGCCCTCACAACATCTAGCTTGTCATACATCAATTCACCATAAAGTGGTGCAGAGCCGGTCAGTCTTTCTGCCTGCTTATTTCCCAACACGCCGGCATGACCTGGAGAAAATATAAAAAAAAACGCTAACTGTATTTACAGGGAAAACCAGAATTGGCCCACCTCCTACACAGTTTACAGCTGGTGAACACAAGGAAGAAGAAGAAGTATTGGAATAAGAGGAAAGGCTAGCAGATGTGACATTCATATAGGTAGTCCATGTGGAAATACTCAACACATGTTTGATTACTAGTGTGCTTGTAGCTTAACTGATATGTAGTCTAGTGTACCATAGTGGTTTACAGGCAAGTAGATTTAAAAAACTGGCTTATTAACCCATAAAAATCTGGCACAAAAACAAATAGTCAGCTGCTCATAAACAGGTACAAATTTGGTACAGAAGCAAAGTAGAAAGCTAGCTTATAAGCTCAAAAAACTTAAATATTTTCGCAGCATGAAAAACAGGTGGTTTAGAGAAAACAATATTAATTGAAAGCTTAGTTCCTGGAAAAGAAAACACAAAAGTGGTCATTTTAAGGATAGACTATACATGAAAATGTATGTGTATTGTAGGGAACAGGCAAAGGATCAGGTCTCTCTGTGATGGGAATGATTATGATGATGATGTGTCATCTGATTTCTTCCTACCCCCTCACCTCCCAGATTATGTGAGTCCAATCAGTCTTTTCTTCTTCTTCTTCCTCTTATTCCCCAAATGTAGCATAGACTCTCCCAACCAACTCAAGCCTAAGTAGTCCTATCTTTGCTGTCAAAACATGTGTTATTTTTCTATGTTTGGTTTGGGTTTTTTAAAAACAACTGATGTTTGTTTGACAGAACTTCCCAATCTGCTCAACTTGCTGGACATATCCGAGGCCTTGCTGTGTGTAGAGAATGGTTGCAGGCTCATTTGCCAGCTTGTCGCCAACAACCCTGAAATGTTTCTTGAAGGTATGTTAGCTTTGTTTCTTTCCCTTTTGCCTTCCATAGTTTGCAATAGTTTGATTGTTTTTGTTCTTCACCTTTCCATTTTGTCTGCCATAGTTTGCAATAGTTTAATTATATTTGTAATTCACTTTTCCATTTGTTAAACTCCACCTTTCTGTGTTGTCATAGTTTGCAATAGTTTAATTATATTTGTAATTCATCTTTCCATTTGTTAAACTCCACCTTTCTGTGTTGTCATAGTTTGATTATATTTGTAATTCACTTTTCCATTTGTTAAACTCCGCCTTTCTGTGTTGTCATAGTTTGCAATAGTTTGATTATATTTGTAATTCACTTTTCCATTTGTTAAACTCCACCTTTCTGTGTTGTCATAGTTTGATTATATTTGTAATTCACTTTTCCATTTGTTAAACTCCACCTTTCTGTGTTGTCATAGTTTGCAATAGTTTGATTATATTTGTAATTCACTTTTCCATTTGTTAAACTCCACCTTTCTGTGTTGTCATAGTTTGCAGCAGTGCTTGCCCTTTCCATTTTGTCCGCCATAAATTGCAACAGGTTGATGATGCTTGTACTTGACGCTTCTCTGGTGTGCCAAAGTTTGAAGATACTTTTACCTAACCTTTCTGTTGTGCCTAACGTTGTTTAATTATCTTTTTTTTTTTTTCTTCAACTTCTGTTCTCTACTCCTGGAATGCCTCGCAGCGCCAGGGCAGGAAGAGATCCCTGGAATGGGCCCTTCTGTTCGCTTCGTATAAAGTACTTTTCTATATTTTTGCAGTCCATTTTCTGCATGGTCAATCTCTGGCTCTGTTACCGTTGTATCTGTATAACATTGCTCTCTGTGGTGCCCGGTCTGATGCCAGTCTTGTTACATGGCCAAACCATTTGATTTGTTGTCTACCTATAATGTTCAGTATTGGTTCCGTGCAGATTCTCCTCCTGATATCAGCGTTCCTAAGTCAATCTTTCTTCGTTACACCTAGCATAGTACGTAATCATTTCATTTCTGTCATGACTATTTTCTTTCTATCTTCTGAAGATAGTGCCCATGTTTGACATTGATAGCATAGCATTGATAAGAGTGTTGTGTTGAACAGTGTTGTTTTAGAGTTTATATTCACGTACATGCATTTCATAATTTGTGCCTTTTGGCCTTATGCTTGATTGACTTTATTGTATCTTTGCTGGATTTCTTTATTAATTCTTCCATCTTCTGGAAAAAAATGCTCCCCAGATATGTAAAATCCTTTGCTTGCTTTAACTGGTGTTCATCAGTTTTGATTTTTGATGGTTCTTGATATCTTTACTTAACCTTTCTGTATCTTGTCTGTAATAGTTTGCAATAGTCTGACCGCCCGAGGGGACAAGCTGGACGAGGAGTCCTTGTCGGGAAGGCGGAGATTACAGCTGCTGAGAATGCTATGTCTTATGGACCCGAAAACTGCTCTCACCGTTAGAAATTATTGTGTAAGTTCATGTTTATGTTATGAGTTAAAAAACAAATCTCTTCTTCGCTCAGAGTATGAGTTAAATATAGTAAGACAGTTTATGTTTTATTATAAACATTATCATCAGACTTGGTGTCCTGCGGATGTAGGAAACTCACAGAACATGGTGATTTTTTTCTTCGATCCTTCTATCAGAAAACTTATATCAGGAGGCTGGTAGCCGTTATGAAAGCTACCGTGCAGTCCATATCCTCTCGTGTACCATACAGCTTTGTCTTCATTGTAGTTGGAACAGGCCAGATTGCGTCTTTATTGTCAGCATACAGTTGACAGTGTTGGAGCACATGCTCAGCATTTTCAGGTGCCACGCTGCAGGGACACATTTCCGTGTTTCCTACACCGAAAAATTTGAACATATGTTGACGAAATCTGTTGTGCCCAGTCCTTAGTCTGAATACACTGCCCATCTCTAGAGAGGCGATGAAGCAAGTCTTGGGGAGAAAATCTGGTGTGTGTATCCAGCCACCTTTCTTGGATACTAGATTGTATTAATGTTTTCATCTCTTGGTGGGTTAAGTCTCTATTTGGTTGTACCATGTCACTGCCGCTTCTGGCCAATGAAAATGTTGATGATAAGTGAAGGTACTTCTTTTGCATTCGCCATTAAAAGGGCGATTGGTGTGTTTTATTGTAGTTCACAGCTGGGCAACATTATCAGCATTTTTTTGGTGTGGCTTAGCACATTTGGTTTCAGCAAACTTTTTTTTTTTAATTTGTCGTCACAGCATACTTGTTTGGGGGGGGGGGGGGGGGGGGTAATCTACCTACACCCCCCACCCCCATATGAGGTATCAGTGACAGTTTCACGATTTTTTACAACTTGGGTCCAATTTCTGTGGAGGTCAGTTTATTGGAGGCTAAAAACTGCTCTTGTGGTATTTGGTCTCAGGCATAGAAGTCACACCCTGAAGGGATGGAAGCATCACCACCTACCTACTCCCATAGCATCAGTAGCACACTGTAGTCAGACTTAATTATGGATGTGGGCTGCACAGAACTGACATTTTTGAAATGATTTTAGAGGTGGTTACTTCATAGAGATGACTATCCCTTCTTGTGGTGACCATTTCTTTAGAGATTACAACTTTGTCATAGAGATGACCACCTCTCATTTAACATTGTCGCAGCGTAGGTTGACCATAATATCCTCAGCAGAAAACCGAACATCCCATTAATATTTTAAGCTCAGAACCCTAAGCCCCACTATTTTTATCTAGGTCACTGAATGAATGAGTTAGTTACTCGCTCAACAATATTGTTAAAAGCTGATCCATTGTCAGCATGAACTAAACTAAAGAATGTGCTCTTTTACTGCAGTAAAAAAAAAGCACTTCAACAGTCATGCATTAAAAGTGTCAAAAACTATTATTGATAAGGTCTACAGATATAACTGTTAAGTCTTGTTCTGTTCTTTCTATGTAAGTCTTGTTCTGTTTTTGAGCTAATTCCAAAATGTTTATAAAATGAGACAATTGGGGCTTTTACTTTAAGTACCGAAGGGATGACTAGGACATGCCTACAAATGGAACTGTCCCTGTGAAGACGAGACATATGGTCGCCATATCTATGTAAATGTTTTCTTATACTCTAATTGTAAACCTGCCCCATCTTTATATTGACAGCGCCGTTTTGAAATTATCAAGAAAGATATAAAACCGAATGAAAAGTAGATAAGCAAGCCTCACAGTATAACAAATACAATCAAAACGTGAACGTGCACATACAAATGAAACAATACTACACAGAAACACAAAATCACTTAGCTGGTATCTCGTAACCAGCCGGGTTGGTTGTTTCTCAGCAGAATGTGTATATATGTGTAAATGTGTAACTAAACTGTTTTGAAATTAACACTTCACAGGTGGAGTACTGCACCATGCCAGGTTTTGCTGTCGTAGCATCCATCCAGCAAACACAGATGACGACAGCAGACAATGTAGATGAAAGCTGTAGTGACATCATTCCATTCTTCACGGGTCTTCTACTGGGGACTGATGTTGGCATTCGAAACTGGATATCTGCCTTCGTAAAAGCAGGTCAAAAGGTAATGCATTGGAAAAATTGAGTGAATCTTGTGTGCAGCAAGGGCAAATTTGTTTTTCCTAGTTGTCTACCCTGCAGCATACTTTCATGATTGTGGCTCTTCAGTCCTTTCTCTTTTTTTGGTTTTTTTTTTAAAAAATTTGATTTTTCTTTCATTCTTCTTCTGCATTCTATAAAGATGTAAAAGAAGATGCACTGTGCCCATTTTCAATATGGCTGATATAATCTACTTTCGGCCAACACATCCGACTTCTGCAGGCATTTATTGTCCGGGTTAGCCTTCCCAGACTTAACAAGACAGTATATTCCATTGTGAATTTAAATAAAGACATGACAGGGTATTCTTAGAAAATTGTTTTTCTCATTTCAGTTGAAAATATTCATGTTTTTTGCTTCCTTTTTAGTACTGTTGATTCCAGATATTCACCGCAAGAGTTCCAGGGCCCCATTGTGGGGAAAATAAGAATAGATCTGATGCCAGTAAAACAGATGTACATGCAAAACTCAGGCCCAGGCACAAAGACAGTTTCCAAATGGACGAAAAACTAGGACTTTTGGTCGAAGCTGACAGCCAGTGAAAAAAGAAGAAGAAGCAGAAGTTTCAAATATGTGTTACTTTTCTATTGGAGTAAGGCAGGCAGGCTGAGGGAGGGATCATGTTGCATGGAGGCAGGCTGAGGGAGGGATCATGTTGCATGGAGGCAGGCTGAGGGAGGGATCATGTTGCATGGAGGCAGGCTGAGGGAGGGATCATGTTGCAGGCTGAGGGAGGGGTCATGTTGCTTGGACAAGACATGATCTGTACATTACTGTTTGAGAGAAGGGAATATATCCCTAGACTTAATTGGTTGTGATTATATAACACTGTTGCCTGGAAACATGGAAAGATGCAAATGAAGTGGTTTAGAAAGTTCAGTACTAGAAGGCAATTGATATTGAATGAAGATTTCTTACATTCTGCATAGGACCTGCTACATGATGATGTTGATTGCGTGTTTGCTTGTATGTTTACGAGTTCAGTTTTTTGCAATTGTTGTTTGTTTATTTGTTTCTGGAGTTTATCTTTGGTTGATTGGTTTCATTGCTTTTGATTCTCCTGTCAGCGAAGGCCAGATGATGAGTCATGCATGCTGAACTTACTACGAAGGCACCTGCTAGATCAGCTGACACTTTTGACCCCGGCCAAAGGTCAGGTCATGGAAGAGTCCAAGATTGTGGCTGCCAGCTCCTTAATCCGCCTGTACAACGCCCTGAAAGGGATCGCCACAATGAAGTGTGTATTGGTTATGTTAACCTGTTTTCAAATGATTTATCTGTCACAGTGTATTATGGGATGGGGCCTTTTGGGGGGTAGGGCATAATTTGAAGTTGGAGAGTATCCGCCCCAGAGGCAAGGAACCAAGTGTTTGCATACAAATAAGTGCACACTACACTCAGGTTCTGGAACAAGACCAAAGTCTGGAGGTGGATGAACACCCTGAACTTTCTGCCGAAGTTTACAGCCGGTGAACAAGAAGATGGCCAACGTGTCTTTGGTCTCCTCTGTTTACCTTCATTGGTCTGTGCCTTTTTTGTCCAGAAAATATGAATTGTATTACTGTTATAGATAAGCTAAGCCACTGCAGCAATTAATGTGGCTGAATTGTTTAATGAGGTAAATGTCAGCTGTTTATTAGGTGATAAATAATGTCCCTGAATTGTTCAGTTAGATAGATGTCAGCTGTTTATTTAGGTAATAAATAATGTCCCTGAATTGTTCAGTTAGATAGATGTCAGCTGTTTATTTAGGTAATAAATAATGTCCCTGAATTGTTCAGTGAGATAGATGTCAGCTGTTTATCAGGTGATAAATAATGTCCCTGAATTGTTCAATTAGATAGATGTCAGCTGTTTATCAGGTAATAAATAATGTCCCTGAATTGTTCAGTGAGATAGATGTCAGCTGTTTATCAGGTGATAAATAATGTCCCTGAATTGTTCAATGAGGTAAATGTCAGCTGTTTATTAGGTGACAATTAATGTGGCTAAACTGTTTGATGAGGTACATGTCATGTTTATCAGGTACAGCGAGGATGAAATGAGCAGTCTCCTCAAGCTGGTCATATCTCGTCCTTCTCCGTCAAGAGCAGGGGCACATTTCATCACCCTGGGCATATGTACCCTGATGGCCAGCCCTGGACTTTTGAGGTAAACCTTTGGGCCTGTCCAGGTTGTAGTCCTTCGTCTGCTTCAGTTTGATTATGAGATTAACATTTACATTATGTGGTTGGGGAGGGGGGTGGGGGGGTGTTGCAGTTTGGCTTGTTCAGTAACAGTGTAATAAAAAATCATTTCTTACATTCTTACAGTCTGTGAATTGCTTAACATCAAGTGCATATTTGCCGCACAGTGATTTCGGTCACAGGCATGAGGTAAAGTTAAGACTGTTAAGTTGGGTCAGTAATTGACATCACAGCACTTGGTGCATTCCCATATGTGCTCCATCCCCATCTTCAGCAGCCAGTGCAGAGTTTGAATACTAAGGTGCCGGTGGTAGTCTATTTGTATGTCTGTCTTGTCTTTCCTCTGAGTTAAGGCTGTTGTGATGTGTATAAGGAAATACTCCGTACCTAACCTCAGGTGCGTTGGTTTCAACAGAGGTATCGAGAGTCCATAGAGTTGAGAAAGCAGTGACAAACTAATGTATGTAAACAAATGAATCAAAAACTGACATCACTGCTCATTACGTCAATCATTGATTGCATGATGCTTATCATTTTTTTCTCATTTCATTAATTAAATTATGCGGACACAATAATTTATTGCCCGGCATATTTCTGTATATCTCATCAGGTGCATTACTACAGTTACATTGACATATATGGAAGCACACAATAAAAAACAAATAAATTCACTGAAATGAGAATGGTCTCTCTCAATGTATCGTGTTGGTCTAGTTGCTGGAAGTTTACTTTAGTCTTGTGACTTACCAGGGTAACTTCAGGTTAATTGTGTTTGTTTTAGATTTTAGATGTTTCTCTTCTTTGCATTCACCGGCTTTAAAACTCCGCAACGTTCTAGTTGTTCGTTCAACTCTGCACAGGAATCTCATAGATCAAATGAAGAGAATCTCAGCAGAATCTTCCATTGCTCTGGCAAGAGTCCAGATTTACAGATACAAGTCTACCGCTGCCTCCACAATGAAGCTTGGCAGCACTGTGCTCATCGCAGTCTTTGGGATGTTGTGCTGTTAGACTCCCAATTGTGTCTTTGGTGCGACTCACACAGCACTCTCCAGATGCTTTTGAAATTTGTTTTTTTTTTAAAATAAGTTACCGCTTACGGAAATCAAACTCTAGCACCAGCCTTTATTTAAATGTAAATGTCTCGGGTCATCTGCAGGTCGGTAGAAGAGGAGCAGCAGGCTGTGAACTGGCTGAGGTGGCTGATGACATCAGAAGACAACTTTGAGAGGTACACAGTCTAGTTGAGTTGTGTATTTTGTTGTTGTTTAATGATTCTGTCTCCTGTGAGAGGTACACAGTTGAGTTGTGTATTTTGTTGTTGTTTAATGATTCTGTCTCCTGTGAGAGGTACACAGTTTAGTTGTGTATTTTGTTGTTATTTAATGATTCTGTCTCCTGTGAGAGGTACACAGTTGAGTTGTGTATTTTGTTGTTGTTTAATGATTCTGTCTCCTGTGAGAGGTACACAGTTGAGTTGTGTATTTTGTTGTTGTTTAATGATTCTGTCTCCTGTGAGAGGTACACAGTTGAGTTGTGTATTTTGTTGTTGTTTAATGATTCTGTCTCCTGTGAGAGGTACACAGTTGAGTTGTGTATTTTGTTGTTGTTTAATGATTCTGTCTCCTGTGAGAGGTACACAGTTTAGTTGTGTATTTTGTTGTTATTTAATGATTCTGTCTCCTGTGAGAGGTACACAGTTGAGTTGTGTATTTTGTTGTTGTTTAATGATTCTGTCTCCTGTGAGAGGTACACAGCTTAGTTGTGTATTTTGTTGTTATTTAATGATTCTGTCTCCTGTGAGAGGTACACAGTTGAGTTGTGTATTTTGTTGTTGTTTAATGATTCTGTCTCCTGTGAGAGGTACACAGTCTAGTTGAGTTGTGTATTTTGTTGTTGTTTAATGATTCTGTCTCCTGTGAGAGGTACACAGCTTAGTTGTGTATTTTGTTGTTATTTAATGATTCTGTCTCCTGTGAGAGGTACACAGTTGAGTTGTGTATTTTGTTGTTGTTTAATGATTCTGTCTCCTGTGAGAGGTACACAGTTTAGTTGTGTATTTTGTTGTTATTTAATGATTCTGTCTCCCATGAGAGGTACACAGTTGAGTTGTGTATTTTGTTGTTGTTTAATGATTCTGTCTCCTGTGAGAGGTACACAGTTGAGTTGTGTATTTTGTTGTTGTTTAATGATTCTGTCTCCTGTGAGAGGTACACAGTTGAGTTGTGTATTTTGTTGTTATTTAATGATTCTGTCTCCTGTGAGAGGTACACAGTCTAGTTGAGTTGTGTATTTTGTTGTTGTTTAATGATTCTGTCTCCTGTGAGAGGTACACAGCTTAGTTGTGTATTTTGTTGTTATTTAATGATTCTGTCTCCTGTGAGAGGTACACAGTTGAGTTGTGTATTTTGTTGTTGTTTAATGATTCTGTCTCCTGTGAGAGGTACACAGTTTAGTTGTGTATTTTGTTGTTATTTAATGATTCTGTCTCCCATGAGAGGTACACAGTTGAGTTGTGTATTTTGTTGTTGTTTAATGATTCTGTCTCCTGTGAGAGGTACACAGTTGAGTTGTGTATTTTGTTGTTGTTTAATGATTCTGTCTCCTGTGAGAGGTACACAGTTGAGTTGTGTATTTTGTTGTTGTTTAATGATTCTGTCTCCTATGAGAGGTACACAGTTGAGTTGTGTATTTTGTTGTTGTTTAATGATTCTGTCTCCTATGAGAGGTACACAGTTGAGTTGTGTATTTTGTTGTTGTTCAATGATTCTGTCTCCCATGAGTGGTACACAGTTGAGTTGTGTATTTTGTTGTTATTTAATGATTCTGTCTCCTATGAGAGGTACACAGTTGAGTTGTGTATTTTGTTGTTGTTTAATGATTCTGTCTCCTGTGAGAGGTACACAGTTGAGTTGTGTATTTTGTTGTTATTTAATGATTCTGTCTCCCATGAGTTGTACACAGTTGAGTTGTGTATTTTGTTGTTGTTTAATGATTCTGTCTCCCATGAGAGGTACACAGTTGAGTTGTGTATTTTGTTGTTGTTTAATGATTCTGTCTCCCATGAGAGCTACACAGTTTAGTTGTGTATTTTGTTGTTATTTAATGATTCTGTCTCCTGTGAGAGGTACACAGTTGAGTTGTGTATTTTGTTGTTGTTTAATGATTCTGTCTCCTGTGAGAGGTACACAGTTGAGTTGTGTATTTTGTTGGTATTTAATGATTCTGTCTCCTATGAGAGGTACACAGTTGAGTTGTGTATTTTGTTGTTGTTTAATGATTCTGTCTCCTGTGAGAGGTACACAGTTGAGTTGTGTATTTTGTTGTTATTTAATGATTCTGTCTCCTGTGAGAGGTACACACTTGAGTTGTGTATTTTGTTGTTATTTAATGATTCTGTCTCCCATGAGAGGTACACAGTTGAGTTGTGTATTTTGTTGTTGTTTAATGATTCTGTCTCCTGTGAGAGGTACACAGTTGAGTTGTGTATTTTGTTGTTATTTAATGATTCTGTCTCCCATGAGAGGTACACAGTTGAGTTGTGTATTTTGTTGTTGTTTAATGATTCTGTCTCCTGTGAGAGGTACACAGTTGAGTTGTGTATTTTGTTGTTGTTTAATGATTCTGTCTCCTGTGAGAGGTACACAGTTGAGTTGTGTATTTTGTTGTTATTTAATGATTCTGTCTCCTGTGAGAGGTACACAGTTTAGTTGTGTATTTTGTTGTTATTTAATGATTCTGTCTCCTGTGAGAGGTACACAGTTGAGTTGTGTATTTTGTTGTTATTTAATGATTCTGTCTCCTGTGAGAGGTACACAGTTGAGTTGTGTATTTTGTTGTTATTTAATGATTCTGTCTCCTGTGAGAGGTACACAGTTGAGTTGTGTATTTTGTTGTTATTTAATGATTCTGTCTCCTGTGAGAGGTACACAGTTGAGTTGTGTATTTTGTTGTTATTTAATGATTCTGTCTCCTGTGAGAGGTACACAGTTGAGTTGTGTATTTTGTTGTTATTTAATGATTCTGTCTCCTGTGAGAGGTACACAGTTGAGTTGTGTATTTTGTTGTTGTTTAATGATTCTGTCTCCTGTGAGAGGTACACAGTTGAGTTGTGTATTTTGTTGTTATTTAATGATTCTGTCTCCTGTGAGAGGTACACAGTTGAGTTGTGTATTTTGTTGTTGTTTAATGATTCTGTCTCCTGTGAGAGGTACACAGTTGAGTTGTGTATTTTGTTGTTATTTAATGATTCTGTCTCCTGTGAGAGGTACACAGTTGAGTTGTGTATTTTGTTGTTATTTAATGATTCTGTCTCCTGTGAGAGGTACACAGTTGAGTTGTGTATTTTGTTGTTGTTTAATGATTCTGTCTCCTGTGAGAGGTACACAGTTGAGTTGTGTATTTTGTTGTTATTTAATGATTCTGTCTCCTGTGAGAGGTACACAGTTTAGTTGTGTATTTTGTTGTTATTTAATGATTCTGTCTCCTGTGAGAGGTACACAGTTGAGTTGTGTATTTTGTTGTTATTTTAATGATTCTGTCTCCTGTGAGAGGTACACAGTTGAGTTGTGTATTTTGTTGTTATTTAATGATTCTGTCTCCTGTGAGAGGTACACAGTTGAGTTGTGTATTTTGTTGTTGTTTAATGATTCTGTCTCCTGTGAGAGGTACACAGTTGAGTTGTGTATTTTGTTGTTATTTAATGATTCTGTCTCCTGTGAGAGGTACACAGTTGAGTTGTGTATTTTGTTGTTGTTTAATGATTCTGTCTCCTATGAGAGGTACACACTTTAGTTGTGTATTTTGTTGTTTAATGATTCTGTCTCCCATGAGAGGTACACAGTTGAGTTGTGTATTTTGTTGTTATTTAATGATTCTGTCTCCTATGAGAGGTACACAGTTTAGTTGTGTATTTTGTTGTTTAATGATTCTGTCTCCTGTGAGAGGTACTCAGTTTAGTTGTGTATTTTGTTGTTGTTTAATGATTCTGTCTCCTGTGAGAGGTACACAGTTTAGTTGTGTATTTTGTTGTTATTTAATGATTCTGTCTCCTGTGAGAGGTACACAGTTTAGTTGTGTATTTTGTTGTTATTTAATGATTCTGTCTCCTATGAGAGGTACACACTTTAGTTGTGTATTTTGTTGTTTAATGATTCTGTCTCCTGTGAGAGGTACACAGTTTAGTTGTGTATTTTGTTGTTATTTAATGATTCTGTCTCCTGTGAGAGGTACACAGTTTAGTTGTGTATTTTGTTGTTATTTAATGATTCTGTCTCCTGTGAGAGGTACACAGTTGAGTTGTGTATTTTGTTGTTTAATGATTCTGTCTCCTATGAGAGATACACAGTTGAGTTGTGTATTTTGTTGTTGTTTAATGATTCTGTCTCCTATGAGAGATACACAGTTGAGTTGTGTATTTTGTTGTTTAATGATTCTGTCTCCTATGAGAGGTACTCAGTTGAGTTGTGTATTTTGTTGTTTAATGATTCTGTCTCCTATGAGAGATACACAGTAGTTGTGTATTTTTGTTGTTTAATGATTCTGTCAGAGTTGAGTTGAGTTGTGTTTTTTGTTGTTTAATGATTCTGTCTCCTATGAGAGGTACACAGTTGAGTTGTGTATTTTGTTGTTTAATGATTCTGTCTCCTATGAGAGGTACACAGTTGAGTTGTGTATTTTGTTGTTTAATGATTCTGTCTCCTATGAGAGGTACACAGTTGAGTTGTGTATTTTGTTGTTTAATGATTCTGTCTCCCATGAGAGGTAAACAGTTGAGTTGTGTATTTTGTTGTTTAATGATTCTGTCTCCCATGAGAGGTAAACAGTTGAGTTGTGTATTTTGTTGTTTAATGATTCTGTCTCCTATGAGAGGTACTCAGTTGAGTTGTGTATTTTGTTGTTATTTAATGATTCTGTCTCCTGTGAGAGGTACACAGTTGAGTTGTGTATTTTGTTGTTATTTAATGATTCTGTCTCCTGTGAGAGGTACACAGCTTAGTTGTGTATTTTGTTGTTATTTAATGATTCTGTCTCCCATGAGAGGTACACAGTTTAGTTGTGTATTTTGTTGTTATTTAATGATTCTGTCTCCTATGAGAGGTACACAGTTGAGTTGTGTATTTTGTTGTTATTTAATGATTCTGTCTCCTGTGAGAGGTACACAGTTGAGTTGTGTATTTTGTTGTTATTTAATGATTCTGTCTCCTATGAGAGGTACACAGTTGAGTTGTGTATTTTGTTGTTATTTAATGATTCTGTCTCCTGTGAGAGGTACACAGTTGAGTTGTGTATTTTGTTGTTATTTAATGATTCTGTCTCCTGTGAGAGGTACACAGTTGAGTTGTGTATTTTGTGTGTTATTTAATGATTCTGTCTCCTGTGAGAGGTACACAGTTGAGTTGTGTATTTTGTTGTTATTTAATGATTCTGTCTCCTGTGAGAGGTACACAGTTGAGTTGTGTATTTTGTTGTTGTTTAATGATTCTGTCTCCTATGAGAGGTACACAGTTTAGTTGTGTATTTTGTTGTTGTTTAATGATTCTGTCTCCTGTGAGTGGTACACAGTTGAGTTGTGTATTTTGTTGTTATTTAATGATTCTGTCTCCTGTGAGAGGTACACAGTTGAGTTGTGTATTTTGTTGTTATTTAATTATTCTGTCTCCTATGAGAGGTACACAGTTGAGTTGTGTATTTTGTTGTTATTTAATGATTCTGTCTCCTGTGAGAGGTACACAGTTGAGTTGTGTATTTTGTTGTTATTTAATGATTCTGTCTCCTGTGAGAGGTACACAGTTGAGTTGTGTATTTTGTTGTTATTTAATGATTCTGTCTCCTGTGAGAGGTACACAGTTGAGTTGTGTATTTTGTTGTTGTTTAATGATTCTGTCTCCTGTGAGAGGTACACAGTTGAGTTGTGTATTTTGTTGTTGTTTAATGATTCTGTCTCCCATGAGAGGTACACAGTTGAGTTGTGTATTTTGTTGTTATTTAATGATTCTGTCTCCTGTGAGAGGTACTCAGCTTAGTTGTGTATTTTGTTGTTGTTTAATGATTCTGTCTCCTGTGAGAGGTACTCAGCTTAGTTGTGTATTTTGTTGTTTAATGATTCTTTGGTTGAATTTTAAAAAGTCAAAACACTATCAGAAATGTCTCAACAACTGTTGATATTAAGCACTTTAAGACAGAGAAGATGGTGATATATTCGGCAAATTATGAGAAACAAACTGAGAATCACAAAATGAGCACTTAAATCGGGACATACGCTGACGAGAAAGGTCAAAGGTGCTGGTCTGGATTCCATCAATGGTATCGAAATAATTGCACATATTAGAACAGATTGGAAGAATAAACTTCAGACCATGTAATGGTAGCGTGATGAATGAATGTTATATGTAGACTTTATGTTTATGCCATGTCTGTTTGAAAATATAATCTCTATATAGTTTGAGGTGTAAGGACACTTGTGGTGGTGCAGCACGGTCAAGCACCTTTATCTGGTCATCTTAGAAACAGGTCTCTCCCTCACAGATGGGATCGACATTTCCTTCAGGATCAGAAAGCATCTACCTGATAGGCAATAAACTAGCAGATCTGGTTGACAGATTAACGTGAAACACTTAAATCCTGGAACAAGATAGACTTCCAGACGCAGACCAGACAACCAGAATTGACAGCCAGTGGGTGCTGAGAAAGAAGTAGAAGACTGGTGAGGCTCATTTTGAGGTAACAATGGCTTCATGGTTCTCTCATTACTGAAGCTGTATTTCTGATAAAAGTGGATGTGATGTGTGCTTGATAACAGAAGCTGTATGTATAATTAACTGGCCTCTATACTTGTGACTGGCCAGGTATTCTGAGAAAACAAACAGCCCTGGAGAGATGCTGTTTCTGTTGGCTTTGAATTTTCATAACAACCAGATGGTGGCTATAACTGACTTGATATGCAACACTTTAGGCATGAAGGTGAGTGAACGTGGTAGCGCTTTTGTTATATGAGTGTGTAACATGTTGGTTATGCAGGTGTGTGGGTCATATTAGTTATGAAAAGATATAAAACCGAACGAAAAGTATATAAGCAAGCTTTACAATATAACAAATACAAACAAAACGGGAACGTTGCGGCTTTTAAGCTTTTTAACATCAGCACATACAAATGAAACAATACTACACAGAATCACTTAGCTGGTATCTCGAAGCAGCCAGGTCAGTTGTTTTTTGTGAAGATCATTGGGATGTAATCCATTTACCATGAAAATAAATGTTTCAGTGCTGATACTCAGTTGTTACTTTTAAATAAGCTCATTGTGTAATTAAAGGAAAGCCAGATTTCCTCAGTGTTTTCTAACCAAATGTTTAAAAAAAGTGAAAGAACAGATAATGCTTTGGTTGGGATTCCTGGGGAAGAGGCAATCACACATTAGGCATATCAGGAGAGTTACAGAGATCAGATCTAGTTTGTACTAACTTGTAACCTGGATTACTTGCAGATTACAGTGAAGACAAGTGCTTTGGTTAAAATCAGACAGATTTTCACAATGGAGCTTTTTACAGAGCAGGTAAGTTTTGGTGAAGTCATTGAGAATAGGAATGTGGTACAGCAGAAATATGGGGAAAACTACAGTCTGTGTCCAGTCTGTTGAGTTGTGCTGAACTGCAAGTTATTAGTGGACAAAGATATCCTTTAACTAACTTTTGTTACCTCACTACTCCTGCAAAGGTGTCGCCACCATACCAAGGTGGGGGAGCTTGAGCTTATCTGTAACACTAAGAGCTATGGTGGCAGCAGTATAGCTTATGATAACTCTAGTGATTGTTGATGGTTAGTGATTGTAGCATTATTTTGCAGCATGATATAGACAACTTGTTGAAAATAGCAAGTTGATCTAGAAATTGCAGCCAGAATGATCTGTTCAAATTTCATTTGGTTACTTTGTGTAGTTTGGGAGGAGTTCTTGTGACAGACAGACACAGATTTTCCATTTTATTGTATGATTGGTTCAGTTTCAATAAAATTTCTTTGCAAAGGAACCCACAGGAGGCATTTACTTATCAACCTCGCCCCAATATGGGGTGCAATTAAAAAAACAATTTTTTTTTTTTAATTTCAAAGCCCCTCCTTGGCTTTAGTCAGGAGCCCTATTATAAGCTAATGGTTGAACGTTTTTTTTTTGGGACTTGTACCCAATGATTCTCATCCGAATAGTGTCACTGGGTGTTTATCACTTGTTACATGGTCCTGGTGGGGTTGAACGCCATACCATAGGGGGCATTATTCCCTCATTCCAGTGTGGAACACAGTTTATTATTTTAAAACCCACCCTGGCTGTCTCCGTGGCCCCTAAATATAACCTCAAGGTTGAACAGGGTTTCTGGGGCTTGTGCCTGGGTGATTCTCATCCAAATGGTTCTTGTGGGGTTTAACGTCAGTCATGGGAGGCATGTAATTCAATATGTATGCACACACATGTGCACACACACAACATGCATGAGAGAGAGAGTGAAGCTGTGAAAAAGATATGAAGGACATGGGGTGAGCTGAATGTTTTAACAAAGGACAGGATAACGGCTTGAGTTGGTTAAGGGCCTGTGCTTGCTGGGAGATAAAAGGCATAAGTTTACAGTTTTCTGTGACATAAGGCAGCAGATGTTGTGCCACCCCCTTTAATCATATCTTATGACATGAATGATAGGCTCTAGTGTTACTAATAATAGGTTTCAGTGTTACTTATTATTCCTTGCTTTCTTATTGGACCCCTGAAAAACATAGACTAGTTGATATGCTCCTGAAGATGGGGACTGGGCACTTATGGGAGTGTCCAGAGTGCTGTGATTCAACATTTAACAGACAAGTTGATACATGAATATGATAATGTTGAGGGAAGTAATTTTCATATCATTTTGTTTATCCACAGGTGGTTGCTGCCCATGCAGTGAAAATTCCAGTCACTCCCAACTTGGATGCAAAATCAACAGGTTACCTCCCAGTTCACAGCATTCTTCAGTTATTGAAAAACAGAATCTTCTCAAAGCACAAAATTTCCATAAAGGTAATCTATCCTTTAATGTTTTATAACATAACCCATGACCAGCTAGGCTAGGTCATGGAGGTGTATCGATGGAAGCATAGCACACAGAACCCGCCACCTTGCTCTGTCTTCCACTTGTTGAGCATGGAGGTGTATCGATGGAAGCAAAGCACACAGAACCCGCCACCTTGCTTTGTCTTCCACTTCTTGAGCATGTGTATAATAATTAAGTCCTGGCCATTTCTTGATGTCATTACAGGTTTTCCTTCCCCTTCCATGACTACCTCACAGAGTTCCCTGAAGTACAATCTTTGCAATTGAATCATGTCTCAAACTAACTTGCATTGTTACACCACTGCCAAAATAGGCTCCGAATATCCTGGGAAATTGTTTAGTTTGTACAGGAAAGGCAACCTTTTTACGCTAGGGTATGAGATGAAACCATGCCATAAAAACATCATTACAACACAGAATGGAATAGGATAGACTAAACATATTCACCTATTGCCACCCATATTTCAGGCAGGTGGTAAAAGACGAGGGACAAAAAAAAAAGATACAAAGAAATGTAAATGTAATGATGTGGGAAAACCAATCACGTCATAAGAGAATCCCCAATGGGATGGGTCAGTAAGTGCTAGTGCCAGGTAAGCGATAATCAGGGATAAACCGTGCTAAATGGAGGATTGTCAGTGTGGCCAGAAAAGTATGTTTGTTGAGAATTTCATGGGGAGAAAGGAATGAGTCACTGTGAGAGAGAAGAAAGATTCATTCTGTGTGAGACAATTGAGAAAAGACGACTGAATCGAGTGATTGTTTTGTGCTAAACTGAAGAGCGGAGAACAGCGGCGAATGTCTACGAGAAAGATGGCAGCAATCAGGAAAGCTGTGGATAAATGAAATAATAGGAATTGTTCGTTACATCAGGAATGACTGACAGCTGCGAATGATAGATCCAAGTAGTGTTTGAATTGATATGAATAACGAGAGTGACTGTCGGGACAATTGACGAGAACAACCAGGCTGACGAGATTGAGGCATCAACAATAAAACATCAGTGTGCGAATTCTCACCATCTTCGTGAAGTGTTGTTGATACTAACATCTGCTATTGGTGTAACGCCGTCGCTACACAAAACTAGTCATTGCAGTAAGCCTTTCATTCTGACTGACTTGGTGAAATTTGTCTTTTCCAGAAATGGGTGTACCGACAGATCTGCAGCAGCTGTTTCCCCTTGCATCCTCTTCTGCCCCAACTCATCGAGTCTTACGTCCATTCCGTCATTCCCAAGAGCCCAAAACCAGAGCATACCAACGAGCCGATTTCTGAAGATGACATTCTTGCAGTTTTTGATGCCAAGAAGAAGAACAGTAACCCTAGGAACCGGCAGAGAGAGTCGCCCCCTGGTGGTGTGTCAGCAGACGTGCCAGATAGACAACTCTGTCCACAGTTGCTGATGCTGTATTATCTCCTTTTGTTTGAAGATCTGTATCAGATGCATAAAAAGATGATTGGTGAGTTTTACTAGTAACTAGTTAAATTATTATTCATCTTTAAAACACAAGTAATTACCTAAATTATTATTAATGATATTAGTCCAATTAGGACTTCCGTTCAAAATGACAGATAGACCACTGACAAAAACTGAAAAGTTGTTTGTTTTCAATTAATTTCAAATGATGCAAATTCTCCATTTCTGAACCAGGAGTCCCAATATACTGTCACCCAGCTACTAAGTTGAGTGCTTGATGCAACCCTGAGCTACGAATTTCCAGTGGAATGTGTTTTTTTTTCTTCTGTTGTGCTCCTATATTGTTGTTGATTACACTAAAATGGCCGGTGGCTGATTATATTAAGAATATTGTGTAGTTTGTGGGTGCAGTGCCAGCTTTCAGGATTGACTGTTTATGGCAACAGTGAGCTGCAATTCTGGCATAAGACTGTTAGTGTTGGCATATCTGACAGCAGCCTTCTGCATTTTTATTTGGTGCACATTTCAAGATTTTGATGGGACTGACAAGTTTTTCACTTAGTTATTAGTTAAATGGTTGCCATAATCGGATTTGTTGGGCGCACAGGTGTATTATCACAACCAAGCTGTGAGAAGAAATATTTTGACTAATTAGACATGCTTCTGCGTATTTATCATGCCTTTTATTTAAAATTTATTATGTTATTTGTATTATGATTAAAAGTATTTCAATTCTTTCAGATGTCACGAAGCTGGCTCTGTACAACGACACAGTGATGTCACAGATTCCCATCAGTCATTTAGTACAAGAGGCACTCAAACATCACAACAACTGCCAGAATCTCTTCCCTCCCATGATCAGGTAATATCTGTTCTCCCATAATGAAGTAATTGTATTCTTCTTATTATTTTGCCGTAGGGCTTATGTCATAAAACATTCAGTTATTAGTTAAATGTAGTTTCCTGTATTTTGCTAGTTGTGTAGCCTGTGTTAATGTCATATTGTGTTTCTGTAGTGTCTCTTACTCCTTCCCCCACCTCTTTCTTGACCTGTAGCCTGTGTTAATGTCATATTGTGTTTCTGTAGTGTCTCTTACTCCTTCCCCCACCTCTTTCTTGACCTGTAGCCTTCTATTCTTATGTAGTACACTCTAGCTTTGGCTTAATTTGTGCCATTGTGACCAGATGACCAAACCATTTGATGTTCTGTGAAATCATTCACCAGTACTGTGCCTACCATTGTTCTTAGTTCTTCATTTGTGACCTTGCCCATTCCTGTTTTCCTGCTTATGCATCTTGTCTCGTATGTTGTGATTGTGCATTTATGTTTAGTAATCATCATTCCACCATAAATTAATAGGTATTCTCCACTCTCCCATCATTAACAAATAGACATTGATCATCACTCATAGAAAGAAGCAGATAGACGGAGGATACACTAGACAGTATAAAAATAGAAAGCTGTAGTCACCGTGCCGGGATTCGAACCTGTCAGCTCCAGATGATGACAGCGCCTTGCTATGTCAGTCACCTTTCTTCAATGATTAGAAAGTCTCAACGCTACTGTTGGGGGGGGGGGGGGAACGGTCTTTACTGCTTATAGTCAAAGAGCCAGATTATAAACAGCATATTTATTCCAACACTGAGCTGTCGGTGCCAAACATGGACGCTATCTAAAGCCCATATATGCAAAATCACCACCTGCGAGATAAGGTGCCTGAGAAAAACAGCCAACCTAACCATCCGAGATCGAGTGAATAATGACACTCTCAGACAAATTGTGGGAACGATGTACTGGTTTCATCAAGAAACTGCAGATCAAGTGGTTTGGCCATCTCGTTAGAATGCAGCAAGATCAAATACCATCACAAGCACTATATCTCAGAAGATCAGCTTCAAGAGCAAGAGGATGGCTGCAAAAAAAAATGGATCGACAACATTAAAGACACTCTATGCCATCACGGCATGACAATAGCCAGTGGCAGCCAGCGTGTACTGGATCGCAAATTATTCCTCCCCACGACGCTTAACAGCAGAAGTGGTTTTTGATGATGATGATAACTGCCTATGATACCACTTTTTAGGGCAGTATATGGCTGGGATGGGGCTTGAGTCTAAGGATTTATGGCTGCATGGCTAGTGCAGTTGCCACGGACTGGAGGTTTTTTTGTGCCCCTACAGAAAGAAATTTCCATCACCCTGCCAGGCATCAGAGCCCTGTATTTTAACCACTCGGCCAGCCACTCCTCACTCTCCTATAATTAGGTAATTCCCACTCTCCTGTAACGCCACAGATCATTCTATGACTTCTTGCATCAACAGACTGTTAAATACTCACTTCCCACACCTATGCCTGGTGGAGGACTGGTTGGATGCACACGTAGGCCTCATGTCCACAGAAAATCAGATTTTCAAGAGGAAATCGGTTTCTTTCAAACCGGAGTTCATTCACGAAGGTAAGAGGGAGTCATAATCTAAATATAGATCTGCATGACATGATTTACATTCTTCCCTTTCTTGATTTCTGCTTCTTTCTTTCTGTCTATCTTTACTATGGTCATGCCTATCAGGTCAGAAAGAGTTTTAAAAAAAACGCCAGTGGTAATTTATTGTCTCTTGCACATTATTAGCGCCCTAAAATTAATGATAGGATTTCTGGCTACAGGGCTGCTTAACTTGGGCTCCTAACATTGAGGATCTGCAACCAGCAGGGATCTGTCACACTGAACCAAGATATCCCTGGTCTCTTTTTCGGAGGCCTTGTTGACATTTGATTAATAAGACGTAATACCCTTGGAAATAGCTTGTCTGATATCATATGTCCATCCTTTATGACTGTCTAGTAACAGAGATGGTGGATGAATAATAACATAAATCAATTTTTCCAGTTTGGCGGTGTGCAGACTTCAGGGGTCCACAGAACATGTTTTTAGGGGTCCATGAGATCATTTACAACCCAGAAAAACCTCACATTTAAAGAGGGCAATCCTATTAATAACTCTAATATAAATTTACAATTTCTTTTTTAAAAATATCTGATTATTTGAATGAATGTTCTCAGTGGCAGTCTTTTGAAAATAGGAGGTCTGCAGTTCAGAACTGCTTGAGAACCATTGACACAGATGGCTGTAGCTGTGAGAGAGAGAGAATCTACTTCTTCTTCAGCATTCCGAGCCCTTAAGGCTCCTTGCTGCAAATGTCACCTGCCTCCATTCATCTCTCTAGATGGCTTTCTGTTTCCAATTGGTGACACCAAGTGTTTGTAGGTCTGTCTGGACGTTATCTCTCCATCGTCTTCTTGGTCTGCCTTGTGGTCTACGACCATTCAGCTCACTTGTGTACAGTTTTACCTTTCTGTGTCAGCTGTAGGTAAAAGTATGGTTTATACAATGGATCAGCATCATGTCACAATGGTAGTAACCTTTAAGTGCTCCATTCTACTTCTAACTCTTGCATGAGTCTAAAGAATCTCAGCGCAGTGCACAAACTCTGTAGCACCGGCGAGGATCCTGAAATACTTTGAGTAGATTTTTAAACTCCCACAAATTTTGTCTGAGCTGTGCTGCCAGGCTGCTTTTTTTCAATTTCCAACTGCCAAAAGATTTTTTTACCTGTGCAACAATACACATGGGTGTCCAATTTTACTATTCAGAGACCAGGTGAAATTACTAGAAGTCCACGTGAAAAAATCCCAGCCTTAACTGAGGCCTGAACACGGGACCTCCAGCACTCGAGGCGGATGCCATGCCTTGAGACCATTCAGCCAAGTAAAAGTAAAGCAAAGTAAAGGATCCTTTCCACACCTCAAGGCTTATTGGGTGTATAGGGCTAGACCTATATTTGATAGACCAATCGGCACTTGTTGGGTGATGTGGTCAGCATCAAGCTGGCCGCCTTTACTTCTCATGACTCCACCTCGTACGCATCCGAGGCTTCTGACATCTGACATTTTTTCAGTATGCCCCAGCTATTTCAGTCTCTCAGCTCTCATGATTCCAGTGATCAATAGTGATTTAAAGAGATTATGAATTTCATTACTGCTTCTCACTTGCTATTTCCCTCTGTTTGTATCTTTGATCAGGGTTCGTAGTGGACCGGGAAATCGGGAAATTACCCGGATTTTTTTCGTTGACCTTGAACGGTGATTTTTTAGCTTATAAAAGACATTCCGACCTTGAAAAGCCGCGAATTTTGACAGTGGCAAGCAATGAAATCGTCAGAAATCCTGTGTTTTTCAGCACAGGCAATTTTGGGGGAGCCATTTGGCTTTTTTTGGCCATTTGGCTAGTTTTTTGCTACTTTCGTTGTATGGTCGTTTCAGGTGTGAGGGCAGCTGATTATTGGCTATTTTCAGCCGAAATGGCTTGTTAAAGGCCAGGGGAGGGCGGGCTGTGTTGCAGATCATGAATACATGCAGACAGCAGCGGTGTGGCATGGGGCGGGAAGTAGCAGATTCCGTCTCGCGTGTGTGTGTGCCTTTGTTTCTAGCAAGTTGGGCAGGATGAACAGTATAAATCTTTATGGCCATGGTTTCTAGAAAGGATTACATTGGGAGATGGTGGGGCTCGGTTCAGTTGTATTTATAAATAGAGTCGCTGTGGTGGGGGCTTGGTGGGGGCTAAGCACGGCCTTCTCTATTAATTAGAGATATCATTGGGGCTAAGCAAAGTGACTGCAGCTGGATTTCCCAGTTCTATTTTTGGCCTGGATTTATCTTTACAGTGTGTTTGGCGATCAGTATTGTAATTCCCCGAGATTCCCTCTTCTGTTGTCTCATCCCTCTCTCTCTCTTTTCCCTCCCTCTTTCACTCTTCTACCTATTGCTCCTTCCTTCCCGTCTCCTGCATTGTCTCTAACCCTCCCTTCTCTTTCTCTCTATCTTTCCTTTTACTCTCTCATTTCCTGTCCCCCTCCCCCTTTTTCCTATTTTATTTCTTGTTTAAATGTTTAGTAAATGTGCGGCTCCATAACTCTTCCTAGCAACTCAAGTACACAGGAAGTTGTATTGGGGGGGGGGGGGGGGCATTCTGTGTGAACATGGTGGATATTTTCTTTTGATGTGTTTGTTTTCCTAGCCGCCTTAATCTCTGTCCATCTCCCTTCCTGCCCCCTCACATTTTGTCCTACCTGTTCCTCACTCTCTGCCTGTCTGTGTCACTGCTTTCCTCTCTCTCTTTCTCTTTGTATTTGCCACTCTCCCTCACTCCCTCCCTCTCTCTTTCTCTCTCTCTCTTTCTTTCTCCATACCTTCAGTGTAGAAGGTTATGTGTTGCCAAGTGCAGAACATTTCCTGTCCACCATTCCCCCCTCCCACACATTAAATATATGTGTACTTTTAAAAACACATTTGCAGTCACCCCCCCCCCCCCCTTTCTCCTCCCACATTGATGACACCTAGAGAAGGGAGTGCACCCCTTCCTGCTACCCTTCCCTCTATATCTCATCTTATTTCTTACTCCCTTCTTTCTCTCCCTGTCTCATTCCCACTTTATTTTCTTAAACTTTTTTCTCTCACCTCCCCTGTCTCACCCTTACCACCCCAGCCTTCTACACCACTTTCCACCACCTCCCATCTCCCCTCCTTTCTGTAATTGGAAAACCAGAAATAAAACGAAGTCCACTGCTGCCCTGACCTATTTATGTGTCTGACCTATTTATGTGTGTGGGTAAACTTCTCTATTTTCCACCAGTGGTGGGTTGGGATCCCCTGGACTTTTTTTTTCTTCATAAAATGACCTTGGCTCTCAGGTCACCAGCCTTAAGTGTAAGAAATTGAATTATTGTTGTCACACACAGATAGGACAAGCAAGGGGCAGTAGGGGTTAGCACTGTTGTTTTTGGACCACGGCCACATTCATATTGGGGGAGAGTAGGAACCGAAAAAGTGGCCTCACTTAGAGATTTCCTAATTCTATTTTTGGCACTCATTGTTCTTACACCCCCCCCCCCCACACCCCCCAAAACCGTGTCTTACAACCTTGAAAAAAACTAAGGAGACCTTGAAAAAGACCTTGAAAAGCCTTGAAATTGATTGGTAAATTTGGCTATGAACCCTGTTTGATGGTCCAAAGATTCATCGTAAAGCATTTGTTTAAAGACATTTATAATAATTCTTCATTTGGTACAGAGCCATATGAAAAAATGGGCCTAGCTTTTTATGTATTTTAATCGTGGCGTTGCAAGAAATAGATTTTGACTTTAACAGATGTTGACAGGGCATAATATACTTTATTTCTGGATTACATTGTAGATTGTATTTCTTCTCTCAGCATGTTGGAGCAGTACTTGTATGTTTCCCTCTGTTTGATTATAATATTATCGATTTGTATGTGGCCGGAGTTATTATCCTCTCCTTGTCTTTTTTTGTTTGTTTACCATGAACTTATTTTAACTTGTTTAATAACCAGTCCCATTATTTCAGATGCTTCTTTGAAGAGTCTGTATTTTACCGTCTCTAGTTCATCTTCTCTAATGATACCATATATCAGTATCATCTGCACAACCAAGTTTTCTTAAAGTTTCTCCTGTAATAACTTCTTTATAATATTTTCTTTAATTATGTTGAATCGATAGTGGCAATAGACTATAATAAGTAGGGATTATATATGATAAGTTGATTTGATGGGTGGTAGAGACAAAGAATAGAGTTAACTGCAGATTAGATAGTTGACTAGAGAATAGATAATTAGAGAGTTAACTGCAGATTAGATAGTGGACTAGAGAATAGATAATTAGAGAGTAAACTGCAGATTAAATAGTGGACTAGAGAATAGAGAGTTAACTGCAGATTAAATAGTGGACTAGAGAATAGATAATTAGAGAGTTAACTGCAGATTAAATAGTGGACTAGAGAATAGATAATTAGAGAGTTAACTGCAGATTAAATAGTGGACTAGAGAATAGATAATTAGAGAGTTAACTGCAGATTAAATAGTGGACTAGAGAATAGATAATTAGAGAGTTGACTGCAGATTAAATAGTGGACTAGAGAATAGATAATTAGAGAGTTGACTGCAAATTATATAGTGAACTAGAGAATAGTTAATTAGAGAGTTAACTGCAGACTATATAGTGGACTAGAGAATAGATAATTAGAGTTAACTGCAGGTTAGATAGTTGACTTCAGAATAGATAATTAAGAGAGTTAACTGCAGATTAGATAGTTGACTTGAGAATAGGTAATTGAGTAGATATGGTAACAGCTTTCTATGGTCAGTTGTCAAAAATTATTGAATGCTTTCAGCTTTCTCAGAAGCACAGACACATCCAAGCCGGGCAATCAAACTTCTGGAACAGCTGCTGTCTATAAATGACACAGATATCTTGAAAGAATGTCAGGACACGGTGGTGGCCAGTATTCCCAGACTGCTGGAGGAAGGAACCCCTAGGCGTCTGCTGGACCTCATGAAGAAAGTTTGGTTCAAACTTCATGGTTTTACGCCGAGAAAGTGAGTCCAGCTGTTGCTGCTGACGTGAACACATTATTATTTTGTTTGTTTGTTTTGTTAGTGCTGCTTAAGTTCACCTGGTTGTACGGTTAAGAACTCTGGGCTTTGTGAGGGTCAATTGTCTCATTTGTTGGTAAATTCTCTCATTACTTAGAAATAAGGACTATTAGTGCTTGTGCCTGAGAGGTGAGAATGCAACAGTCTACATACAGATAAGCAAGGTCTGTAAAATGGATGTGCTCACAAAACCCAAGTCATGGAATACAATTCAAGTCCAGAAGACATTTCTGCCTGAGTTTACAGCCGGTGGATGTGAAGAGGAAGAGTAATCAATGGTGGGAAACCGCCTAATTTGTCGGACCCCAGCATCTTATTCTGCTGTTACATTTCTACTGGTCTCGGGTTACAATCAAGAGGATTGACTTCATTACATCAGGTTTTATTCCATATTTCTCATTCTCTCACCGCAGAATGGCTAGTTGCCATCACACAAAGCGTGAACTCCATAAGTCCTGTGATGGTCCTCAGGGAACCATAAAAATTGCACTCATGAACTGAATGAGATATATGAAATGAACCCATAACCCTGTGAGGCGAAGTCTTGAACACTTTGCAGTAGACACCACCCCCCCCCCCCCCCCCCATTTTTTTGTCCCCTTTCAGTATGTGTATTCAATATATTAAAGACACTGTGAACTTTGTAATTTTACCATATTGATTCCACCAATATTAGAGACTTACTGTTAATTTTATAACTGTCACTTTACATTTGTTCATTGTTAATAAAGATTTACTGTTAACTTTGTAATTGTCACTGTGCAGATGTCCTCCAATATTAGAAATTGTTCTGAGGATATTGTCAGCCTACACACAGGCATGCCGAGTCTACCTCAGCTCCCATGTCATGGACGCAGCTGTCACAGAAAAGGAGAAGGATCGGCAGGAGCTTAAGATAGCCCTGTTAGCAGCCCAGGAAAGTGCAGTTGTTCAGATCTTGCTCGAGGTCTGTTTACCTTTGGAAAGTGAAAAGGTAAGCGCTTACCCTGTTTTATGTGTGCGTTTGTTTCGTCATTATGATTGTTGCCGGCTTTCAGTTCTATAGAGAAGATACAAGTGCTTCAAATGAAAACCTTAAAAGTGTAATAGAAATTATAATAACTATGCCATTGTCTTGTAACCTGTCGATATTATGCCAGCATTTGTGGATTTCTAAGAAATGTCATCGGCAGTTCGTAGTTGCCTGTCAGTCCAGGAAGTGTATGAGTGGAGGAGGAAGTTGTGAACCAGCATTATTTCTGTGACAGACTGTTGACCGCTGGGTCAGGCACACTGAGTAGGTTTTCAATCGAACCCCCTCTGATAATAAAAGATGATACAATATCTGAACAAACGAACTCATCGTCATCAGCGGAAACAAGCAGTGGAAACTGAAACATCAGTAGCATATAAAAAAAAATCCTTGCCGACATGGGTGTCAGCGAAAGACATTCCGACAGCAAATTAAAAGAAAAACCCGACAATGGTTATTAGGCATTGGTTTATACTGAGATTTAAATCCGAAAAATACTTGATATAGCAGGTCTATGAAATCGTCCTACTGGAAATTATTCTTCGACAATCTTTGGTGTTTTTTACAGCACTGGGATGTCAAAGGTTTTGGGGGGAGCCAGCTTAAGTGGCAGTCTTTTTCTGGAGTCTCTTCAGGCCATTTGGCTTTAAATAAGTATTTGTTTGCTAGTGTGAAAGCAAAAGATTGACTTGTTCGTTCAGGTAGGAAATCTTTTTTTTGGTCCAGCATTTCTAACAGGGTGTAGTGGAGGGCAAATCGGAAATTACGGCTGATTATTGACATTCCGACTTAAAAAACCCGTGAATTTCAGCCAATGAAATGGAAATCCTGTTAAAGGCCAGGGGATTTGGGTTTTTTGCGGTATGCTTTCAGTGTGCTGATTATGGGCTATCATGGCTTGTTAAAGGCCAGGGGAGGGCGGGCTTTGTTGCATGATCAGACAGCAGCGGTGTGGCATGGGGCGGGAAGTAGCAGATTCCGTCTCCCGCGTGTGTGTGTGCCTTTGTTTCTAGCGAGTCCGGCAGAATGAACAGTTTAAATCGTTTATGGCCGTGGTTTCTAGAAAGGATTACATTGGGAGATGGTGGGGCTCGGTGCAGTTGTATTTATAAATAGAGTCGCCGTGGTGGGGGCTAAGCACGGCCTTCTCTATTAATTAGAGATGGCATCGGGGCTAAGCAAAGTGACTGCAGCTGGATTTCCCAGTTCTATTTTTGGCCTATTGCTCCTTCCTTCCCGTCTCCTGCATTGTCTCTAACCCTCCCTTCTGATCTTCATCTTCTTCTCTTTCTCTCTATCTTTTCTTTTACTCTCTCATTTCCTGTCCCCCTCCCCCTTTTTCCTATTTTATTTCTTGTTTAAATGTTTAGTAAATGTGCGGCTCCATAACTCTTCCTAGCAACTCAAGTACACAGGAAGTTGTATTGGGGGGGGGGGGGGCATTCTGTGGGAACATGGTGGATATTTTCTTTTGATGTGTTTGTTTTCCTAGCGGCCTTAATCTCTGTCCATCTCCCTTCCCGCCCCCTCACATTTTTGTCCTACCTGTTCCTCACTCTCTGACTGTCTGTGTCACTGCTTTCCTCTCTCTCTTTGTATTTGCCGCTCTCCCTCACTCCCTCCCTCTCTTTCTCTCTCTCTCTCTTTCTTTCTTTCTCCATACCTTCAGTTGGTGTATAAGGTTATGTGTTGCCTAGTGCAGAACATTTCATGTCCATCATTCCCCCCTCCCACACATTAAATATATGTGTACTTTTTAAAAACACATTTGCCGTCACCTTCCCCCCCCCCCCCCCCCCCCCCCCCCCCCCCCCCCCTCCTCCTCCCACATTGATGACACCTAGGGGAGGGAGTGCACCCCTTCCTGCTACCTTCTTCCCTCTATATCTCATCTTATTTCTTACTCCCTTCTTTCTCTCCCTGTCTCATTCCCACTTTATTTTCTTAAACTTTATTCTCTCACCTCCTCTGTCTCACCCTTACCACCTCAGCCTTCTACACCACTTTCCACCACCTCCTCTCTCCCCTCCTTTCTGTAATTGGAAAACCAGAAATAAAATGAAGTCCACTGCTGCCCTGACCTATTTATGTGTCTGACCTATTTATGTGTGTGGGTAAACTTCTCTATTTTCCACCAGTGGTGGGTTGGGATCCCCTGGACTTTTTTTTTTTCTTCATAAAATGACCTTGGCTCTCAGGTCACCAGCCTTAAGTGTAAGAAATTGAATTATTGTTGTCACACACAGATAGGACAAGCAAGGGGCAGTGGGGGTTAGCACTGTTGTTTTTGGACCACGGCCACATTCACATTGGGAGAGGGTAGGAACCGGAAAAGTGGCCTCACTTAGAGATTTCCTAATTCTATTTTGGGCACTCATTGTTCTTACACCCCCCACCCCCACAACCGTGTCTTACCTTTCTTCTCTCACCCCTTCTCTTTCCTTTGATCTTCTACTATTCTCCTTTCTCTCTCCATTCTTCCTCTCTTCCTTTCCTTGCCCTTTCTCCTGTCCCATCTCTTCTTTGTCTCCTCTCCATCCTGTCTTTTCATTTTCTCTAGATTTCCTTACCCGCTCCCCTCTCTCATTCTCTTCCCCCCCCCCCCCCCCATTTTTTTTTTACCTGGTTCATCTACATATTTTTTTGCCCCATAACTATCTTTTCCTAGTGGTTGTGTCCACTACACTTGAAATTGTGTGTGGGGGGGGGGGGGGAGTGGGTGGCTGTTTTTTTTCTTTGAGGTATCTTGTCTCCCTTCCTTCCCCCCTCTCTTAATCTGTGTTTGTCACTGCCTTCCTTACCCACCTTTCTCTCTCTCTCTTGCTTTATGTCTGTTTGCCTCCCTTCATCACTTCCTCTTTGTATACCTCCCTCCCATTCTCCTGCTCTGCCTTTTTTCTCTTTCTTTGGTTCTCTCCCTCTGTCTGCTTGCCTCTCTGTGCTGTCCCTTTATGTCTACATCTCTCTCTGCTTGCATCTGCTTCTCACCCTGTCCGTTCTCTCTCTCCCTCTGTCTCCCTTCTTTCAACTCTTTGTCATATTTTCCTCCTTCCATATCTCTGTTTCGTTCCCTTTTTCCTTCTCTTTTCATCTGCCCATCTCTGTATCTGCATTCCCTCTTTCTGTATTTGTCTCCCTCTCTGTCTTTCGCTGTCCCTTCCCCACTTTTTCCTCATCATGTCTCCATCCCTCCCTCTCATTTTTTCCTCCTTCCCCAGACTTCTTTTCCTTCTTTTCTCTACCTTCATCTGTCCATCTTTACACTGTCTCTCCCAGCCTACCTCAGCATGTGTCTTCCTCTCTCTTCATGACTCTCTCTCTCTCCCCTAACCCTCTCAGATACCAGGTCCAGAACAGACAGGACTTCAGTTTGCTGCCCTCTACCACCAAGCCCTAAAAAAATTTCAAACACTATATCAAGCTCAGGGGCCGACCAACACGAAGATGGACACAGGATATAAGTGACTCCTTGAGTATAAAAAAGTACATGAGGCGGGAGAGCTGGTGAGAGACCGAGTTTTTTTTTGTCAGGATAAAGGAAATGCTACATGATGATGATATCTGTGCTGGTATACCAACACATGTGGCACAAATGAAGTACCTTGTGTGCTCAGTACACCCTTGAACAAGGCAAAAATCTTGTATTAGTATTACACCGAGACAACCTTGAAAAAAACTAAGGAGACCTTGAAAAAGACCTTGAAAAGCCTTGAAATTGATTGGTAAATTTGGCTATGAACCCTGTTTCTAATCTGTTTCTGATATTCTCTAAATGAGAAAACTAACTACAATGATTGTTAGTCCTCTCCATGTGGAAAAAAAGAATAGACCCACTGCCTCTGTCATAAGCCAGAGTTAGTCAAGTCTATAGTTAGCCCAGATTTGTTTAGCTCAAACACAAGATTAGTTTAGCTGAAACAGACCACACCCAAAACTCTACCACCTCAAGCTGGTGAGGGTGTCAAAACGCCAGAACCTCATGCAGCACAAATAAAGTGTTAACAACATACACAATACCTATGCATGCCTTCCACAGGGGTCAACTAGATTAGGACCTGCCTAAGACCGTTCTGGAGTTTTTAAATTTCTCGTTTGTTTGTCGGTTTTTCAAGAGTCTGTAATTGTTTGATTCGTTTTCAATATTACACTTAGAATAAATATTCAGAATTAATTCCTAATGTTTCGGCTTTGATAATGTTTGTCAGTTTAACGCCATCGCGATAGTTCAAATATTATTAAAGATTGTATAGATGAAAGTAGTATAAACTATATTTTAACGTCTGCAAGTGGCGATAGTGTTGTACCGATATCTCCATAAACATACCCATTGTGATAGAGGACAGTTGTGAGACCATAGACTGTGAATAGCTTTTAAGACTAGCATGGTTGGTTCAGGAGGTAGCAGTGTAGTCTGAGTAAAGAACAGTGTGAGTTTGGACACAAAAAGCTCTCTGACCCAGGAACAGCTAGGATGAGTTATTAAGAGTTTCTGTGTGAGGCCAAGAAAATATCTGTTTTCCATTGCCCAATATGGCAGGGAACGGACAAGAAGCTTTGAGCCAACACTTAGTGACAAAAGGATATGTTTGTCCGAGAACAAAAAGCCTTGGTCTGATGTTAGGCAAGGAAGGATGAGTTCCCTCTGACCGGACATAGCAGCCACAGCGAGGAGCAAGAATTTTGGATAGCGCCCCCGAGTTTGGCCTAACCTTGCATCCCTGTGATAAATGGAGCTTAGTTGACTGTTTGTCTTATCTACACTGGTTTTTTGCATATAACATACCAACAGTTCAAATAAATTAGCTTAGAAATGTTTTCTAGAAGGAACTTTTGTATTCGCAACTGACTTTTTTTGACATACTCCACTTACATTATGAAGCAGTTTGGACCGGAGGTTAAATGTGGCAGGATACACTTTATTTGTGCGGCATGAAGTTCTAATGTGTTAACGCTCTCACGAGTTTTAGGTGTTGGTGGTGTTTTGGGTATAGTCTGTTTCAGCTAAACTAATCTTGTGTTTGGGGTCAACAGATCTTGACTAAATATAGTCTGTTTCAGCTAAACTAATCTTGTGTTTGAGGTCAACAGATCTTGACTAAATATAGTCTGTTTCAGCTAAACTAATCTTGTGTTTGAGGTCAACAGATCTTGACTAAATATAGTCTGTTTCAGCTAAACTAATCTTGTGTTTGGGGTCAACAGATCTTGACTAAATATAGTCTGTTTCAGCTAAACTAATCTTGTGTTTGGGGTCAACAGATCTTGACTAAATATAGTCTGTTTCAGCTAAACTAATCTTGTGTTTGAAGTCAACAGATCTTGACTAAATATAGTCTGTTTCAGCTAAACTAATCTTGTGTTTGAGGTCAACAGATCTTGACTAAATATAGTCTGTTTCTGACTTGACTAACTCTGACACATGACAGCCCACCTAACCAGCATCATTAATGGAGACTTATTAGGGATTTTTCCGCTTAAGTCGGAGCGCATCAGCCTGAGCTGTGAGGAACCAACAGTCTGCATACAAGTAGGCCAGATATGTAAAATAGATATGTATGCAAAATTCAAGTTCAGGAACTAGACTTAAGTCCAGAAGTGGATGAACAACCAGAACTTTTCATGGAGTTTACAGCCTTGGCTGGTCCCTCTCCCTTGTGTATTTTCATGGCCAGCATGTCTTTAGCCTGGTGTGTTTGTTCTTGGCTGGTCCCTCTCCCTTGTTTATTTTCATGGCCAGCATGTCTTTAGCCTGGTGTGTTTGTTCTTGGCTGGTCCCTCTCCCTTGTGTATTTTCATGGCCAGCATGTCTTTAGCCTGGTGTGTTTGTTCTTGGCTGGTCCCTCTCCCTTGTGTATTATCATGGCTAGCATGTCTTTAGCCTGGTGTTCTGTTCTTGGCTGGTCCCTCTCCCTTGTTTATTTTCATGGCTAGCATGTCTTTAGCCTGGTGTGTTTGTTCTTGGCCAGCATGTCTTTAGCCTGGTGTTTTTGTTCTTGGCCAGCATGTCTTTAGCCTGGTGTTTTTGTTCTTGGCCAGCATGTCTTTAGCCTGGTGTTTTTGTTCTTGGCCAGCATGTCTTTAGCCTGGTGTTTTTGTTCTTGGCCAGCATGTCTTTAGCCTGGTGTGTTTGTTCTTGGCCAGCATGTCTTTAGCCTGGTGTTTTTGTTCTTGGCCAGCATGTCTTTAGCCTGGTGTGTTTGTTCTTGGCCAGCATGTCTTTAGCCTGGTGTGTTTGTTCTTGGCCAGCATGTCTTTAGCCTGGTGTGTTTGTTCTTGGCCAGCATGTCTTTAGCCTGGTGTTTTTGTTCTTGGCCAGCATGTTTTTAGCCTGGTGTTTTTGTTCTTGGCCAGCATGTCTTTAGCCTGGTGTGTTTGTTCTTGGCCAGCATGTCTTTAGCCTGGTGTATTTGTTCTTGGCCAGCATGTCTTTAGCCTGGTGTTTTTGTTCTTGGCCAGCATGTCTTTAGCCTGGTGTTTTTGTTCTTGGCCAGCATGTCTTTAGCCTGGTGTTTTTGTTCTTGGCCAGCATGTCTTTAGCCCGGTGTTTTTGTTCTTGGCCAGCATGTCTTTAGCCTGGTGTTTTTGTTCTTGGCTGGTCCCTCTCCCTTGTGTATTTTCATGGCTATCATGTCTTTAGCCTGGTGTTTTTATTCTTGGCCAGCATGTCTTTAGCCTGGTGTTTTTGTTCTTGGCTGGTCCCTCTCCCTTGTGTATTTTCATGGCTATCATGTCTTTAGCCTGGTGTTTTTATTCTTGGCCAGCATGTCTTTAGCCTGGTGTTTTTGTTCTTGGCTGGTCCCTCTCCCTTGTGTATTTTCATGGCTATCATGTCTTTAGCCTGGTGTTTTTATTCTTGGCCAGCATGTCTTTAGCCTGGTGTTTTTGTTCTTGGCCAGCATGTCTTTAGCCTGGTGTGTTTGTTCTTGGCCAGCATGTCTTTAGCCTGGTGTGTTTGTTCTTGGCCAGCATGTCTTTAGCCTGGTGTTTTTGTTCTTGGCCAGCATGTCTTTAGCTTGGTGTGTTTGTTCTTGGCCAGCATGTCTTTAGCCTGGTGTTTTTGTTCTTGGCCAGCATGTCTTTAGCCTGGTGTGTTTGTTCTTGGCCAGCATGTCTTTAGCCTGGTGTGTTTGTTCTTGGCCAGCATGTCTTTAGCCTGGTGTGTTTGTTCTTGGCCAGCATGTCTTTAGCCTGGTGTGTTTGTTCTTGGCCAGCATGTCTTTAGCCTGGTGTCCTTAGTTGTGTTTGAAGTTCAACTTTTTTCTTCCTTCAGTGTCATAATTATTAATTTTTGTCCTGTCTGAACCAAGTAATGTTTAACATGGCTGACATATTTTTCAGGAGCAAGCAAGCAGTGAGCTGTATAACCTTCGAGAAGTTCGCTGTTTAGTCTTCTCCTACATTCACCAGGTGTTTATTGCAGATCCAAACCTCGCCAAGCTGGTTCACTTCCAGGTCAGTGGCATCCATGTTTTTTTTTTGGTAATCTCTGTTCCTACTTCACAGCAGACGGGTCACCCCATAGTTACTCCATTCCAGCGCCAGCGAACACCGCACACAATGTCTATCACTGTCCCTGGTGAGAAGATATGACACACACAGTTAATCACACAAGTGTGCTGGCAACAGGCAGCTCAGCATTTTCTGAATCTACAGTTCACAACACAAACCCCGTTATCTTTAAACATGATCAGGAAGCTAGGGTGATGTATTAGTTAGTTCTCTTGCTTACTAAGACAGTTGTCTGTCTGTACAGTGAGTTCTGTCAGAACAGTGAGTTCTGTCTGTACAGTGAGTTCTGTCTGTACAGTGAGTTCTGTCTGTACAGTGAGTTCTGCCTGCCAGTGAGTTTTGTCTGTTCAGTGAGTTCTGTCTGTTCAGTGAGTTCTGCCTGGACAGTGAGTTCTGTCTGTTCAGTGAGTTCTGCCTGCCAGTGAGTTTTGTCTGTTCAGTGAGTTCTGTCTGTTCAGTGAGTTCTGTCTGGACAGTGAGTTCTGTCTGGACAGTGAGTTCTGTCTGGACAGTGAGTTCTGTCTGGACAGTGAGTTCTGTCTGGACAGTGAGTTCTGTCTGTACAGTAAGTTGTGCCTCGACAGTGAGTTCTGTCTGTTCAGTGAGTTCTGTTTGGACAGTAAGTTCTGTCTGGACAGTGAGCTGGCAGTTTCAGAATTGTGGAGGAAACAAAACAAGCTGGGTTATACTTCCAGTTGGTCTTGGCTCCCAGGTCAACCCAGCCTAAAATGAGAAACTAGGTCAAGTCCTGGGAAGCAAAGGTGACTGGCTTTATGTTGACCACATCACCCAAGGTGTGCCGATTGGTTTATAAAAAATATGAGTCTGGCATTTTGTGCCCAATGCGCCATACTGCTGAAAAATAGTCCAATACTTAACTTCATCATGATATGCCCTGCCAGGTAGAATAGACTTATGTATCTCCACAGATCTCGATTCTTGGTATGCTGAATCAATTCCTCCATGTCATTGCTTCAGGCCACCATCTCTGTTGGTCTGCCTCTTTTACCATTGATCTTTCCAGTCATCACAATGTTCTCCAATGCATTTCTTCTTATCACATGACTGAAGAAACGTTCACTGCCTTTTTCTTAGGAGCTATGTACATTATCCGATTGTATTTGCCATTTCCAGGCAGTCGTAAGTCACTCTGGCTATTTACGGTATCCGCAGCATACCTCCCACAAACCACATCACCGCGGTCTCTAAAGTTCTTCCTAATTTGTTCATTCACTACCAGTGCTAGTTCAGCATAATATCTTTACTTACTTACTTATAATTCCAGTGAGTTCATGTTTGTTGGGCTGGAAAAAAAACACGTTCTATTGTTGGTTTCTGCACATGCACAGTTCTAGTAAGAAAGATTTGAATCATGGGTCAGCTGGCAAACTCTTTGCCTTCCTAAAGGTCATGGTGGCTGTCAGGTAGGTTCTCTTGGTGGTGAAATTATGGGACAACTCTACAGAGCAGTGAATGGGCAACCCAGAGTTTGTTTGGAGGCAGAAGAGGATGAAACATTGGAAGAGAGGCCTACCTGTAATGGTCAGAGCCTCATGATTTGTTTGCTTCCTCCCCAAGTTGGTTCTGGGGTGGGGGGGGGGGGGAGAGAGAATAGCCACTTCCATCCACGCTTGTACAGGGTGACAAATTAGGGATGTTTTCCTTGAAGTTGAAATGCATCTGCCTTAGATGTGAGGAACCAACAGTCTGCATTTGCAAATAAAACCAGATCTTTAAATTAGATGTCCATGCTCAAAGTTTTGGAACAAGATTAAAGTCCAGAAGTGGATGAACAACCAGAACTTCCCACCAGAATTTACAGCCAGTGAACACAAAGAAGAAGCTTGCTCCTCAGCAGAGTTTACACAGTTGCAAACTAACAATGATACATGTAAAGTATACCAACATCAGGCATTCAAATGGGAAACCCTAAGATGAACGTTGATGAGAGAGGCCAAAGCTGCTGCTCTGGATTCTATCCATGTTAGTGAACTGACTGCACAGGATACAATGGAATGGAGGAATAGACTGAATCATAACATCAGAAGCCAGTTGTTCTTTTTAAACTAGAAAGAGAGATATAGAAAGACAATGTGAAAAGATTCCTACAGCCTTTTGTCGTGGCTTAGAAGGGTTTCATCAGGCAAACTGATACATGCTTTTGGTGGTCACAAGTTGTGGAAAGATATGATAGACCACACCAGTTGGCAACTTAACTCTTTCAGGATGACAATTTTTTTTTTCTGAGGTTTGGACAGCATTAATTTTTAGTTGAATTTTTTTAATTGCAACATGACAAAGCTAAAACCTTCCTGAAGAAAAAATATTGGCTGTATGAGGACATATAATACATAAAAGTAAAGAGAAATGAGTGCAGAATAAATCTAAACTATTTTAAGTGTCAGTGTGACAACAAAATGTTATTAAAATCACACAACATTCAAGGATGTTAGAGACATATAAAGATTATTTACACACAAAAAGTTTGTGCTTACCTTACTTTTTACTTATTCAACAACAAGCTATCCAGTTATGTGAATTCACATGCCTGCTCTGTTTAATTATGTATCAGCTAATCTTTATTTGAAACAATTAAACTTTGGATGTGTATGATCATTTTTGTATGACATGTCAGATTTCACAACTGAAATCAGGAAAACAGCTGATCAAAACAGAGATGATCCGACAAATATTTTTTTCAACATCATCCTATCCTTTATTATCACCAATAGGTTTGTCACTTGCATTATCAGTCATAATGTCAAGTCTGTTGTCACTATCTGACTGAGATTCATCAAAAACAGAGCAGTATGAACAGTTCTAGACCTTTTCTCTTATCATTTAGTGTAGAAAAATCACGTAAAAATGTATGACATCTATATAATTTTTAAAACATCAGAAAGTTATCCAAACACCACGCTGGACTTCCAAGATGAAAGAATTTCGTTTCGCCAATTCTACTTTTTCAAAACATGTTCTTACGAATTCATTTTCCCAGCAAACGAAACAGTATTAGAGTATCTATGCGGGGAGACACTCAACTCTTTGGGTCCCAAGGAACACGTCATACGTTCATAGATTCCGACCTAGAAGCCCAATAAACACAAGATGCACCGATTTTTATGTCTTTCTTGACTACCCCTTGGGCCTGTAATGCTAAACTTTCTGGGACTCAAAAAGTTTACTGATCCGTCCAAACATTTTGGATTCAGGAGCCAATTAAAGGGTGATTGGTCCTCATAGAGTTAAGGATGATGACAGTTACCTCTTCTACACTAGAAGGTAGAGGCTTCTTATGGTTTTGTATTGTTTACCAAAAGTTGTACGTTATGATAAAGTTATGATTATTTTCAATAATTCAACAGGGCTACCCTAGCATGTTGATACCCTTCGTTGTATCTGGCGTTCCGTCCATGCATATCTGCTTGGACTTTATTCCAGAACTTCTTGGGCAGCCGCAGCGGAATAAACAGGTGGGTGATTTTGTGTGTGTGTGTCACAGGTGGAAGAACAAATGCCTGTATGTTGTTGTGACCTTTGGGAGAAGCAAAGAATAGTACCACTGCAGCCTACCAGGTATGTCATTAGAGACAGCTTAGGGTAGGGTAAGATTGTGTGACTTTGAAGGTCAATTAAAATGGGTCACCATGCAACCCTTGATATTCACCAGGGTTCGATCCCTGCTGAGGGTTATTTAGAAAATAACATCTTGAGGATTTTAGACATTGGTACAAGAATCACACCATAGAAGAGATTGTTGCCTCATCACTTTATAGTCCTGTGGTTGGCAGTTGAAACGTTGCACCCAACCTCCAGTGTGGAGACAGGACCATTTAAAAAACAAAATCTGGTTGGATTATGCTTGGGGTTGGCTCCTGCATTATTTTTTTTTTTTAACGTAGCCACAAAAAGCAACCAGTCACAAACAGGTCTAAAGAAGAAATAATCATCGAACCAAGACAGAAGGCTCTTCTGCAAGAAAGTTTGTGAAGTTGGTTCAGAGAAAGCTGAAAGGAGTCCACATCACCAAATTGTCTCTTCTCACCTAGGACTGTTAGAGCAGCATGAGCTGAAAACAGTGTTCTGCTTCTGCTCTTTTCTATTGTCCTTTTAGTGTAAGGTTGTGGAGAGGGATCTGGTGCAAACTTTGGTTAAGTGCTGCGAAGATACTAGTATTTACAGCCTTGGGTATTCCATCTATCCATTGTTTGTATGGCCGACCTCTAGGACTGCCTCCATTTATGTCTGAGTAACAGGGCTCTCCGTGGTGCACTGTCTGATCTTAGTCTTGACACATGCCCAAACCATTTGACCTGTTGTCTCTTGATATAGTTTAATGCTGGTTCAGTCCCAGCTTCTTTCCTGATATCGTCTGTTTTGATCCTGTCTCTTCTAGTCACATTTGGGATTCATCGTAGACATTTTTTTTTTTTTTTTGGTGTTTCTTTTTTGTTGTTAATGTCCACATTTTGCACAGGCAACACAATGCTGGTAAAAATACTGTGAAACAAACACTAGATGGGGTAGAGACATTTTGCACAGGCAACACAATGCTGGTAAAAATACTGTGAGACAAACACTAGATGGGGTAGAGACATTTAAAACACACAGAGAAATGAATAAGCTGAAGATCTTGGAGTCACCTGCACAAGATGGTGAAGTGTAGGAGAGTTTGGCGCAAACTGGTCGAGGCTAAGATGTTCATTTAAAAAAAACAACCTAATAATGCACACTTCATAATTTTTGTTTTTGATGACAGTTCTTTATTTGGTCCTTAGTAAATTAAAATGTGGATTATTTTGACTCTCTAGGTTTTCGGAATACAACTTTTGTCTCACTTGTGTCAACAGTACCAGCTTCCCAAGTCCATGAATATTGCCAAGCTGGGCATAGATGTTATGTTCACTTTATTATCAGGTAAGTCCAACGAGAGATATATGTTCCCTGTTTGTGTGTTTAGGGCCCTGTGGGGGGGAGGGGGGGGGGTAAACAGATCCACCTGTTATCCTTAACAAGCATTTATAAAAGTTTGTTAGGCGTGTTTCCTCTGAAATTAGAGAACATCTGCCTGAGAAGCAAGGAACTGAGACACACTGTTGTGAAAGGCACTTAATTAAAGATTTGCTGAAACTGAGTTGAATTTAGAATCAACATCATAGCACTCGGGACACTTCCATAAGCGCTCTATCCTAGTCTTCAGCAGCAAGCAAAGAGTTTCAGTTCTGATGGTACCAGTAACATCAGTCTCGCCTTTCCCTTGAGTGTTGAGCGTCCCATGGTAACTCCCCTCAGCGCCATTCTCCTCAGACTGTAATGATCTATTTGTGTCTCCACACAGAAAGTGAGTGTATTGGGCCCAAAAGGTGGAGATGTCACAGCCCACTGCTGACCCTCCATTTTAGCGAGAATGAGAACACAGAATAATCATTGCTGTACCTTACTCTGTGTAGAAAACTGACCACTCTAAGTCTGACCATTTGTGCATTTGCTGCTGCCTGACCAGAAAAGTCCATAAATCTCTCTAGAACCGCCTTATCTGTCTGTCTGTCTGTCTATCTATCTATCTATCTATCTATCTATCTATCTATCTATCTATCTATCTATCTATCTATCTATCTATCTATCTATCTATCTATCTATCTATCTATCTATCTATCTATCTATCTATCTATCTATCTATCTATCTATCTATCTATCTATCTATCTATCTATCTATCTATCTATCTATCTATCTATCTATCTATCTATCTATCTAATGGGCCTCAGTTTGTCAAGGGGATTTAACAAAAGTTTTTCCATGGTATGCAGGATAGACTATCCACACACACACACACAAAATCTGCACATGTGAATTGATTTCCAAACAATCTCCATGCATGTGTTAATTACTGTATTCTATTTTTTAGGGACACACAAATTATTAGTCAAACAAAGATCAAAGAAATTCTTTGCTTTAAGAAAAGAGCAGCACCTGTGCAGTTGTAAATTATAAAATCTGAAGGACATTGGAAATCTTAAGGCCACATGTGGAAATCTGTGTTGATCTGTACCAGAAGCTGACTGGTTTTGCTTTTTGTTCGGTTTATCTTTTCTTGACCACAAGATGTCCTTCTATTCCAGTATTGGAGAAAAGCGAGTGGGTGGCCTTCTTCCAGCAGACAGTGCCTTGCTTGCTGCCCATCTCTCAAGCCTTCCCTCCGCTCTGTGATGACGCTGCAGTACTACTGATGCAGCTGGGCAGAGTCTGCTACTCACAGATCACCGTAGCAGGGAATGCCTCTAAAACAGGTTAGTAATTCATGAGCTGTTTACTCTAGATCAGAAACATTCAAATAAAAGGTTAGTAATTCATGAGCTGTTTACTCTAGAGCAGAACCATTTAAATAACAGGTTAGTAATTCATGAGCTGTTTACTCTAGAGCAGAACCATTTAAATAACAGGTTAGTAATTCATGAGCTGTTTACTCTAGAGCAGAACCATTCAAATAACAGGATAGTAAATCATGAGCTGTTTACTCTAGAGCAGAACCATTTAAATAACAGGTTAGTAATTCATGAGCTGTTTACTCTAGAGCAGAACCATTCAAATAACAGGTTAGTAATTCATGAGCTGTTTACTCTAGAGCAGAACCATTCAAATAACAGGTTAGTAAATCATGTTCTGTATTCTAGAGCAGAACCATTTAAATAACAGATTAGTAAATCATGAGCTGTTTACTCTAGAGCAGAACCATTCAAATAAAAAAAATAGATTAGTAAATCATGAGCTGTTTACTCTAGAGCCCAGGACCCTTTCACTGAATTGACTCAGGGGACAAAATGTCGGGAAAAGGGGATTGCTGCGGGCTAGAGGCCAAAGCCCCAACATAGAAAGATTATTTATACAATGCAGCTGGCAAGTGATCTATGGGCCACATGCTAGGCTTCTGTGGGCCAGATTAGACTGGCAGGCCGTCAGTTGAATAGCTTTGCCCTAGACGGCTGATAGTTAAACAACCCTATGTTGGTTCAGAGGGTGCATTTTGGAGAATAAAAAACAGATCCTCTGCACATACACCCCCCCCCCCCCCCCCTTCCCCATTCCAGTGCCTTTGGTATCTCTCAATAAGTAGCATGTATCTTAGTTTCTCTTGAACTCCTTATTTTCTCAGTCCATATCTTTCATATTTCAATGCCTGTTTGTTAATGCTCTGTCTTGTTCTCCTCGGCATTTGCCCAGTATATTGTCAACTTTTATTTCAAAACATAGATGCTGACCGCTTGAGGCAATCTCATATGTTGTAAATTTCTGTCGTAAAGAAAAAAAAATGTGAACGGCAATTTTTCTTGCTTAAATTGTTATCTGGATCAGAGGAATTTCTTATAAGAAGAACCACTTCTTGGGTTCCCTGTGAGTTCACCCTACTAGGCCTGCATTGTGTTTAACTGCAATATTGTGTCTTCACAGACCAGCATTGTACTTTACATTTGTAATGTAATAGCCACAGATCATTTGTAGATATGACACTCATTTCTGCACGACTTTCATCCACTTACAGGTTGCCTTGTAGACAAAGACAAGAGCCTGGCTCCAGTGTCCATGTCGCTGTGTGGAGACTATGACAGCCTGTACCAGACGGTGAAGTTAACGTTCTCACAGATTTGTGGCCATGCCTTGGTCATGGGCAAGTTATACTGAGCATCCAGTGGCCCGAGAGGTTCACCGGACCACCGGCATATTGTGTGGAGTCTTGGTAACTAGCATAGGATTGGCACTGTTAGCCACGGGATGCTGATGTCATTGTTGAAGGAATGATCTAAGCACCTATGGACATATCCGGAGTGCCGTGTGAGGCTAACCCAACTCATGGGTCATTTTGTGGAGTCCAGATGTCTTTTGACTAGGGTTCTGTTTTTTGTTTTTGGTGCTGAAGACTTTGAGGCATATTTTTACCAGAAGGTACTGTAAGACATGATACTGGAGAATACTGTGAGACATGATACTGAAGAATACTGTGAGACATGATACTGGAGAATACTGTGAGACATGATACTAAAGGATACTTTGAGGCATGTAATGCCGAAGTATGTGTTTGATGCCGAAAGAAACTGACTTTTAGGTGCCTCCTGCTACAGATGCTGTCTGAACATCATCTTGAGGTGTTTAAAAAAAAGATAGTTGCATATCCTTTACAGGATGTTGCAGAACCAGCTCCAGCATTTTGTGGCTTTTCTAGGCAAAGTTTACATTCAGTAGTTTGCCATTGCTTCCTGAACAGTCAGGTCTCAGTACCTCTGTCGAGACCAACGCAAGACCAATCGCAGATGGAATCAAACCCAGCATCCCACCATTACAAAGCGCGTTAGCAGTGCCTATGTCACAGACGTCTTCAGAAGACAGAAGAAAAATAGTTACAATAGAAATGAAATGTTTACATATTATGCAGATGTATCGAGGAAAGATCGACTAGAAACAATGCAATCAGGAAGAGAGTTGGCACAGAACCCATTTTTTTGGCAGACAAAAAATAAAATGGTTTGGCCATGAAACAAGATTAGCAACAGACAAGGCACCAGAAGGTGCAGTGCTATACAGATGCAGCCTTAATCGAACCAGAGGTCGGCCTCGCAGAAGATGAACCGCAGAAATATCAGACACTGAAAAGTACTTTATACGAAGCAAACAGAAGGGCCCGTTCCAGAGATCTCTTCATGCCTTGGTGCTGCGAGACATTCCAGGAGTAGAGAAAATAAAATGATACAGATACTTGAAGATACTGTGAGGTGTTTTAAGTGATGACTAAACTAGGGTTATGGCTACCTCATTCTGTAAAAAACAATAGCCACAAAAACCAACCATGGATAAAACAGAATAGCCACAAAAACCAACCAACCATGGACAAGTAAAAGAAAAAGATGAGATACAGAGGTCAGGATCACTGGTGTGTATTTGATGGGCACCTCTTCTAGGGTCCATAGTGGTGCAGCAGCTAGCACATCTGCCTGCTAGTTTGGTGGTCATGTTTGAATGCCCCCTCAGTGCTGATTTCTAAAATTGATGCAGCCTAAAAATGAGTACAAGGAAATGTTCATGGGAGCAAAGACAGCTGGCATGGTCCGTATTACTTATGATTGGTCTGTAATAAAATGGCACTAGCATCTTATAACTGGGGGCCATAGTTGCACACTGGCGAGATGTTGGCCCAAAAGTGAGTTTGAATCTGCACCAAGTTTTTTTTCCTCTTTTAAATAACTGACCCTGCTGCCAGGTGGTCCCAGTCTAAAATGGTTGTCAGAAAATGCCCAAAGAAATCAAGTTGACAAATTTAATGACAACTGGAAACCACTTGTCTGTGTTAAGGGGGGAAGGGGCTGTTAACCACATAACCAGTGAAATGCTAATTGGTCCATAGTAGTTTCGAGTGTGGCATTGTATGCCCCGTGCGTCACACTTTATATAAAGGATCCTTTACTTTTGACTGTCCCCAACGCACATATATCCAGTCGCCAAGAGCGCGGAAATGGGTCTCTGACTTGTAAATATTACAGCGTTAGTCAGCCAGGCATAAGTTGCCAGGTCACCACACTGTGTGATTCTGTTTATAACGAGGGGGATGTTCGCACACACGGTTAGGGTGGCCTCCTGATTCAATAATGCTGGACAGCGATACGAACAGCTTTCTGCAATGTGCCGGATGGACACAGCTTGCTTATAATGAGATGTTTGCATCTATGTTTGAGATAGTCACCTGTTTAAATGATGCCGGAAGAAATAATTTGTTTATAATGTGCATGATCTCGGTACAAAAGATTGAGATGGCCAGCTGTTTAAATGACGCTTGATGTACACACCTTGCTTTTAATGTGAATGGTGTTGGCACGATTGTATTAGACATTTGATGGCTAGCTGTTTAAATGATGTCAGACAGACACCAGACACGTGTGTATTGTTGGCAAAGAGTGCATGAAATATTTGATGGGTAGCTGGTAAAATACAATGTTAGACGCTTGTATATTGGATGAATTTTGTGATTTTTCATTTAGTGTTAAAATTCTTAAAGAGCTTGCCACACTTAAAAGGATGTATTTTATTTGTTACGTCTGATAATGAAGTGACATTTCTTAGTTATGCTATGCAGATCACAAAATCTGTTTGTGTAGGCAGCAATTTACACAAGATCAAAGAACAACAGATAGAGATATCTTCTTCTTCTGCATTCTTCTGAAGATGTCATTGTGTTGGCCCATTCACAGCATGGCTGCGATATTTGATCTTTCAGCCGACACATTCAACTTCTGCAGGCATGTGTTGACTGGGTTAACCTTCCTGGTTAGTTTCATGGTATATACATTAAACCCCCTAGCAGTAGAGCAGAAACTCTCTCTACCAGCAAGTGACATCTGCACTAACTTCAGAGCTGAGGCAACTGCCCTCCTTTCTGCAACCCAACATCTCATCACTCAAGAACACAGAGGGCACAAAATTGTTAAGACTTATTGTCTGTTCTCCAAGCACTATCAAGCAAAAAACAAGACAAACTAATTGCAGATCTAAGGACCAACATTGGCTTACTCTCCAAGGAAGCAGAACTGGTCTTGCAGTGGATACCTGCCCGCTGTGGTATTCAAGGAAATGAGAGAGCAGATGAGTTGGCAAAAGCTGGGAGTAATCTTCCACAACCTCATCCACCACACAGCTACAAGGAAATCAAAACAGCACTAAAGCAGTCTTTCAAGCGGGAGTGGAGAAGGCAGAATGGAGATTACAGACCAGAGAGTGACAGCATAAACAAACTCAACAGGAAAGAACAAACATCAATTTGTAGACTTCGGACTGTGATTGTGGAGCAGAAAGACAGACCCCTGGGCACATTCTACAGTACTGTCCTAACCTCTCCCAGCAAAGACTGTGGATCTGGCCCAAGGGAGCCACATTGCAAGAGAAGCTATGGGGGACCGGTGGCGACCTTAAACGCACAATCCTATTTGTGACCCAAATGGGACTCAGTGTTTAGCATGACTGATGTCGAACGCAGAAAAAAAAGTTTCATGGTACACTGCACTGAGTTGAGTCAAAAATTGACATCACAGCACTCAGGGCATTCCCATGCATGCTCCGTCCTCATCTTCAGCAGCCAACGCAGAGTTCCAATACTGATGGTACTGGTTGGGACATTAAAGTCTAAATGTTGTGTGGTCATCTTTGTTTCCGAGGTGGTGGTACCCCTCATCAGGCCGGTCCAGAGAGGCCATATAATACTGGTCAGCCCTGAAGAGAAGGCAGAACATGAGCATTCTCCACCATCCAAGGCTTCCATAACTGTAGAACCAATACATGGTGCTCTGCTCACCCAAGGAATCATCATGGCCTGCTTATGACCGTTTGACCTAACTTGTATATGCTGAACATCTCATTTATCACGGGCTATGTTTTAGAAGCTTGGTTTGACCTTACTTCTATATGCTGAACATCTCATTTATCACGGGCTATGTTTTAGAAGCTTGGTTTAACCTTACTTCTATATGCTGAACATCTCATTTATCACGGGCTATGTTTTAGAAGCTTGGTTTGACCTTACTTCTATATGCTGAACATCTCATTTATCACGGGCTATGTTTTAGAAGCTTGGTTTGACCTTACTTCTATATGCTGAACATCTCATATATCACGGGCTATGTTTTAGAAGCTTGGTTTGACAGTACTTCTATATACTGAACATCTCATTTATCACGGGCTATGTTTTAGAAGCTTGGTTTGACCTTACTTCTATATACTGAACATCTCATTTATCACGGGCTATCTTCTTCTTCTTCGCGTTCACCAGCTGTACACTCTGGCGTAAAGTTCTGGTTGTTCGTCCACTTCTGGACTGCAGTCCTGCTCCAGAACCTGAGTGTTGCGTTTGCATCAGTTTTACAGATCTGATTCAATTGAATGCAGAGTGCTGGTTCCTTGCCTCTCAGGCAGATGCACTCCGACTTCAAAGGAAGCTCCCCAGTGAGTCGACTCTTACGACATGCTTTTGGGGAGGCAGTGGGTCTATTCTTGTTTTCCCTACAATAGGGCCCCAGAACCCACACAGGGGATCACGGTCTATGTTTTAGAAGCTTGGTTTGACCTTACTTCTATATACTGAACATCTAATTTATTACGGGCTATATTTTAGAAGCTTGGTTTGACCTTACTTCTATATACTGAACATCTCATTTATCATGGGCTATGTTTTAGAAGCTTGCAGACATGGAATTTGATAACCTACACAGATGAGTACTTTGCTTCTTTTGCATGTTAAACTTTTACTGCAGGGGATTTCCGTGTCCATTATAGTTTCATAAGATAGGGATATAGAAAATAAAAACTCAGAGGGCAAGAGAAGCTTTCTTTACATCAGGAAATCTGAAAGTCAAAAGAAATTAAACCGAGGGGAATGTGCTGCGGAAGATAGTAAGGTCAGCTTTTAGTAAGTTGGTTGACGGCCTATGTGCAATAAAGCAAAGAAAAATCCACAAACAGTGACACACATTGTATTCTAGATTCTAGGGTGTGTTTTTTCCATCTCATTCTGTAAAACGGCCTCTGTGGCTTAGGCGCTGTGAGCACGCTTCGTAATGCCAAGGTTGCAGGTTTGATCCCAGCTGCAGGCAATTTGGCAGCAGGTTGGTTTCAACAGTGGTATCAAGAGCCGACCGTTTAGAAACCAGTGGCAAACTACTGAACGTAAAATTGCCCAGTAAAACCAAACAGCCAGACAGTCCTAGGGTTGGTTCTGTAATGTCCTGTAAAGGACATCTATCAGTTCAGACACGTAGAATTAGAGTGGTACAAGACAGAAATCCATGGAATAATAGGTTCAAAATGCTCTATGGCCAGTGCAGTGAATGAAATACTTTACGACAATGACTTCAAATATTCAGCGATTTGCATTTAATCCTAGTACACTGAGCCAGTCACGTATGCTCTAACGCTGAACTAGATTTTGTTCCAGAAAACACCTTCAACTGCCTCAAGTAGATGTTTTTGTCTTTCATCCAAATATCTTCTACAAACAAAGATGATGCGAGAAGATGATGGTTATACAATACAGCACAAACATGAAATTCAAGACATAAACATTATGTTGTCATTTCATTTATTTACATCATTATGTTCAGATCCAAACCACCATTACTTGATCAGGCAATCTCAAACCGTGGAGCTACCTAAGTATGAAATGTTGAGATTTAATTAGAAAGTCTGCTGTGACCACACACATTAATATTAGTAATGTTATCTAGGCCTGGGTCACAAAGTTACACTCATACTTGCAGTTAGACCTGGGTCACAAAGTTAAACTCTAGTTAGGCTTGAGTCACAAAGTTACTCTCAAACTTGTAGTTAGGCTTGAGTCACAAAGTTACACTCAAACTATCAGAAGGTCTAACAAGAGTATAAGAAATGTCATGATAGTTTTCAACTGCTAACAATCCAAGAATGCAGCCTGTCTGATTGCGATATCGTAGACAATCTACTAACATTGACAAGAACCCATGCTCTATCATGCAATGCTATCATTCTGTCCACCTACTTTCTCACTTCACATTCAACATAAAACACTTTCATTCACTTACCCATACTACCCCACAACATTTAAGACAGAAATAAAATATGCACACACACATTCTTCTTCTATGGTAGTGATCATGTTCCAACTTGACTCGGCTGCTGTCTGCCATCTTTTGTTGCCTGTGTTTTCTCAGCTTGTTCCTGGAAACCAAGTAGCAGAACAGTCACAGATATTTGTACATGAGAAATAACAAGTTGAAAAGGTCCTTTACTTTACTATCTGGCAAGATAAATAAGGATGGTGTTTACCAGGTTTCCCTCGGCAGCAAATGGCTGAAACCCATTGGTATCTAGCATCTCCTTGTATGAGTGCCGGGGTCCCATTTGGCAGTGGGTGGGGCAGGAAGAATAGATCCACAGTCCCCTAACAAGCATTTCAAAGGAGGTGACTAGTTTGGTGAACATTTCGTCCAAAGTCGCAGTGCATCTGCCTGAGAGGCCAGGAACCAACAGTGTGCAAACAAATAAGCCAGATCTGTAGAACAGATGTGCACACAAAGCTCAGGTTCTGGAACGTGATCAAAGTCCAGGAGTGGATGAACAACTGAAACTTTCTACTGTAGTTTACTGCCCGTGAATGCTAAGAAGAAAAGGATTCCCCCTAATCTCTTGGTTTGTAAAATCAGATATCTGAAATTGTACGACGTTTTCGGTAAATCTGTACCTTAGACTTCCGTATACTAATCTGTTATTCTACAGCAAACAAGAGTAGTTTCACAGGCTGCATTCTGATTAGCAAACGGTGCCACCCTATTTTCTGTCTCTAAACTAAATAATCAATCCAATGCTGCAAATTGTTCTACTGTGCATAATCAAAGAAATAATGCCCCTCCCCTATTTCTCATCACCTATATGTCTCTTCTGGTCGCAGTGTCAGCTCTTCTCAGACATTTTATCTCACACAATGTGAACTTACGTACTTCTCAGAATTTTATCTCACACAATGTGATCTTACATATTTCTCAGACATTTTATTTCACACAATGTGATCATACATACTTCTCAGACATTTCACCTTACACAATGTAATCTTACATACTTGGACATTTAACCTAACACAATGTGATCTTACATACTTCTCAGACACTTCACCTCACTCAATGCGATCTTACATACTTCTCAAGAAATTTCACCTCAAACACCTACCCAGTGTCTTTAATGTCTATTTGCTCTCCTTTCTTCTTCAGTTCCCCAGTCTCAAGCATTTTCCTACCCAGTGTCTTCAATGTCTATTTGCTCTCCTTTCTTCTTCAGTTCCCCAGTCTCAAGCATTTTCCTACCCAGTGTCTTCAATGTCTATTTGCTCTCCTTTCTATTCTTGATTTCTTCTTAGCATTCACCAGCTGTTAACTCATATTAAATTTTACAGCTACAATATTCTACTGGATAAGGCAGCCAGTCACGTACCAACCCTGACTAGCTGGCTCTTATGACGTGCAAGATACGTTAAACAGTGGTGAATTGTTTCTTCCCCTGGTAAATGAGGCATCTGCTTGAACTACTAACCTGCAAAAGAGCACTCCTCTTCCCCTGGTAACTGAGACATCTGCTTGAACTACTAACCTGCAAAAGAGCACTCCTTTTTCTCTGGTAGTGCTGCCAATGGAGAAGCTGTTGATCGTCGATAAACTTGGTGCACTGGGCATTGACCAGTTCCTTCCGGAAGTGTTCGTACTGCAGCAGTTCCAGCATGTGTAGGCATTGAGGATACCTGGCAATATTATATAGGTTTATTTTAAAAGCCAAATGCCATTCTGGCATGTTGAGAAAGTGGTGTTAGGCTTACAGATGTAGTAGCCAGACTGCACATGGGGAATCACATTTATTTAACTATTTCTGTCCCAGGTGCAGTCTGTAGGGAAGAAAAAAAGGCGGCTTTTGAGCTGAAATGCTAAAGAAAGATTCTCAGAATACCAGGGACAAAGAAGAAAAGAACTGAACATCAAGATTGGTTAATAAACAGCATCTTGTCTTGGAAGCTGAAATACTTTAGCCATTTCAAGAGCTAAGCGGACAGAAAAAAACAAATAGAAGGTATTGTACCAGGAAGGAAGGGCAAGGGCTGACCAGCGCGAAGACGGAAATAGGATATAAGTGACATCTTGTGCAGCGGGAGACCTGACAAAAGAGTTTCTTTCAGGCAGACCTTGATGAGAGCGACAATCTGCAAAGGACCTGCTGTACGACAATGAGCTCTCACATACTGTTTAATTCAGCAATGCCTATGCTACACTATTTGTATCTAACCATATCAATTCTGTGGGCCCCATAGAGCTGAAAGATACAGCCTTTGGACAGAAGTCATAACAGCAGCACCTGAAATATAAGTGGTTAACCTTTTGGAGATATAGCTTTATTTGGAGTTCAGCGCCAAGAAGACAGAGCCTGATTTGGAGTTCAGTGCCAAGAAGACGGAGTCTCAACACTTGTTTTTGTTGTTGTTGGAAACATGGCTCATGGAGGCCCTTTAGACACCACTGGTACATGGTTTTACTCTTTTTCCTGCATGTTGCTATGACGCAACAGTCGTTTTCACCATTGTTGGGCACAGGTAACACCTAAAATAACGGTCGATGCAAAGTTACAGAACATAACAAACTTTCATGAAAGCCACCACTGAACATCCCACATGTGCAAGAAATGCAAAAAACAATCTGTCTGGCTGGTATGAGACCAACCAGCCAATCTCAAGGCTTATATTACCGGGCCGACAGATAGGCCCAGCTATCTTTTTGGCTATTTCGCTGTTGGCCGATAGATTGGCCCAGTTGTCCCAAAAGGGTTAACACAGACATCTGGACAGGAGAAACAAAGAAATGTTGATAGTGTAAAAGGTAACCAATGAACGAATAGTGTGTTCCCTGGTACTGAAAGAATAAATCAGGCCGGCTTTAATCAAGTGTTCTTCTTTTACCTTTTATTCTCAAAGTTGCACAAGCCCTCAACCAACTCAAATCATCTGGTCCTTTCTACTGACCGTCTTTCCCAGGTCGACACCTGCCTGAAATGGGTGAACAGAAACTTTCCTTGGAAATAAAGGCAGTCAGTGTGATACTAACCACACTCTTCATTTAGTGCTAATTGGTTTAAAAATAATACTGCAAAATAACATACCAAAAGGCATGGAAACATCTGTTATTTATTACACCCTTACCCCCAAAAAAAAGGAGCCACCATGGTGTAGCGGCTAGATGCTCGCCTGCGGATTGGAAGGGGATGGGTTCAGGTCTTGACGGTACTGAACTTTTAAAAACAATCATCATGGCTCCAAGGTCAACTCAGCCCTGAATGAGTGCCAGGAGGAGTCCTGGGAAACAAAGGTGGCCGGCGTGATGCTAACCATATCATCCACAGAGTGTCAATTAATCAATAAAATTTAGGTCTAGCCCTATATGCCCAATAGGCCTGAAGGCGTGGAAAGGGGTCCTTAGCCACAAAATCTCACCACAAAGGCCCTTTATATTGAACTGATTACCTACTTGAATTTGATCGCCTGAAAACTAACTAGCATCATCAATGCTTCCAACTGCAAGTCTAGTAATGAAGCAATCACAACAACAGATTTCAAATCATCAGAAGTGGTTCTTCCCTTCCATAAATGGTATGACCTTTAGTTTTATGACAGACCAGAAGGCATGCCTACTTCAATCATAACTCTCATGTTAAAAAAACATTACCTGGCAATACTTACTTCAAAAACTTGGCATACTTGGCTTCCTTCCAGTATTGCAAATATTTCAAATAATTCACAAAGTTAGGATCTTTGAGGATCCCACGCTGAGCGAGAACTGAAAATAGAGAGCAGATCTTAAGTGAAGAAGCATCACAAGGAGTGGGTCAACATAAGCACATCACAAGGGGTGGGTCAGTAGAAGCTCATCACAAGGGGTGGGTCAGTAGAAGCATCACAAGGGGTGGGTCAGTAGAAGCACACCACAAGGGCTGGGTCAGTAGTAGCACCACAAGGGGTGGGTCAGTAGTAGCACCACAAGGGCTGGGTCAGTAGTAGCATCACAAGGGGTGGGTCAGTAGAAGCACACCACAAGGGCTGGGTCAGTAGAAGCACACTACAAGGGCTGGGTCAGCAGTAGCACCACAAGGGGTGGGTCAGCAGTAGCACCACAAGGGATGGGTCAGTAGAAGCACACCACAAGGGGTGGGTCAGCAGTAGCACCACAAGGGGTGGATCAGTAGTAGCACCACAAGGGGTGGGTCAGCAGTAGCACCACAAGGGGTGGGTCAGTAGAAGCATCACAAGGGGTGGGTCAGTAGAAGCATCACAAGGGGTGGGTCAGTAGAAGCATCACAAGGGGTGGGTCAGTAGAAGCATCACAAGGGGTGGGTCAGTAGAAGCATCACAAGGGGTGGGTCAGTAGAAGCACACCACAAGGGGTGGGTCAGTAGTAGCACCACAAGGGCTGGGTCAGTAGAAGCACGCCACAAGGGCTGTATCAGTAGAAGCATCACAAGGGGTGGGTCAGTAGAAGCACACCACAAGGGGTGGGTCAGTAGAAGCACACCACAAGGGGTGGGTCAGTAGAAGCACACCACAAGGGGTGGGTCAGTAGAAGCACACCACAAGGGGTGGGTCAGTAGAAGCACACCACAAGGGGTGGGTCAGCAGTAGCATCACAAGGGGTGGGTCAACAGAAGCTCATCACAAGGGGTGGGTCAGTAGAAGCATCACAAGGGGTGGGTCAGTAGAAGCATCCCACAAGGGCTGTGTCAGTAGTAGCACCACAAGGGGTGGGTCAGTAGTAGCACCACAAGGGCTGGGTCAGTAGTAGCACCACAAGGGGTGGGTCAGTAGAAGCACACCACAAGGGCTGGGTCAGTAGTAGCACCACAAGGGGTGGGTCAGTAGAAGCACACCACAAGGGGTGGGTCAGCAGTAGCACCACAAGGGCTGGGTCAGCAGTAGCACCACAAGGGGTGAGTCAGCAGTAGCACCACAAGGGGTGGGTCAGCAGTAGCACCACAAGGGATGGGTCAGTAGTAGCACCACAAGGGGTGGGTCAGTAGAAGCACACCACAAGGGGTGGGTCAGCAGTAGCACCACAAGGGGTGGGTCAGTAGTAGCACCACAAGGAGTGGGTCAGCAGTAGCACCACAAGGGGTGGGTCAGTAGAAGCACACCACAAGGGGTGGGTCAGCAGTAGCACCACAAGGGCTGGGTCAGCAGTAGCACCACAAGGGGTGGGTCAGTAGAAGCACACCACAAGGGGTGGGTCAGCAGTAGCACCACAAGGGCTGGGTCAGCAGTAGCACCACAAGGGGTGGGTCAGTAGAAGCACACCACAAGGGGTGGGTCAGCAGTAGCACCACAAGGGGTGGGTCAGCAGTAGCATCACAAGGAATGGGTCAGCAGAAACTCATCACAAGGGATGGGTCAGCAGAAACATCACAAGGGATGGATTGAGTTGGCTGTAGTGGGCATCACCAATTAGGGAAGGGCGGGGGGGGGGGGGGGGGGGTGGGGGGGGGGTGGGGGGGGGGGTGTAGGAGACCACAATCATATTTCATAAATGTGTGTGTGTGCATATCCTTGACAGGATGTTGCTGAAACAACACCAGCATTTGTTTTACTAAGCAATTTTATGTTCTGTAGCTTGTCCACTGTTTTCTGAACAGTGGCTCTTGAAAGCAGTTTCAAAATCAGTGCAATGCAGTCTGCACATGACTACATTATCATCATGTGCCCTGCCAACTGGCATAGGCGCTCATGCGTCTCCACAGGTCATGATCCCTCGTTGCCTAGAACAGCTCTCTGGATTATATCCCTCCACCCTTTCGTTTTAGCCCATCCATCATCATCTCTCTCTTGGTCTGCCTCTACCCCTTTTCCAATGATCTTTCCAGTTGTCACGATGTTCTACAATGTCTCTCTTCTTATCAAGTGGCCAAAGAACAGTGTTTGTCTCTTTCTTATTGAAATACTACAGTAGAAATATATTCCTTTGCACACAAACATTTAGTGTTAATTTATTATAATAATTTTGCTATCTTCTGTGTTCTTGAAAGTTTCCACATTTTTAATGAGCTGTTCTGGCAGTCTGGTCAGGCAATATTTGGTGTTGTTTACTTGCCTTGCCTCTCTGATGACACTCAACATATCAGCTGATGCAGACTTTGGTCAAAACATTCAACTGAATCTATCAGCATCTTTTTTTCTCTTTCCTCCACTTTGTTGGACTTGCTAATTTATTCTATGTTAACTGCTCATCTGTTTTTTAATAGTAACCCTACCAGCCAGTGTAGCAGCCTGTTTGCTTCCTCTGACACCTTTCATTTCCCAGCCCCACCCCCCCCCCCCCCCCCCCCCCCCAAAAAAAAAAAAAAAACCTGATTATTGTCATGACCAGGTGTTTCCCTGAAGTGGCTGACTGCTCCAAAGCTTGTGTTTGAAAATTCATTTGTGGGGAAAAAAGTATTTTGTGAGGCCCCTACAGATTGTGAAGCTGCAGCTTAGATTGTGCCTAAATCCAGTACTAAGAGTGAAAAACTTATTGAAAATAATTATCAAGTATTTAACAGCATATATCAGTTGACACCCCTGTATGCAATGACAAAAAGAATCTTCTTGTGTTGTCTTCCTCTTATCACAACATTTTCCAGTTTCCTTCTTCTCATGTCATGATGTTTGTGATAAGCTGTCTTTGAGCCCTCTCAGAGTTGCTCTTTTTGGCCATCCAAGGAATGCTTTGGATTCTTCTGTAAGACCACATCTCTGGGGGGCCTCAAGAATAATCAAACACAGCCAGCCTTTACTGTAGAGACAAAATCCGACCGACAAATACAGCAATCAAGTTGAATTTAATAAGATAAAAATAAAACATGATAAAACCAAGTGGCACATCCATGGTACTTACAATTCAAATAATTAGGATTGGCTAAACACTGCACAAACTCAAGCTCAACTTGGAATCTTGTTCTTTGCTGCTCTTCTGTCTCTGAAAACAGAAAATATAGTGGTGTGAATAAGCATGTGTTTAAAGATTATGTTTTTAAACAAGTGGAGAACTGTCTGGACTAAATATTAATGGAAGAACAATAAACAATCTGAGATCTGCTGATGACAAATTGTTACCAGCAGAAAGGAAGCAGGAGTTGCAGGACCTTAACAATGCAACAGAGCGATCAACAGTGAACAGCACAGTAAATGGGGAGAGATTAGAACAAGTAACACGTTTTTTCTATCTTGGACAGGTAATAACAGATGATGGTAGAAGTGAAACAGAAACAACAACAAACAAACAAAAAGAACAGAATGGCTACAACTTCTTCAGTAAGATGCTAAACTTATGGACAACTGGAGAAACAAACAACACATTTAAAAAAAAAATAGAATCATCAAATGTTATGCCCTGTTTTATGGTGCAGAAACATGGACAAAAACAAAAAAAGGCAACTAGAAAACTGAACTGAGTCTTTGAAAATGTGGACGCATAGAAAAACATGTCATTTTTCAAGGAAATTTGAAGGGAAAAAAAAGAATGAGAGACAACTGAAATATTTTGGCTACATTAAAAGACAAAACACTTTTCAAAACCATACTGGAAGGAAATGTCAACAGCAAGAAGTAGACAATAATACAAGTAGGTGGACAACATCAAGAAATGGGCAAACAGCAGTCTGAGAGAGTTTATAACCAAGACAAGAGATAGAGCATATTGGAGATCCATTATAGCCAAGTTCATTGTGGAGATGGCACCCGATCGACTGATTGATTACAGATTACGATTTTCTTGCTGGCATATTATCACTGGCGCTTTTCCAATTGCCAGTTAGTTCCCAGACTCAATACAATGGAGAGCTAACCCAATGAAATAATATTCTAGACACAGTTGACAGGGCGAGCAGAAGTTTGTCTGAAGATGAATGTTGCAAGCACCTTGTAATGCCAGAATGAGTGAGTGATGTTCGACCCCACCAGGACCGCACAACGAGCAATTAACACTGGGTGACACAAAGTACCACTATTTGGATGAGAATCACCCAGGCTCAAGTCCCAGAAACTCTGTTTGGTTATATTAGGGTCCCCGACGACAGTATTTAAAATGAATACCTGTAATAGAACAGAACAATTCCAGATGCAAGGAAGCAATTAAAACATTAAAAGGTGAATTTGGGCCATCATTTCATGTAATAATACAAACGGTAAAACATTAACAGAAACCAAAGACATGTAAAGAAATGTACGAAAATCGGGCGAGTATTTCAGGATTAAAGTAACGATAAAGAATCAGAGCCTTCACTGGATGAGGTACGATTAGCAACAGTCCGAAGAAAGGAAAGTCACCAGGCTGGACAAAATACTAGCAGAAAAAATGCAGGCAGGAGAAGATGCCAGCGTCTGAATCTACCATACAATGTGCATGAAGATCTGGAACAGCACCATTTGGCCTCAAGCATGGAAAAAATAAATGAAGTAGTACCTGTTACCAATTTGACAGGACCTAGAAGCCTGTATTATTTTTTTAAATGCCATGAACCACGCATTTTTTAACAGTTGCATTCTTATTATTTTATGCATTAAATCCATTTAACTGGAGGTAAGGAACAAAATTTGTGCATGCTATACAGAGCCAGTTCTAACTTATAGATGTGAATCTTGGACAATTAATAAACAAGTCGAACAATTTCTTGAGGCCTCGAAGATGTGGTTTTACAAAAGAATCCTTAGAATCCCTTGGACAGTTAGAAAGAGAAGCCCAGAAGTTTTGAAAGAGGCGAGCCCTCGAAGACATCTTATCAAAAACTTCAGAAAGAGACAAGTCATAATTTTCTGGGTCATATTTTGAGAAGAGGGAAACTGGAACATGTTGTGACCACTGGAAAGATCTGTGGAAAGACAGACAGAGGAAGACAGCACGAGAAGATTCTTGACAGCTTTTGTCATGGCATGAAGGGGTGTCAACACAAGTGATACACAAAGCTGTAGATCGTAGATTGTGGAGGGGAATTATCGTCCATGCCAGTCGACAAGGCACTTGATGATGGTGCATACTTAGTAACTCAATTAATATGCCTAAGAAAATCAAGCTCTCTTTACAATAAGTTACTGTTCAATTAACCATAAACAGTTTCATTTCATGTTTAATACTAATTTACCCCACCCTGAATTCAGTTAATATCATAATTCATTTTCATTTAGTAATAATATAAGACAATGCACACACACAGAGCACTATTCTAGAAACAAAAAAAGGTGCCAGTACTCAGCATAACATAAAGTGTCTAAACAAACAAAAACAGGTGCCAGTACTCAGCATAACATAAAGTGTCTAAACAAACAAAAAAAGATGCAGGTACTCATCACAAAGTATCTACTGCAGTAGCACTGAAAAAGCTGCAGAAAAAAGGTACCAACACTATGTACCGCCAGAAAAGAAACGCCCACATAAATGTGTATGCTTATGTGCTATATTAGAGAGAAAGAGAGAGAGAGAGAGAGAGAGAGCACGAGGGGGAGAGAGAGAGAGAGAGCATGAGGGGAGAGAGAGAGAGAGAGCACAAGGGAGAGAGAGGAGTGTTTGTGCACGCATGTGTGTGTATGTATGAGGAAGTCAAATGTCAGCAGAGGAGCCCATTATGGAGGATACTAATCCTAGGGCAAAGAAATGTAATCTGAAAACTAAACTGGCAGGCCAGGACACTTAGCCTCGGCTGTCAGCTGGTTTTGGGAAAAAAAAATTTTCATGGTTTTTCTTACAGTGTTAAGAGAGTTGTATGTGGAAGATTGGGAGACACACAACGTATTATTCATAGTCAGCAGTGTAAACGACCCAATTCTGTGTTTGTTAGAGGACCCAGCCGATTTGGTGCAGCGCTTGTTAGAGGACCATCTATAATTTCATCAAAATAGCACTCACCCACTATTAGTTTTCTTTGATGTCCCTTATTTTTTACATTTGCAATTATAATGCATCAGTCACAACTAAAATGCCCAATACTAGAGAAGGGGGAAAAAAAAACATGAACTTGTAAGAGAGTTTCTTACCAGCTGACATGTTTCCCACATTAGGATTCCCCCAAGTATTTGAGCCATCTGCAAATAGCATTTGTTAAAATAGGAGAAATCATTTTCTTTATTCTGATTATTGAAGAGTGTCAGTTTACTAGTGGGAATCCCTGCGTCGGGAAAAAAGGATAAACTTCCAGCCTCCCTATCAAGCATGTCGAGAGACGACTAACTGAGAGCTTCCTTTGAAGTCAGAGTTAATCTGTCCTTCAAAGTCAGAGTTATTTTGCTTGAGAGGCAAGGAACCAACAGTCTGCATAAAAATAAGCTACATCTGTAAAATGAATGTGCGTGCAGCACTCAGGTCCTGGAACAAGAATAAAGGCTAGAGGTGGACCAACAACCAGAACCTCTTGCTGCAATCTACAGCCAGTGAATGCTAAGAAGATAATAATTAGTTTAATAACGGTGTAAATTTGGGGCAAAATGCAGGTATCTAGGCACGAGGATAAGTAAAGTAAAAAAGTAAAGGACCCTTTTCCATATGAGCTGTGAATGGTTTTACAGAAAAATTCTTAGAATTCCTTGGACAGCTAAGAAAAGAGACGCAGATGTTTTGAAAGAGGTGAGTGTTGGAACACAAACAGAACAAGAGGGTCATCATTTTATAGCCACGTTATGAGGAGAGGAAAAATGGGCTCTCCTGTAAACTACGGCCGGTAGACAACAGTAGACGGCCAATAAGTCGGAGTTCTGTCTCTTGGCTACAGTGCAATTACGGAGTGGAGAAGGCACGAATCAAAAAACAAATTGAGGTCGTCATGCCTGGCAGAACCCGCGCTGCGACTCAAATTAGCAACCGCCTTCAATTATTGCTTCTTGCGATGCATTACGGAGTGGATTAGAGGGAATAAAACAAGTGACATAATTACTGTGTGTTGGCGATAGACAGCGTGCAGTGCCCTACTGTCATCATATGGTTAGGGGTAGGGTTTGGGTTAGGTTAAGGGTTAGGGGTTGGGTTTAGGGTTAGGGTTGCTACGTTGAGTTTCTGCGAAGACGAGATGCGGTGACACTAACCGTAACGCTAACCCAAACTCTAACACATGATTATAGCAGGGCAGTGCATGCTGTCTATCGCCAACACACAGTAATTGTGTCAATTGTTTCGTTCCCTCCTTCTCCACTCTGTAATTGCACTGTAGCCAAGTGACAGAACGGCTAACCGGCCGTCTACTGTTGTCTACCGGCCGTAGTTGACAGGAGAGCCGAAAAATGGAACATGTTGTGACCACTGGGAAGATTGACAGAGAGACAGAGGAAAACAGCGCCAGACGATTCTTGACAGCCTTCTGTCATGGCATGGAGGGATGTCAACACACGAACTGATATACACGAACTGATGATGCACTGCACACGAAGTTGCAGATATTGGAGTGGCATGATTGCCCAGGCCAGTGGCAAGGCACTTGATGATGATGATATTGACAAATATTATTTTAACGGAGAACCTGTTATGGACATATTAAGTATTTTATTTAGATGGAAAGTAGTTTAGAAACATTATTAAAAATTGAAAGTTCGATCAACATACATCACATCCTACTTTAATTAGTACTACTACTACTACTTACTAACTTAACTTAGTAATGTGTAGTGTAACTTAGTAATGATTTGCGTAACATCATATGCACATAGTTAAACATACAAGTTTACAAATAAAACAATGAAATTACCAATAGACCCAAATCCAGCTCGTTTTTCTTTTCTATCCATGTCGTGGAGTACCTTGTTTGAAATGTTTGGATTCCTGCAACAACCAAGTTTCCTTCTATGTTGTCGTTTATCGACTACAATTACTGACGGCTGCTTGTTTGAGCGGTTCGCAAACTGTTAAATATGTCACAGTGCGTCGCAAAAAGACTCATTGGTTTTTACTTTCAGCAGGCAGATAGATTGACTGGCTTGCACCACTTGCTGGTAAATTGATGTATTACACGTTAGATATTGTGAGGGCCCTTTGGGAGCGAGTGAACAGTGCGGAGGCGCAGATAGATCATTACGGTCTAAGGAGAATGGCGCTGCGAAGAGTTACCAGGAGCTCTGGTCGACGCTTAGCACTCAGGGGAAGGATGAGACGGATATACTAATCAGACGGTTACTGGATCGTTGGAATTGGAACTCTTTGTTTGCTGCTAAAGATGGGGACTGAGCACTTATGGGAGTGTGTCGAGTGCTATGATGTCGATTCTTAATTCAACATCAACATTCTACTTTCAATGTTGAAGGGAGGGGGAACAGGTGGATTTTAAATCAGACTGCAGCTGGTACTATTAGCAAAGTACTCTTTGTTGATTACTGGGGAAGGAAATAAAGCACGCGGGGGAATGTCCCGAGTAAAGGTCCTGTTTTCACTCTTTTAGGCATATAGGGCTTGACCTATATTTTTATAGACAAATCGGCACAATATGGGTGATGTGGTCAGCATCACACCAGCTGCCTTACACTTCCCGGGACTGCACCCGGAATCTACTCAAAACTGGGTCGACCTGGGAGTCAAGGTCATTTTGGAAAAAAGTCTGGCTCCGCCAGGAAGCGAACCCACGACCTTCCGATCCAATGTCCTAAGTGCCTGATGTTATTTTTTTTTTTTTTTTTTTATTCATTCATTTATGTTTACTTGATAATAATAACAAGCTTGGATAGCGACTGACTGCTGTCAAATATCACGCGTATCAGAAAGATACAGTCGTCATTTTTTGGGGGCATGGTGTGAGAGAAAAGAAACAAGTAACATTTGTTACAACTAGAAAGACAGACAGAGAAAGACAACGTTTGAAGATTCTTGATAATTCTTTTGCCTTTTTTCGGTCAAGGCATGGAAGAAAATCAGAACATGAACTAATTCAAAGAGTCTTGGTAAACATCGAGGTCTGCTTTTAGAAGGTAGCAAAGATCATTAACGAACGCATACATTGTGGGTCTCAAATGCACACGTGACATCCAAATAATGGGTCACGCCACTGTCACAACTAAAGTGAAAGGTATTAAGTATTAGTCGAAAGATACAGTGGTTACCAAGATATGCTATAGGACACGGTCTGCATACAATTCATTACACCACAATCCTATTATTGCTGATTGCCTCTCTGATGACACTCAACATATCAGCTGATGCAGACTTTGGTCAAAACATTCAACTGAATCTATCAGCATCTTTTTTTCTCTTTCCTCCACTTTGTTGGACTTGCTAATTTATTCTATGTTAACTGCTCATCTGTTTTTTAATAGTAACCCTACCAGCCAGTGTAGCAGCCTGTTTGCTTCCTCTGACACCTGCATTTCCCAGCATTCCCCCCCCCCCCCCCAAAAAAAAAAACCTGATTATTGTCATGACCAGGTGTTTCCCTGAAGTGGCTGACTGCTCCAAAGCTTGTGTTTGAAAATTCATTTGTGGGGAAAAAAGTATTTTGTGAGGCCCCTACAGATTGTGAAGCTGCAGCTTAGATTGTGCCTAAATCCAGTACTAAGAGTGAAAAACTTATTGAAAATAATTATCAAGTATTTAACAGCATATATCAGTTGACACCCCTGTATGCAATGACAAAAAGAATCTTCTTGTGTTGAACTAATTCAAAGAGTCTTGGTAAACATCGAGGTCTGCTTTTAGAAGGTAGCAAAGATCATTAACGAACGCATACATTGTGGGTCTCAAATGCACACGTGACATCCAAAAAATGGGTCACGCCACTGTCACAACTAAAGTGAAAGGTATTAAGTATTAGTCGAAAGATACAGTGGTTACCAAGATATGCTATAGGACACGGTCTGCATACACCACAATCCTATTATTGCTGATTGGTTCAGAGAATACGGAGCAAACAAAATATATTTAATAGCTTGAATATGGTGACAAGAGTCTTTACCTTTACTTTATTTATGTGTTCTTTTCTTGTATTAAACCTTATGTCATTTCGTAAGGAATTCCGAAGAAAATCCAAAGGTATAGGGGTGTTGTCGGCGTCTGAGGCTTGGGCGTTGCGAACACGCTTTGTATTGCCGAGGTGATGGGTTCGATCCCAGCTGCGGGCTTTGCCCTTTGCGCTGGTTCCGACAGTGGTATCGAGAAGCCGACCGTCCAGTAGCAATGGCAAACTGCTGGACGTAAATTTGCCTAGAAAACCACAACAGTAAAAAAATGCTGGGGTTAGTTGTGCAACGTCCTGTAAAGGATACGCAACTAACTAATAATAGAGGTGTTGGCTATCCTCCGAATAACGAGCAGTAAAGATGGCCCCTTATTCGGAGGATAGCCGGGGTGTTAGTGTGGGAAATAAACACCGACAAACACAACCCGGGACCTCCTGCACTCGAAGCGGACGCTATGCGTTGAGACCACTCAGCCCCCCCACCCCCTTTTCCAGTGGGAAGTCATGGCGGACAAACGAATTGCTATTGGTACCTCGAAATTTAAAATCTGCGCTGGCTGATGAAGACGAAGCACTTAAGAGAATGTCCAAAGTGCTATGATTCCATTCTGAATAGCCCAATGCACCTGTGTCGAATAAAACGGCGCAACAGGATAGTGATAATGCTCTAACGTCGACCCTCTCGCCTTCAAAAATTCGAGAACCACTTGTGAACTTTCTACTGACCGGCCTTGAACCCACCTGTGTAGATTTCTGCTACAAGAGACTTGAGAGAGAAGCGAAACTACTTTGTCATCGCCGGCTGCACGTCCTCGGTTCTTCTTTAGAGTTGCCCACAGTTTGCTGTTGTTTAATTCAGCAGATAAAAGCATTGTAATACACCATTTTTCAATCATGTCACAGACGAGAGCGTTACATTTCGTCTTTAAAGTTGGAAATAGGAAGGAGACAGTCAAATTTTTCCGCGATGTTCTCGGAATGAAGGTAAATATGTAACGACGCAACAGAGATGTGTTGTGTGGATTCAAATTCAGCATAGACAAATCTAATGGCGACCCCTCTTATGAATTATCTGGCTACTACACCACAACAAAAATAACAACAGTTGCAGTTGAATTAGCAACTCTGGAATGTGGACATACTTTTACATGCTAACTCATCATCTGGTAGCAGGTCCTTTGCAGAACGTCGCTCTCCTCATGGTCTGCCTGAAAGAAACCCACTCTCGCCAGCTCCCGGCTCATTTACTATCACACTCAAGGAGTCACTTATATCCTGTGCCCATCTTTGTGTTGGTCGGCCTCTGCCCCTCCTTCCTGGTACCTTGCCTTTTGCTATAATTTTTTTCCAATCCGTCGTGGCGCTTCCGAGACAGGATGCTGTTTATTATCCAATCTTCCTTGATGTTCAGGTCTTTCAAGATGTCAGTATTTCTCCTCTACACGTTACTACTTGTAACAAAATTCTCTGGTGTGAATTAAAGAGGTAAAGGGAGGCTGGGGTGTTCCGAAGATCTCAAAAGTTAGGCCTAAAGTAGCCTAGTTTCTAGTAGTTCGCCAGGTCAGACAGGCCAGAGCATATAAATGAGACAGACACAAATCTGCTGCTTTGTAAGTAGACTGGCAACAGTCTAAGACTAGGAAAAGCTAACCTATAAACATGCTTATCCAAATTTGATGAACTAAGTCATAAACTTCATCAGACAGTGCAATGTAAGTAACTTCATAATGACTTGTACACAGTCACCGTATAGTTTCAGTGTATGGTTGGTTACACCTATGCTCAGCTGTGGCACTACATGGACCTGAAACATAAAAACTTCTGACAGAAAATCAGATTGAAGGAACTTGAAAGCTTTGAGACATAAATTAACTCTTTGAGTCCCAAGAAACGCATCATATGTTCATAGGTTCCCACTTAGAAGCCCAATGAACGCATGATGTGCTGATTTTATTACTTTCTTTACTACCCCCTTCGCCTGTGATGCTAAACCCCCTGGGACTCAAAGAGTTAATGTTACATACCTGATGCAGAACGTTGGTTACACAGAAAGTGAATGAAATAAGTGAATTCTTCAAGGTACTCTTTTGTGGGTTCTAGAGTCCCATTTTTGGGGTAGAATAGACCCTCTGCCCTTAATCAGAAGCAGGTCGTAACATGTGTTTAACCAAGGGTTTGCTAAAAAGCACAGATATCACAGCCTAGCTGTAAACATAACACAATGAGCCAACCACTTTTTTAAAGGCTGTTGCAGAAGCTGAAGAAGATTTGATACTACATTTCTTCATTCTAAATATTTTATACAAAACGTATCCTCAGTTTCTCCGTCATGAAAAGTTTGAAGAAGGCTGCAAAGCTGCGTGCAATGGGTGAGTCATGATAAAACCGTGTTTGTTTGCTTTAGGATTTCAAATCTTGAATGTTAAATTAAGAATCAGCATCACAGCACTCAGGACACCCCATAAGCGCTCCGTCCCCATCTTCAGCAGCAAGCGAAGAGTTAAAATTCTGATGGTACCAGTAACTGTCTGATTGTGTATCCTTCTCCCCTTTCCCCTGAGTGTCAAGCGTCAGCCAGATCCCCTAGTAACTCCTCACAGCGCCATTTTCCTCAGACTGTAATGATCTCTGCCTCGCTTTAGAATTTCAGACCTACAGGAACACTCCATAATATGAAAATAAACACTACGCAGACAGAGACAATGATGATAGGAAGACATAAAGACAATTTAGAAATTAAATTAAAAAACAACACCCTGAGACAAACAGAGGAATTTAAGTATTTGGGAGCAATTTTTACTTCAGACGGAAAACTGGACAGAGAAATTAGCTCCAGATGTGCCAAAGCTAATCAAGTAATGGGTCAACTATCTCCCCTGTTGACACACAAGCATATACCTCAGAGTACTAAAGTGAATCTTATCAGAACTATTTTTTGGCCAATACTATGCTATCAGTGCCAAACGTGGACACTTACATCCTCCAATGAACGTAAAATTGTGACAACAGAGATGAAATGCCTTAGAAGAGCTGCAGGAGTTTCAAGGAAAGACAGAATACAAAATCATGAAATCAGACGAATGCTAGGAATAAAGCCAGTCTTACAGGTCATCAAAGAACAACAAATGAAATGGTTTGGACACCTAACAAGAATGCCCTATCTGCCACAGCGAGCCACACTAAAACGTTACAACGGGTATAAAGCGAGTGGAAGACCTCGGAAAAGATGGAGTGATGGCATTAAGAACAGCCTTACAGAAATGAACATCAGTCTTAATAGTGTTCTTGACAGAGCTCATCAACGAACATTACATCTCCCCCCGACACTTCGATGAGGTACAAGGTGGAAGAGAAGAAGAAGAAGAAGAAGAAGGAGGAACACTCCACTCGTACTGGAAAAATGAGACATTCAGAAGAGGAAGACCTTAAATCGGTGAATGCTGAACTAGGTATGATCTAAACAATAATCAGCTTAGTATATTATTCTCTTGATTTATTCATTCTTCCACTCCTATCTTTAGTAAAAGCAGCAGTCTATGATCTATATAAGTGCTGTACAGTTTCTGAGGGTAGAAAGTTGACAGCACTAGCGCCATGTGGCCTTAAATCACCAGGTTCAGGATTCCTTGTCTACACTGCCCTAACAATCGGTAAATACAGACAGTGATCAGGTTTTCATTTTCCCCCACAATCACAGTGTGTGTATGCAGCTGGTTCTCAATCCGCCAAAGGCTGTCAATACCATCATCATCATCATAAACTACTTCTGCCGTTAAGCGTTGTGGGGAGGAATAATTTGCGATCCAGTGCACGTTGGCTGCTACTGGCTATTGTCATGCCGTGAAAGCAAAGAGTGTCTTTAATGTTGTCGATCTATATTTTCCGTGGCTATCCTCTTGCTCTTGTAGCTGATCTTCTGAGATATAGTGCTTGTGATGTTATTTGATCTTGCTGCATTCTAACGAGATGGCCAAACCACTTGATCTGCTGTTTCTCGATGAATCTAGTACAAGGTGTCGTTCCCACAATTTGCCTGATAGTTTCATTATTCACTCGATCTCGTATGGTTAGGTTGGCTGCTTTTCTCAGGCACCTCATCTCGCAGGTGGTGATTTTGCGTATATGGGCTTTAGATAGTGTCCATGTTTGGCATTGGTAGCTTAATGTTGGAATGAATATGCTATAAATAATCTGTCTCTTTGCACCCATAGTTATGCTTGGATGTCTTAATAATGGTGACAATACTGTGAATACCTCTACCTCCATTCTCAAATTAGATGTTGTGATATTGTATGCCTGGCTTTGCTGCACTGAGGGTCGTCCATGGTGCATATGATAGAAGCTATGTAAGTAAATGAAGCTTTTCATGTGACTGGCACACTGGGGAAATGATACCAGACTCAGTAGATCCGTCAGCACTGGATGTATGATGTGGTCAACATTACGCTGGCCACCTTTGCCTCCCGGGATATTTTTCCTGGTATCCATTTTAGGCTGGGCTGGCTCAGGTCAATCTTCAGATGTCTTAATGTGTATTTGAACTTATGGCCTCCAAATGGTGAGCAAGGATGCCATCCACTTTGTTATCATAACTCCTAGTTTTACTTGTACTTTTGTATGTTTTTTTGACACAAAAATTACATACAAGTGCAAGTGAAATTGTGAGTTGTGGTAACTAACATACAATTACACAAATGTACAAGCAAAACCAGCATTCTTACTCTGTTTCATCTTAGAATGTGCCTAATCTTTGTCTTACACCTGTTGATACTAGTTTGTTGTCCAGATGCATACACTGTGCTCATGGAGAAAGTTGAACCAAGGACAGATTGTGTCACAAGATGGGAGTAAAATCAAAGTCTTTAAAGATAGCAGGTGTATGTACTGTAACTCAGCTAAAGAAACATCTTTTCTGTTATACATTTGACCAGTGAGATTAATCTTGTTCAACAGGCCATATGATGGTAAATGGAGCAAGACCATGGTTGGGTATGGACCTGAAGATTCACATTTTGTAATTGAGCTTACTTACAACTATGGCATTGGAAGTTACAAGCTGGGTAATGATTTTCTGGTGAGTTTTATCTGTAAAGTTACAAGCTGGGCAGTGATTTTCTGGTGGGTTTTATCTGTAAAGTTACAAGCTGGGTAATGATTTTCTGGTGGGTTTTATCTGTAAAGTTACAAACTGGGTAATGATTTTCTGGTGAGTTTTATCTGTAAAGTTACAAGCTGGGTAATGATTTTCTGGTGGGTTTTATCTGTAAAGTTACAAGCTGGGTAATGATTTTCTGGTGGGTTTTATCTGTAAAGTTACAAGCTGGGTAATGATTTTCTGGTGAGTTTTATCTGTAAAGTTACAAGCTGGGTAATGATTTTCTGGTGGGTTTTATCTGTAAAGTTACAAGCTGGGCAGTGAGTTTCTTGTGAGTTTTATCTGTAAAGTTACAAGCTGGGCAGTGATTTTCTGGTGGGTTTTATCTGTAAAGTTACAAGCTGGGCAGTGATTTTCTGGTGGGTTTTATCTGTAAAGTTACAAGCTGGGTAATGATTTTCTGGTGGGTTTTATCTGTAAAGTTACAGTCTGGGCAATGGTTTTCTGTGAGGCTCATCTATAGAGGAGATTGATGGCACAGTTTCTGGCATACTTTCCTGATTGTTTGTTGTTAGGCTCCATTTTGAGGTACGGATGTTAAAAATAAAAATAAAAAAAAATAAAAATAATTTAACAACCATACCAGGTTGGCTGAGCCTAAAATAAAAATAAAAAGTGACTGTTTTCCTGCTTTTTTTTTTTTTTTTGCATTGAGCATATTGTGGGCTAGACATATTTTTGTATAGACCAATTTCCCCATATGGGTTCCAGGGCCCTATTATAGGGAAAACAAGAATAGACCCACTGCTTACCTAAAAGCATGTTGTAATTGGGAGCTTCCTTAGAAGGCAGAGTGCATGTGCCTGAGAGGCATGGAACCAGCAGTCTGCATACAAATGAGTCAGGTCTGTAAAATGGATGCACATGCAACACTCAAGTTTTGGAACAGGACTGCAGTCCAGAAGTGGACAAACAACCAGAAGAAGAAGAGTATATTTAGACCAATTGACAAGATATGGGTGATGTGGTTACCAGTAGCCTGGATGTCTTTACTTCCCAGAACATCACCTAGCACTCATTTTAGACAGGGTTGGCCGGGCAACCAAGATCTTTGTCTTTTTTAGCATTTACTGGTTGTAAACTCTGACGGAAAGTTCTGGTTGTTTGTCCACTTCTGGACTTAAGCCTTGTTCCAGAACTTGAGTTTTGCTTTCACATCCATTTTACCTATGTGCCTTGTGCAGTCTGTTTGTTCCGTGTCGTTCAGGCAGATGTACTCAGTAATCAGAAGAAAATGTTATAATTAGTAGCCTTTTATGACATGCTTGTTAGGGAGGCACTGGGTCTGTTCTTTTTTTTTAGCCCCACTACAAAGTCCCGGAACCCACAAGAGGAGGAACCGAGGTCAATTTTGAAGAAAAACATCTGGGCTGTTGGCTACATCAGCCTATTGGCGCCTACTCTTCTGTGTTGACTATTTTACATAGTTGTGTTCCTGGAACTCACTGAAACAAGACTGTTTCATCAAGCAGTCAAAAGAAAAAATACCTTTTGGAAGAATTGCTGTGATATGGCTGGGAGAATCACTGCTCATTGCTTGAAAATCATTCTCTCAGTTAATTCTGTAGTCATTGTAGATAATCTCACCGTGTCGGTCCAGAGGACCCTTTTGGAGACCATGTCTGCCCAGACGCCCCTTTTAGAGACCGTGTAGGCCCAGAGGACCCTTTTGGAGACTGTGTCGACCCAGGGACCATTTTGGAGACCGTGTCGGCGCAGGGACCCTTTTGGAGAGGGGGTAGACCCACTTACTCCTAACAAGCATGACATCAAAGGTAAATAAATTACAAGATTGCCGAAATCAGATGTGTGATGGACCAAAAGACACAGATACTCCAGCCTAGCTGTAAACCACTGCACAGTTGTCCACTAGCCCTTTTGAGGGTGAACACAGAAGAATAATTGCATACAACTAATGAAGCCAAGTCAGTGTATCAATATTTCAGTGTATCAATATTTCAGTGTATCAATATTTCAGTGTATCAATATTTCAGTGTATCAATATTTCAGTGTATCAATATTTCAGTGTATCAATATTTCAGTGTATCAATATTTCAGTGTATCAATATTTCAGTGTATCTGTTTTCTTCATCCCCAGGGCATCACCATTCACTCCAACACCATCGTGGATAGAGCACAACAGTGTGGTTACCCCTTCACCACGGAGAAAGATGTTAGTATCTTAACCTCACCTGATGGCTACAAGTTTAACATTATCAACAAGGCTGCACAAGGAGGTGATGTATTTTTTAAAATAACAACTATATTTCTTCTTTCTAATTCTCTCTTTTCCTGTTTTGGATGTCAAGGGAGATATAAGGTTCAGCATCTTGGTCGTGCGGCCCACCTTTGCTGTAGACACATCCTGCTGTTGTCAGGTTTCTTTGATGTTATCTTTATGCCTTTTTCTTAGTCTACTTTGTGCTGTGTACACTCTTCCTTTTTTGGTATGGTAAAGCGTCACAGTTCATTCACTCTACATGGACAAACCATTTTATTTTTGCTGTCTTTGTAGATGTAACAGTTGAAAAAAATAAAAAATTATGAAGTATCCCCTGTGACACCATAAGGTAAATTTGTTGCAGTTTGTCTGAGTAATTTCAGGTCAGAAGGAGAGCTCTTAATATCTTTGTCATTGTCTTTGTAATTTCAGGGCAGACAGAGAGCTCTTAATATTTTTGTCATTTGAGGTCCCACCCAAAGAAAGTCAGTTTTCTGGCTTCTATGGGTTTTGGTTGACGTGATGTTTTTTGACTGTGCTTCCTATATGAAAACTTTGGTACTGGCCACAAATCTCCCCCCCCCCCCCCCCCCCCGCACCCCCAAGAAAAAAATGTAAGTGTAAAAAATAGATTTAAAAAACTGCTGACAGGCATTGCAAATCTGAGCTGGCATCTTCTGCTGCAGGCTTTGTTCCAAACATCTTGGTGTTACCTTTCCTCTGTAGTTAAAGCAGGTTGAGCGAGGGATCGTGGTGTGTGTAGAGGAGGAATTTCATCTCTGGCCTTTCTTGGTATCATCATGGCCTGTGATTCCCATGTCTCATTATAGCATAGTGGAATACCATAGTCTGGAAAGGTGCCAGCCAAGCCTGAAGTACAAAATTGAATTAGGGACAATCCTGAAGTACAAAATTGAATCAGTGACAATCCTGAAGTACACAATTTAATCAAGGACAATCCTGAAGTACAAAATTGAATCCGAGACAATCCTGAAGTGCAAAATTTAATCAGGGACAATCCTGAAGTACAAAATTGAATCAGGGACAATCATGAAGTACAAAATTGAATCAAGGACAATCCTGAAGTACAAAATTGGATCAGGGACAATCCTGAAGTACAAAATTGAATCAAGGACAATCCTGAAGTACAAAAGTGACAGCCCACATTCTATCAGAGTATGTTGTGACATCAGGAAAATTTAAGGTCAAGGAAGGCAGAGGAAGACCAGAAGAGCAAACGTTGCATAGTTTGATATCATTGACAATGAAGAACATCATCATCATCATGTGCCCTGCCAACTGGCCTAGGTGCTCATGCGTCTCCACAGATCACGATCCCTGGTTGACTGGAGCAGCACTCTTGATGATATCCCTCCATACCATCGTTTTAGCCTCTCCAGCATCATCTCTCTTGGTCTGCCTCTACCCCTTTTTTCTCTGATCTTTCCAGTTGTCACGATGTTCTCAAATGTCTCTCTTCTCATTATGTGGCCAAAGAACAGTGTTTGTCTTTTTCTTATTGTTGTATATAGAGATCTACTTTCATTAGCCTCTTTCAAGTAATCATTGTTAGTTACTCTTGCCGTCCAAGGTATCCGTAACATTCGTCTCAGAAACCACATCTCTGTTGCTTCCAAATTTTTCTTAATTTGTTCAATGACATTCCAAGATTCGCTGCCATACAGCAGAACAAGTTCTATGTAACATTTTAGCACCCTCTTTCTGACATTAAATGAGAGCGATTTATTGCATAAGATATTTTTTTCTTTTTCTGAAATGCAGCTTTCGCTTGACGTATTCTGCTTTTAATCTGTGTTACACATTTTCCATCTGATGATATGATTGTTCCCAGATATTTAAATTTATTGACTTGATCTAGTCTTTTTCCTTCAACTGAGGAATCATATGAAGGACATATGTAAGTAAAGTAAAGATCCCTTTTCACGCCTTTAGGCGCATTGGGCAAATGAGAAAAGCACCCATATTTTTAGAGACCAATCGGCACTCGGTGGGTAATGTGATCAGCATTACGCCGGCCGTCTTTACTTTCCCAGGACAGCCCATCCTGGTACCCAATTAAGGCTGGGTCGACCTGCAACGTCCCATACTACGATAAAAATCCATGCAGCCCGCAGTGGGTTTCAATCGCGGTACGTTGGATTACAAGTCGGACTCGCAACGCCTTAGCCACGGTCGCCGCAAGGACATATGTATTAAAAATAATTTGCAGTTCGGGATAAACATGGTGAGGAGCTTCATAGCATGGGCTATAAGAAGAAAGTATCTCTCTGCTGAGTTTATATGTCACCTTATTTTTCTTTGTCAACAGATCCAGTCAAACAGATTTCATTAGCTTCCTCGAACCTGACACAATCAGTGGGTGAGTCTCAGCCGAAACTGTGTTTGTTTTTCTGTTGTATAAATGCACTTTCTTACAACAGAACAGGTAAAAACCCACATAACAAATAGGCCTCCATTGTAGCCTCTTTAAGCCACAACACACAAAACATTTCATAAGCCAGCTTCTGTGGCATTTGTCTGACGACATTTGATAATCCTCAGTATTAGCTTATATGGCATTTGTGTGGTATGCACCCTTTCTCTTCTTATTAGCATTTACCAGTAGTAAACTCTGGTAGACAATTGTGGTTGTTCACCGACTTCTGGAATTTGAACTTGTTCCAGAACTTAAGTGTTGCAGGCATATCTGTTTTAGAGATCTGTGCGTAAAATAAAACTGACTTGTAACTTTTGTATGAACTATAAGTTTTGCATAAATTCTGAATCCCCCAAACTCACCTGTAACTTTTCCATGAACTCTGAACCACCCAAACTCACCTGTAACTTCTGCTTGAACTATGAACCACCTAACCTCACCTGTAACTTTTGCATGAACTGTGAACCACCCAGACTCACTTGTAACTTTTGAATTAACTATGAACCATCCAAACTCGGCTGCATCTTTTGCATTAACTATGAACCACTAAAACTCAGTTTTGACTTTTGCATAAACTGTGAATTCTCTGAACAGATTACTGGAGCCGACTTTGTGGAATGACCATCTACAATCAAGATGCGAAATCAGCCATTCTCGGCTACGATGAGAACCAGGTACAGTTTTCTTGATAATCACATTTCTTTCCAGGAAAGTTAACTTTTTCTTCTCCTTTTCCCCCTCATTCTTCTTCTCTTCCTCTGTCTCTTTTTCTTCTCCTCCTCCTCCTTTTTTTTTCTTCTGCTGCTGCTGCCGCCGCCGCCACAGCAGTTGCTGCACGGCAGCGAATTTTGAAATGTCATTGAATAAATTAAGAAGAATTTGGAAGCAACAGAGATGGGGTTTCTGAGACAAATTGTTACGAATACATTGGACGGCCAGATTAACCAACAACGATTGTTTGAAAGAAGCTAATGAAAGTAGATCTATATGTACAACAGTAAGAAAGAGACAAACACTGTTCTTTGGCCATGTAATGAAAAGAGAGGCATTAGAAAACATCGTGACTACTGGAAAGATCATTAGAAAGAGGGATAGAGGCAGACCAAGAGAGATGATGCTGGAGGGGCTGAAATGATGGCATGGAGGATCATCATCCTCAAGAGAGCTGTTCCAGGCAACCAGGGATCGTGATCTGTGGAGATGCATTAGCGTCAACACCAACTGGCAGGGCACATGTTGATGATGAGTTTTTCATTTGATGATCAACACAGAAATATCGTTTGGTGCCTAAATGTCTTGGTGCATTTAGTTTGTGTTTATCAGCTGTCTATGTTTAGAGAAGAAATAAACAGAGTATTATTTTCTTGACTTCCAGTGCAAGCTAGAGTTGGTTGATATAGGGCAGAAGGTGGATCATGCTACAGCGTTTGGGAGAGTTGCATTTGCTTGTCCTGGTGCAGAAGTAAGTAGCTATGTATGATAGTAGAACTGATTCCAGTGTGTCTCTTCAATCACCATATTATTTTTATTGACTTAGCTATCTGATGATATGGCAGGGAACAACCACCACTTTATATTATACTCATATGTGTGTGTGTGTGTGTGTGTGTGTGTGTGTGTGTGTGTGTGTGTGTGTGTGTGTGTGTGTGTGTGTGTGTGTGTGTGTGTGTGTATATATATATATAATATAATATACGGCCGGCTCGCTAGCGTATTTGGCTAAACCTGACTTCGCGGTGACCAGGTGACGTACTCCTTGTGGTCCGGATTCACGCCTGGAGGTAGGCAGAAAAGCCACATTTCTCCCAGATTTATGGTATTTATCATGGAATCAAGGCCGAAGGGTTGCGATATTCATAGTACCAAGCCAAAGGATTAAGAAGAACTCATGGTTTCTGGATATAAAAAAACAACAAATATATATATATAAAATCATTTATAGCAACTGGTTTCTACATGCCTGTCCTCATTTAGTACTCATTTTCAACAGGCGGTTCATTGTCTCTTCTCTAGAAAACAGCACATTCTGTATGTCTGCCTTGTCCATACATCTTCCTCCATAAATTACTACCCACACACATGGACAGTATTTCAGCTCTTTCATAACATTCAATACCAAGTGAGCACCACTGGTGTCTGTACTCTGACTGACCATTTGACAAGTCTCTCATTCTAGCTGACCATCTTAACTAGAGGCTTGGGGGGGGGGGGGGGGTAAGGCTTACATTAAAAGCATTCTGCACTAGGGATTATTTTAAGGTATGTGTTATATTCTAATCCCAACTCAGACAATTTGTCTTGCGCTGGTTTCGACAGTGGTACAGAGAGATAACAATTCAGGAAGCAATGGCAAACTAGTGAACATAAAATTTGCCTAGAAAAAACACAACAGCCAAAAAATGCTAGGGTTGGTTCTGAGATGTCCTGTAAAGAATATGCAACTAACCTTTTAAAACCTTTTTTCTGGGGCACAGAGTAGTATATGCATTTTTTGGCTTGGACAAAACAAAAAGAAGAAGAAAATATGTTATAAAACAGCCTTGTTTTCATGTCATCAGTCAACCTGAGGTGATGGTACTATGTCCATATTTTCTGTTTATTGCCCTCCTTGAAGTAGAGAACCTTGACTGTGGTTTGCTTCACTATTTCATCCACAGTTACCAAGTCTGGAAGAAAAGATGAGGTCAGAAAACCAGACAATACTGACTCCACTGGTTAGCCTTGATACGCCTGGGAAAGCCACGGTTCAGGTTGTCATCCTAGCAGATCCTGTAAGTAGTTACATTATTTGGTCGGCCATCATTCTCATTGTCAGCGTCAACTTTTGATGGTGTATCAGGAACATAGGGTCACTACTGCAGTTGGTTCCATTTTTCAGCTACTAGATGTAAGTTTGGATTTTATGACCTTAATGTATCATAAAGGGAAGACAGATGTGATCATAGAGGGAAGACCCTGATATACTCAGTGAGGGAAGATCCTGATGTAATCATAGTGGGAAGACTCTGTTGGAATCATAGAGGGAAGATCCTGATTTAATCATAGAGGGAAGATCCTGATGTAGTCATAGAGGGAAGACCCTGATGTAATCATAGAGAGGAGACCCTGATGTACTCAATGAGGGAAGATCCTGATGTATTTATAGAGGGAAGATCCTGATGTAATCATAGAGGGACGACTGATGTAATCATAGAGGAAAGATCCTGATGTAGTCATAGAGGGAAGACTGATGTAATCATAGGGGAAAGAACCTGATGTGCTCAATGAGGGAAGATCCTGATGTAATCATAGAGGGAAGACCTTGATGTAATCATAGAGGGGAGACCCTGATGTACTCAGTGAGGGAAGATCCTGATGTAATCATAGTGGGAAGACTCTGATGGAATCATAGAGGGAAGATCCTGATGTAGTCATAGAGGGAAGACTGATGTAATCATATGGGGAAGACCCTGATGTACTCAATGAGGAAAGATCCTGATGTATTTATAGAGGGAAGATCCTGATATAGTCCTAGAGGGAAGACTCTGGTGTAATCATAGAGGGAAGACTCTGATGTGATCATAGAGGGAAGACTGATGTAATCATATGGGGAAGACCCTGATGTATTTATAGAGAGAAGACCCTGATGTACTCAATGAGGAAAGATCCTGATGTAATCATAGAGGGAAGACCCTGATGTAATCATAGAGAGGAGACCCTGATGTACTCAATGAGGGAAGATCCTGATGTATTTATAGAGGGAAGATCCTGATGTAATCATAGAGGGAAGACTGGTGTAATCATAGAGGAAAGATCCTGATGTATTTATAGAGGGAGCATCCTGATGTATTTATAGAGGGAACATCCTGGTGTGTTTATAGAGGGAAGATCATGATGTAGTCATAGAGAGGAGACCCTGATGTACTCAATGAGGGAAGACCCTGATGTATTTATAGAGTGAAGATCCTGATGTAATCATAGAGGGAAGACTGGTGTAATCATAGAGGAAAGATCCTGATATATTTATAGAGGGAACATCCTGATGTATTTGTAGAGGGAGCATCCTGATGTTTTTATAGAGGGAACATCCTGGTGTGTTTATAGAGGGAAGATCCTGATGTAATTATAGAGGAAAGATCCTGATGTAGTCATAGAGGGAAGATTCTGAATTAGTAATAATACAATGCCCTGAAGTAATGAAGGAAGATGCGTTGGTGCTTTTTTAATATCCTACCCCAAATGGGAAATCCACAGGTCACGGGACAGTCTAATATTTCAGAGGATGGTAGATAGTCTGCATGCAATCATGGAACATAGACTGCATGTAGTCGTGGGACCTATGCTGCACTCTCTCATGGGACACAGGTGGGTTGGGGTTAGAGCCAGTTCAAGATGTTTTGGGGGTCGTTAAAAGCATCAGGAAGCTGGAAAACCCAGTCTTACCACACTCTAAAACTGGACTCTCCTGTGATGTCATCTGGGGTAGGATATTATGAAAGAACTTTATGCTTTAGTCATAAGAGAAGACCTCGATTTGAAATTAATCTATGTGGTAGCATTACACCCTGTTACATTAATCTGTGTAGGACAATTACATTCTGGTTACCTACATCTGTATGGTACCACTACATCATGGTTACATAATCTGTGTAAGACAGTTACATTCTGGTTATTACCTACATCTGTATGGTACCATTTTATCAGTTACCTACATCTGTAAGTTGCATTACATCTAGGTTATGTAATCTATGTAGGGCAGTTGTATTCTGGTTACCTACATCTGCATGATGCCATTAAATCCTGGTTACATATCGATGTAGAACCATTACATTCTGGCTAGTTACATTGACCGTTCTGACTGTTACTTCCTGGTGGCATAAGTTTACATTCATTCATTCATTCAGTAGCATGTCCCTCGCGGAACCTTGCTGCCATAACAACCCTCCGGAAAACCTTCCTATCCTGAGCAAGATGTCCTGCGTCTGATACACCCATCTGGAGATCATCTGCCACATCCTGCACCCATCTTCTCCTTGGCCTTCCTCTTCCTCTCTTCCCAGGCATATACCCCTCCATTATTGTTCTCTCTAGACTTCCATGACGTTTCAAGTGACCAAAATATTTCAATTTTCTTTGTTTTATTGTCTTTACTAGCCAACCCTCTTCAATATTCAGCTCTTGAAGTATGGATGCATTTGTTCTTTTCTTTACCCAAGATATTCTTAGAACCTGTCTGTAACATTTATATTCAAATGCATTTATGCGCTGTTCCGCTTGTTTAGTAAGTGTCCAGGTCTCACAGGCGTATGTTGCAATGGGAAAGATGCATGCTCTTAAAAATCTGACCTTTGTAATTCTATCTGTACAATTCCATAATTTATTCAGTTGTTTTAGTCTTTGAAGAGCAATTGATAGTCGCCGTTTAATTTCTTTCATTGTGTCACCATTGTTGGTAACCAGTGACCTAAGATATTCGAAATTTTCCACCACTTCCAATCTTTCCTCATTAACATATATTTCCTTCTCCATGGCAGTTTTGTTTGTATGCATTATCTTTGTTTTTGCTATGTTAAGAAAGTTATGATTTTCACTATTTCTTTGGAGTGAGGTTAATAAGTTTTCTAAACCATTTTGTGATGTTGATAGTAATACTGTATCATCAGCATAAGGAATTTCTGGTATTTCATGACCACCGATGTTTAGGGCATCATATTGTTCCTTGTTTATATCATCTCTTACATTTCTCATTATATTTTCGGCATACAGGTTGAACAAATACGGTGACAGCACACATCCCTGACGGACTCCTTGCTAGTTTACATAGTTGTATTAAATCCTGGTTGATGTGTTTATCTTGACCATTTCATGAGATATATAATCAGTTTGCTGTTCTCAGGATGGACATGAGATCTGTTTTGTTGGAGCTGAAGCATTTAAAGAGCTTTCTCAAGTTGATCCAGCAGCCGATGATTTGCTACAGAAGGTAAAAGTGTTTGGTAATTGTGGCTATTCTCCTGATATGAAAAGTTGACCCATCACCCATTAAGTGTCAATTGGTCTGTAAAATATAGATCTAGCCCTATATGCCCAGTGTGCCAGAAGGTATGGGAAAAAAAGGATCCATTTTCCCCCCATTTTGAGACATCACTTACTGTTCCACAAAAGCAACTTTGAAGATCATTTATATTTTATAAACTTTCTTAAGAGTGGTAAAGGAACAGGTCTAACTGTGGAAGTGATTTCTGGGTAGACAGGAGATTAATTAGAAATTACTTGGAAGCTGCAGAAAATGTGGTTCTCTACAAAAGAGACATTCAGCACTGATACCTGTTAATGAATTTTTATTATTAAATAGTCATTATTTATTATTACTTGCAGTCACTTGCTAAAACATAAGGGCCAGTCACAGAGTTGAATGGAGGTGAGTGATATTTGCAGCAAGTGGGTTCTGGGGCTTATTGTGGGGAAAACAAGAACAGACCCACTGCCTCCCCAGCTTTCTTTGAAGTCAGAGTGCAGCTGCCTGAGAGGCAAGGAACCAGCGGTCTGCATACAAATAAGTCAGATCTCTAAAATAGATGTATATGCAACACTTAGGTTCTGGAACAAGACCAAAGTCCAGAAGTGAACAAACAACCAGAACTTTCTAGAGTTTACAGCCAGTGAACGTGAAGAAGAAGAAGAATTGATGAGTGAATCAAGAATTGATGTGATTGCACTAGGGATATTCTCACACATACTCCACCCCCTTCTTCAGTAGCCAGTAAAGAGTTGAGGTGCTAATAATAGTGTCATTTAAAAAGAAGAAATGTATTATTATTGAACAGTATTTGTCCCTAATAGGTTCAGGGGGCATAATTTAGGGGAGAATATAATAGACTCGCTGCCCCTTAGAAGTATGTTGTAAGAAGCAACTAATTAGGAGTTAGCTGAAGTCAGATGTTTTTGGCACCAGACAAAAGTCAGTGAAATTCATACTAGAGACAACATTGTAGATACAGATAGTCTATTTCAAGTGAACAAAAGAAGAAAGGAAGAAGAAGAAGAAGAAGCAGGCACCGGAAACAGCTAACCCAGTTAACAAATGCCCGCAGAAGTCAGATGTGTTGGCCAAAAGGCGCTGATATCGCAGCCATGCTGTAAACGGGCACGGGCAATTACAGCTTCGGATGAACGGAGAGGAAGATGTTTTAGGCTAAAAAAAAAAAAAAAACCACACAGCTATCACAGTCAAGCTGTAAACTGCAGCACAACATGTCAACCACTTTAAGGGTGAATGTAGAAGACAAAGAATAGGGTATTGCTGCTTCTGTTCATCATGTGTACACTTAGTTTCACTGTTACATCTGTACATATTTATATTTCTTATTTTCCAGGCAATTGATGCGGACAAGAGTGACGAATGGTTTGCAAAGAAAGGTAAATCAAAAGAGTCAGCCTAAGAGAATGGTTCTGTTGTTACATTTATCAAGTTATGTAATCATTAATGTTATTTCTGAACTGTGTAAGAAAGGGTATGATTTCTACTTTGTATTTAGAATGGATTATACTCATCATCATCATCCACTGGTAAGGGTGATCATGCTTCTCCACAACTTCCATTATCTAGCATATGCATCAGTTCAACATCGTCTTATGCTGTGGCAAAAGTATGGGCGGTTGTGGTTCATCTTATGAGAAAAACTTAAGTTAAATGAAATCCTTAAAATTAAAAGTGATAGAAATTATAATAAACATGCCATTGTTTTGTAACATGTCAGCATTTTTGTTAAGGATGTCAAGAATGGTAAGCAGGGACATCACAATACAGATGAACATGGCGAAGTCATAATGACAGTTTAAAGATGCCCCCACCCACCCCCTACTTTTTTAGATGCACCAAAGAGGATCATTGAATATAGGTCAAGAATGGTGATGCATGCCTGTCAGTTCAACAAGTGTATGAGTGGATTAGGCAGTTTCAGAAAGTTGTAACTTCTGTGTGCCTGACCCTTTTTTTTTTAAAGACAGCATTTAGTCAGCAATGCTGTAATGACAGCTCTTTGGTGCGTACAGAGTACTTTTAGATACTTTATGGTGATAGCCGAGACCTTTGGTTTTGTTTTGTTTGCTTTGTTTTAAGAACTGAAAAGCCCTAAAGACAAGACAAGACACCACAGGCTGTAAAAAAAAAAAATTTATGAATAGATTGACTAATTTAGCATTGGTGAGGGAAGCCATTGAGATTAAATATGTTGGCAATGGTATCTACAAATACAGTGAAATACATTCCCTCTCAAAACTCATGTTAGAAACATTTGCAAACAGTTGATATTGATTTTACAAATAAACAATGGACATTGTTTTGCTGCCTTTGTTATAATTGTTATTTATATTGTGATTTGTGTTTCTTTGTTTTGTTATGTTACATTTTTTTTTACTTTGTTATAATTGTGATGTTATGTTGATGTTTTATTATTACTTTGTTATAATTGGGATATTATATTGATATTTTGTTACTTTTGTTACAGTTGTCATGTTATATTGATATTTTGTTACTTTGTTATAATTGTGATGTTAAGTTGATGTTTTACTTTGTTATAATTGTGATATTATATTGATATTTTGTTACTTTTGTTACAGTTTTCATGTTATTTTGATATTTAGTCTTAGTTGAGGTTTCAACATCACTGCAATCGAGTTTTCCCCATACTTGCTCTGTTCCTGTGCCAGTGCAAATCAAATGAAATGTACCTCACTGTTGCATTTGAAGAACGGGGGAAAAAAACAACTAGTCCAGGAACAATCCAGAAATATGCACATGCAGTAAATGTATATTTCAGTTGCCAGAGGCTCCAAAGCCAACAATGGCCACCAGAAATGTAGTCGGGAACAATCAGTTGGTTACCATACATACGTAGAATTATTACATAAGATACTTCACCAGCTCACATGAAAACTGGCTACTAGCCATATTGAATATCATGACACAACCGCTGCACAAATGAAAGGCATTCCACAGGAAAAACACAGGTCACAGGGCTGCAACCAAGCACTAAACTCAGTAGCGCAGGCAGCGAAACGGTAGACTACTGTCCTTATGTGGAAACTGCATTAGCAAACTGCTGTTAAAACAACTTTGAAGGTAAAAAGTCAGCCATGCATTTCCTCCATTTTTGCCGGAAGTATATTGAAATTTGTGTTACTTTATTATAATGTGATGTTACATTGATGTTTTTGTTAATTTGTTATTACTGTGATGCAGAGAGAAGTTGGATGTAGCTTGTAGTAATATCATATAGCGTAACATATGTAGCAGCAGAAGACGAAAATATTTAGAGACTCATCATCTTTGTATATGATGTTTATATTATGCAGATTTTTAATCTCTGTGTTGTCCTTTCTCTGTGCTTTCTGGAAGTTGCTAATGGACTATCATAATGACCTGTGGTGGTGATTTTAGCTCCCCCTTCAAGGCTAAGATATTACTCTTTCAGCCCTAGGGGGTTTTCGCAAATGCCCATGGTAATTAACTCTTTGAGTCCCAAAGAACGCATGATGTGTGAATCACTCTATGTGCTGAATCCATCCCTAGCTTAATATTTTCTCTAATGTTTTTTTGTGTATGAGTGTGTATTTGGCCTAAGTACATCCAAAAAATCTGGTTTATCCAGTAGTCACCACCACTGTTATCTTATTATTTTGAAAGTAATGCATGGAAGAATTCTAATCACGAATATTTCTCCAATTGGCATCTCCTACAAAACCTTCTTGTGGTATTAAAAGAGTTAATGACTATAAAAGATCAACAATGCATAACTTTCAAGCAGACAAATTACGCAGTGAAAGTGGCTAATAGGAAAGGTAAATACTTCATGCGATGCTGGGTTTTATGTGGAAAAGTCTACTACACATCAAACGTTTCATGGATTGAAAGAGTTAATCTGAGCACCTAAATGAATCCAGACTAAAAAAATAGGTACCAGGAAACTTTCTGAGAAGCAAAGGTGGATGACATGATAATGACAACATCACTCACTGAGTGCTGACTAGTAAACAAACAGGGAGCTAGTTTCATATAACCAATACACTTGTTTGAGCCGCTGTGGTGTAACGGCTAAACGCTTGCCTGTGGATCGAAGGGTTGTCGGTTCGGGTCCTGTCAGAGGCGGACTATTTTCAAAACATGACATTGGCTCCCAGGTTGATGCAGCCTTTAGTGGGTACTAGGTATAGTCCTGGAAAGTAAAGGCAGCCATAGTGGTGGCACCAAGGGCTGAATGGTCTATAAAATATAGGTCTAGTCCTATATGCCCAAAAGGCCTGAAGACGTGGAAAAGGGGCCTTTACCTTCACTATAATTCTTTGAGTCCCAAAAGTGCATGATGTGTGAATCATCATATTTGCCAAATCCCCTCCTTAGTTAATTATGCTTTTGTTTTTGGTCAGAACTCACTCAAGAAATCTGACTTGTCCAATGTGATCACTACAGTAGTACCGTCATATAACCACTTTGAAAGTAATCACTGATATTCGCATCTCATAGAAACCTTGTTCTGGTACCTTATACACTTCTTGTTGGGAGTAAATACATTACTTATCCTACAATGACTGTTGCTTTACAAATAAATCTTAGCAAAATATGACCCTGGGAGTGACATTAGTGTAGGGGCTACACCTCCCTTCTTTCATTGGCCTCCAGCGGCGCTAGCACTCAGAAAATATGGGAAGGGGTGGCTGGAGACACAGCTCTAATCATTCCCGCCTTAACATTTTCAAGGTGGAGTGGGGTGCTTAAACCTAGTGCCAGGTGTTCGAGGCAACTAACGTATAGCATAAATATCTAGCGGTTGCTATGGCTGTTCAAGTACTGGGTAGAAGCGATGACACCAGTGCCATATTTTACAGGAAGACAAATTTAGCAAAGGGCATGACTCTGAATCCCTGACCAGGCTGACCGGGGGTACAACCCGAAGCTGAAAGAAATTAACATTTCACCAAAGGGGACAAGTAAAATAAAGGACCATTTTCCACATTTTAGGCGTATAGGGCTAGACAACTGAGCCTTCCTGGGTGACAGGATGCTTGATTAATCAACACACAACAAGCGTCAGCAGTCACATATGCTTGTGGAGCTGCTATGGTAATAATTCTAAGTAGTCGTTATGTATGCATATAGAAACTACATGAAAGAAACAGAAAAGCTATCAGAGGAGATAAAGAACCATTATCATGAATACATAGAATATAACAACTCCAGATGCCAGGAAGAGACAGGGACATGTTAACAAAGTTTAAACGAAAGACGAATTCAGGCCCATCATTTCATATAATAAATGATAAAAATGGTAACACATTAACAGAAACCAAAGACATATTAGAAAGATGGAAAGAGTATTGTAGAGTAATTTATGAGAATCTGACAAGTAATTCAGAAACAACTTATGAAAGAGACAATAAAGGACAAGAGTGTTTACTGGATGCTGTACGATCAGCAATACACTGCTTGAAGAAAGGGAAGTCACCAGGTTGTGCCGAAATGCCAGCAGATAGGATTAAAAGGAAACTACAATATGAGCTACAAGAAGCACAAGCAGGTTTCAGTCAGCGTAGAGGAACTAAGAATCGCATTTTTAATATTAGAATGTTTTCAAAAATTATGAGAATACAACCTAGATCTTCATGCTTGTCTCATTGATTACATGGAGGCATTTGATTGTGTCCAACATCAGAAACTGTGGACTATTATGAAAAGTATGGGGTTTCCAGCACATTTGGTGCATTTAATTGAAAATCTGTATCATGAACAACAAGCAGCCGTCAGAGCATCTGGTGAAACATCGAACTGGTTGAGGTGCAAAAGGGAGTGAGACGGGGGTGCATTCTCTCACCATACCTATTCAATTTATACGCAGAAAACATAATGAGAAATGTTAAAGAAGACCAGAATTGTGTCTGTTATGAGCCGCTTTTAATTGGTGGCAACTGTCCCAGTAGCTGAAATATTTTGGTCATATCAAGCACCATGGTGGACTGGAAAAAACAATAGCAGAGGGCATGGTACCAGGAAGGAGGGGCAGGGGCCGACCAACATGAAGATGGACACAGGATATAAGTGACTCCTTGAGTATGAAAGTACATGAGACCTGAGAACTGGTGAGAGACCGAGTTTCTTTCAGGCAGACCGTGATGAGAGCAACGTTTTGCAAAGGACCTGCTACAAGATGATGATGAATAATTATTATGTGGGCTCTCTCTCCTCCGAACTTTTACCCGATATTATGGCAGCCAAACAAATAACCTAACAGGGCCTCAGTCCTGAACAGAATGCAGAGTTTCTGTCGAGGAACACATCGCGGCAAAACTAGGATCGGCTCCGAATAACAAAACAAATGCTCTAACAGGGTCTCATCGAAATGTTAATTGCTGACCTGTTTCTGCTACTATGCTGCACCGCCGACAGTATCCCCCTCACCGGTACGCGCGGCGCGGATACGGGGCTAAACAAGATGGCTAGGGCTCCTGCAACTTCCTCCAATTTATTTGCTTGTGAGTCCCAGGCGTCTAGTTTAGATCCTCATCCGCGCGGCGCGGGGGATACACTCGGCGGTAAGTTTAATCGCGTTTTGAAAAGTGAGGATAAGAACCAAGAGAAATACTTGCCCATTATTAACGTTATTATATGTGAAAGTTGTGGCACAGAAGTTGCAAATAGTGCCAGAAAATCTGCTCTTTGTGGCAGTGACGCCATTGAAATTCACATAAATATGATTGAAACAAGGGTCAGCTAGTGCCCAGTTAGTAGCGTAGTTTCCGTTTTAGCAGCATCCACATGCCTTCAACTACCGCTGCTAAATCCTCGGTCAGAAAAACAGTATCGCTAATCTGCGTCGGAGCGCGTGGTCTCCCCTCCATATCACTTTTATCGTCTGTAATGTTGCGTGTCTCGAAATTGCCAATGGTGGCTATTATCGTCTGCTAGTATCGTCTGCTGAAACGCTCGAAATTGTCAACGGTCGCTATTATCGTCTGCTACAATCGTCTTCAGTGTTGCGTCTGTTGAAATTGTCAAGTAATCCTAGTTTTGCCGCGATTTGTTCGTCGCAAAAAGTTCGCATTTTACACACTACTGAGGCCCCGTTAGGGTATTTGTTTGGCCGGGGTAGAAGTTCGGAGCCCATGTCTTCTTTATGTTGTTATAATTGATACAGGGCTCTTAGTTCGACTAAACTTTAAAATGGGAGCCTGGAAATAAATTTATCGTCGCCGATTGGACTAGTCTATAAAAATATAGGTTTAGTCTGTGTTTTGCACTGCTCAGAACCGGCACATTTTTAAAGTGTTAAAACCTGGGGTAGGAGCCTGTCCTACTACTAGGCGCGTCCACGAGGTGGCGGATGGTGGAAAGGCCTCTAGATATAGAGGTTAGCCACGAATATATTGAATAAGTGGCCGTGGACCAAAACAGGTGATGGTCATTGAGAGGAGGCGAGTTAGTTGGTGGGACAGCTAACTCTATAAAATACCTCAAAACTCTACGACATGGCCATCGGCCGGTAAGAGGCGCCATAACCTCTCCCCCCTGCTGCCTTGCAGGGTAAGTCTTTTTAGACAAAGGCTATTGGAGTCAAACCATATACAAACCGGCGGAAGTCAAGGGGAAACCACCGCTGTACTATCCCAAGAAAATCATGCCTCAAAATAATACTTATTCAGATAACGACGTGAATGGGGATTCCGGTGGAATCACCTCGTCCGGTAGGGAGCATCATGTTCTACGGGTGATACCCGACCGTCATCCAGCTACTGTAGAAAAAGTAAATGGTAGAAACAGAACAATGTGGATTTATAGAAGGAAAAGGTACAAACAATGCCATATACATCCTAAGGACATTGTCAGAAAGAGCTATAGAAGTAAAGACTGATTTGTACTTATGCTTCATAGACTATACAAAAGCATTTGACTGTGTGAAGCATGAAGAAGTAATCAAACTGTTAGAAAAATTAAACATTGATGGAAAAGATTTAAGAATAATAAAGAATATGTATTGGCAGCAAACAGCAGCTATAAGAATTAACAACTGTTTAGGTACATTTCAAAGCAAAAAGAGGGGCGTACGACAGGGATGTGTACTTTCACCTGATTTGTTTTCAATATACAGTGAATATATTATGCGATCTTTAATTGATATGCCCGGAATCGTGGTTGGTGGGCACAATATAAACAATTTACGTTATGCTGATGACACAGTCTTGATAGCAACAAGTCAGAAAGAATTGCAGGAAATGATAGACATTGTGGTGTTAGAAAGTGGAAGAATGGGCCTCAGTTTGAATAATGGGAAGACAGAAGTAATGGTGGTATCAAAGAAACAAATTATTCCTAAATGTGTAATAAAAGTCAATGGTGTTATTTTAAGACAAGTACAGAAATTTAAGTATCTGGGCACATGGATAACATCAGATGGAAGATGCATAACTGAAAAAAGAAACAGAATTGGACAGGCAAAAACTGCATTTTATAAAATGAAAAACATCTTGTGCAATATATCCTTGTCATTGAGAGTTAGAAAAAGAATTCTTGCTTGCTACATACATCCAGTTTTAACATATGGATGTGAATCCTGGACAATCGGTAGGCAGGCCAAACAATTTTTAGAGGCCTCAGAGATGTGGTTTTACAGAAGAATGCTTAGAATACCTTGGACAGCCAAAAAGAGCAACCAAGAGGTTTTAAAAGAGGCGGGAGCCCGAAGACAACTTATCACTGACATCAGAAGGAGACAGTCATCATTTTTCGGCCATGTTATGAGAAGAGGGAAAATAGAACATTCTGTGACCACTGGAAAGATCTGTGGAAGGAGGGATAGAGGAGATGCTTGACAGTCTTGTTGCATGGCATGGAGGTGTGTCGGCACACGAACTGATACATGCTGCAGGAGATCGCGGATTATGGAGAGGCATGATCGCCCACGCCAGTCGGCAAGGCACCTGATGATGATGAATTAGCATAACATTGTCTCGTTTCTTTATCACAAGCATTTTTTTTACGTAAATAAGACTTCTTCTACATGAAAGTTTAATAATAGCGAGAACATGGCGGATGAAGACAGTTTCGAAATGGTTACGAACGAGCCGAAGACAGAATCGCACCAAGATATGGAAGCTGTGAACCAGTCTTCAGACGACAGTTCCAGCGAAGATGAAGATCATCGTGACGAAGAAACTGAAGCTAAGCTGTCTGAGTTAGGAAAGCAGGTGCAGTTTGATGGCCTGGTTCTTGTCTTTCTTACTACTGCAATTTGTAGATACTTTACTACTTTAGTCAAATTTTCAAAATGCCCTCTAGACCAATAAAACCAGCACAGTTAGATAGGATAGCTGTAAACAGTCTCTTTCCAATGGTACCTCATTTAGGCTTGTATGTTATTTCTGAGCTGAGATATGTAGGTTTTTGTGGAGATGAGATGTAGAAAGCAGCTGCTAAAACTTGTCTCCTAGAACAAGAGGTTATCTCTGCGCAACCACCAAACTGCACAACTTTCGTTTTGGCTTTGTTGACATTGGTCTGTCATTGGACAAGATGGCAGCCAATGACGAATGACACAAAGCCACATAATAGCGATTGCATGAAAAATGTCACTGTAAATCTAAACAGCCACAGACAAGAAAGACATTTTATATACAAATGTAAAATTGGATGGAGAATTCAATTATAACTAGCATTACCACATCTGGTAATGTTAAAGGCCTAAAGCCAACTTTGAATACTTAATGCTATTTTCAATCAAACGGATGTAACAGAAAAACAGCGGACGTCCGGCTGTTGTAGACATGCGCTGTTAATCGAGTTCCTTCCCGCCGTTTTCAGCTATTTAGAGTGGGTGAAAATCACACCAATCGCAAAATTTCATGAGAGATTAGGACCCATCCCGAAACCCCAGCCGACATTTGCGAAACAAGTTTCAAACGGTTTCCATAGTAACGGAAATTGCCAAAAGACCGCAAATTGCCGAACACCGTAGTCGCTACAATTTGGTAGATACTTTAGTCAAATTTTTATGACATTTCTGAGCTGAGATATGTAGGTTTTTGTGGAGATGAGATGTAAAAAGCAGCTGTCGAAAACTTGTGTCCGAGAAACAAGAAGTTTTCTCTGCCCAACCAAACTGCATACTTTCGTTTTGGCTTTGTTTTCATTGGACATGATGGCAGACAATGTTTCTCAGACACAGCCACATAATAGCGATTGCCTGAAAAATGTCACTGTAAATCTAAATAGCCACTGATAAGAAAGAAATTTTATATACAAATGTAAAATTGGACGGAGAATTCAATTATAACTAGCATTACCATGTCTAGTGACAGTTAAAGCCTAAAGCCAACCTCGAATACTTATCACTATTTTCAATCAAACTAATGTAAAAAAAAAAACAGAGGACGTCCGGCTGTCGTAGACATGCGCTGTTAATCGGGTTCGTTCCCGCCGTTTTCAGCTATTTATAGCTAGTGAAAATCACACCAATCGCAAAATTTCATGATTAGGACCCATCCCGAAACCCCAGCCGACATTTCCCAAAAAGTTTCGAACGGTTTCCATGGTAACGGAAATTGCCAAAAAGACCGCAAATAGCTGAACACTGTAGTCGCTACCTTTAAATACTGATCCTTAGCTGGAAAGCCGACGTCCGCTTAGTGGGAGTTCACTTCCTTGGTTGCAGTGCAAATACGGACCGTACAGAGGGAACAAAACAAATGACTTACTTACCTTTCATCATAGGGTTGGGTATACGGTTGCGTAGTCATCATCATACGGTTGCGTAGGGTTTGGGTTAGGGATAGCGTTAGGGGTAGGGTTAGGGTTAGATGGGAAAATTTTGACATAGGAGTTCCAAATAGTGGCCGAAAATGTGATGCTTGTGGGAGTGGCGCCACTGGAATTCTCCTAAATATGACGGCAATAGCTAGCGTGCGGCTGGTGCCCAATTCATGGCGAATTGTCCTAAAAAAAATTGTGACTAAAAGTGTCACATCTAACCCTAACCCTACCCCTAACCCTTACCCTACCCCTAACCACACAAATTATCGGTCATTAAGGCATACAGATCTGCAGGAGTCACATCCGTGGCAACTAAGAGCACACACACACACACATATATATATATATATATATATATATATATATATATATATATATATATATATATATATATATATATATATATATTTATATTTATATTTATATATATATATATATATATATATATATATATATATATATATATATATATATATATATATATATATATATATATATATGTTGTGTTGTTTGTTGTTATCGATCCAGCGGCGCATGAGCTTTCGCCCTTTGGCCCCAATGCCATGTAGTGGAATTTGCATGTTTTCACAAGCTGTTCTTTTCCTCCGTACAAGGTGTTCCACTTGTCTGGTCTCGGAGGGAGTAGCGTTCTTCTTGTCTCACTGAGTTTTGGGCACTCAAAGAGATGGTGTTCAACAGTTTCGTAGGGGTAGTTACATAGCTGGCACTCTGGGGAGTGTTGTGGCTGTATTCTGTTTAGGTGTCCATTGAGTGGAGTATGTTGCGTTCTAAGTCTGAAGATGGTGGCCTGGTCCCTTCTTGGTAGATGGTTAATGCTGGTCATTAGGATCAGGGCCAGACATATGTCTATAAACCTCTCTTCCAGTGTCTCCCATGGCCCATCTGTTCAACCAAGTCTCTTTGTTTATAGCTCTTATATATATATATATATATATATATATATATATATATATATATATATATATATATATATATATATATATATATATATATATATATATATATATATGGATATATTTACTAAAAAAAAAATAAAAAACAACCCAGATTTCCCCAAAGCGTCAAATAAACACCCAGATCTGGGGGGAAACACCCAAGCATTGGCAGACCTGATGTCGACCTCACTGTCTGTTTTGATTCGTGACTTTTCCGCTCCGTATTTGCAATGCAGCCAAGGGAGTGAACTCCCACTAAGCGACCGACGGCTTTCCAGCTAACGATCGGTATTTAAAGGAGAGCCTGCAATTTAAATGTTGGCTCTCCTTTAAATATTGGTCACTAGCTGGAAGGTGACGGTCGCTTAGTGGGAGTTCACTCCCTTGGCTGCAGTGCAAATACGGAGTGGTAAAGAGGGAACGAAACAAATGATATAGTTACCAGTCATCCTAGGGTTAGGATTAGGGCTTTGGTTAGGATTTGGGGTAGGGTTAGGGTGACATCACGGAAATGACAGAAGCTTATCGCTCATTACGACATAAAGAGCGTGGTCTACGAGAGTCTTGCGTCGCAAGACTGCGGTCGCTACTGTCAGTCGCAGCGCATGATCTAGCTCTAGCAGGCATGTCGACCTCACTTTGTGTTTTGATTCGTGACTTGTCCGCTCCATATTTGCACTGCAGCCAAGGGAGTGAACTCCGACTAAGCGGCCGTCGCCTTCCAGCTAGCTGCCGTCGCCTTCCAGTTAGCGACCGTTATTTTTAAAGGAGAGCCAAATGTTTACTTGCGACTTTTAAAATTCTTTTTTTTTTAAGTTTTACTGTGTCTCTCATTTGTTGGGGGGGGGGGGGGGGGGGGGAGGGAGACTCTGTAGATCGGGTCGCAGCTAAACAGAATAAATGAAAAAATCTAGACATTTGGCCATTGAACCCCCACCCCAGCTGTATGAGTGTATCCACATTGACATTCCATGAGATCAAACTTCCTCAGACAAACCACTGACCGTTTACTACAGCACACTCATGTGACAGCTATTCCATGATGTTGATATATTCCTTGATCTTTTCTAAAAAATGACATCTCTGCTGTCAGTAGATGTTTTTCAGATTGTCATTTCTCACATGCCGACATACACACTTACTAGGGTGACCATAATATTTTGAGCTGAAAACAGGAATATCGCAAGCAAGTCATTATAACCCCACCCCTTTATTCTAGGTATCCAGACTGAATGGTATTAAAGCTCAAACAATTGTTTAAGAAAAAAAGAGAGACATGTGACAATAAAAATTCCGGCTATCTTCCGAATAACGGTCCCAAATTACCGAGGCTGAAAATATACCCTAACAGGGTGTCAGTGACATGTAAATTGCGGACTTCCACCACCGCCGAGAGTATCTCCCATGCTGCTACGCGCGGCTTGGAGTGGGGTTAAACTAGATGGCTGGGACTCACCAGCAAATAAAATGAAGGAAGCTGCAGGAGATGTGGTAGCTGCTGCTTGTGAGTCCCAGCCATCTAGTTTAGCCCCAATCCATGCCGTGTGACCGGGAGATACTCTCAGCGGTGGCGGAAGTGTGCAATTTATACGTGACTGAGGCCCTGTTAGGGTATATTTTCCGCCTCGATAATTTGGGACCGTTATTCCTATAAACAAATTTTAAGTGTTTAGGTTTAGACGGCGGATCAACATCATGGCACAAGGGTAGTTACCCATAAGTGCTCCGTTCTGCTTCTGACTCAAGCCTGAGTCCGAGGAATCTCAGCCTAGTGCATGAACTCCGTAGCACCAGCGAGGATCCTGAAATACTTTGGGTAGATTTTTAACTCTAAATTTTGTCCGGGCAGCGCTGTTAGGCTACTCATTTTAAAGTATATAAAACTATGAAAACTAATAAGGATACAGATATAAGTGTATGTTTTGTACTCAAGCAAAAGCCCATATTTTTTTTAAAACAAAACTTTTTTTTTAAAGAGTGCCTACTGGACAGCCGAGGCATATCTAAACAAACGGGACTGTCCTTGTGAAAGAGGGACATATGGTTATAAATAAACACACCTATTTAATTTGCCAAACTATGGCCACTTTTTCAATACACACTGTGGTTATCCTCTAGTTAATTCACAATTGTTATTTGTAATAAAATTTTTTGTTCTAGATATCTCAAAACCCATATGTGTATGACAACCACACAGAACGTATTAAGCTCTTGAGGGAAATGGGAGATCTTCAGCGATTGCGAGATGCGCGGGAGGAAATGGCACGCTGTTTTCCTCTTACAGAAGGTATGACTAAATTCTTTGTGTTGATTGCCAGTTGTTCAGTTAAGCTGCTAAACAGTACAATTCCAAACACATGCTTCTTGTCCCTGTCAGTGAGTTATCATCATCCAGTGTTTTTTTTTTTACTTTGAAGTGGTGGCCTTTTTAAGAATCAATATCATAGCACTCCAAGCACACCTGAAAGTGCTCCATCTTCTTCAGCAAATGTGATACCGTTAGGAAGCTGATTCTTCCTGTGGAACACACTGATATTTTAACAAGGAAGGGAAATGATCACCCCAGTTCAGGTGTCCTGACCCAGATATTTGAAAGTCTAACACTTTTTTTTGTTTTCACGACTGTAAACTGGTGGAAAGTTCTGGTTGTTCATCCACTTCTGGTCTTTGGTCTAGTTTCAGGTCTTGAATTTAGCGTGTGATCCGTTTTACAGATCTGGCTCATATTTGTGCAGACTGTTGTTTCCTAGCCTCTAAAGCAGATGCACTCCCATTTAGAAGGCAATGACAATTCTATCTGCACTGGCCAGGCTGCAGGTTGGGAACTTATTTCTAGGATGACCACGGAGAGGTGTAAATAAGTCTCCACCAGTACGAGCCCTAGTCTTGGTAAACACCTGCATGTGGTTCAGCACCTCTCCGTCTCATCAGATACTTCCTAGTCCAGCAGCATCTGCTACAGCCCTGGTCTCCAGCCCTTTTCAGGGCGCTAATGAGTTTATGGCAAGATACCCGGCCCCATACCTCTCTCTTGAGTATATTGCAACCAACGTTTCCTTCCCCCAGCGTAACAAAATATGTTTAAAAAGAGGACAGTAGATTCTGCACCAAGGTACAGAGACAGATTTGGTCAGAATGTGTTCTTAATTTGTAATGAAAAGTCTTTGTTATCAAATTAATTAGATTTTTAACGTAGATATGCAAACTGCTCACTGAAATTGTTTTTTTTTTTAGCTTTTTGTTTTGTAAATCGTAAAAATATTTTATTTATAATTAAACTAAGAAAAAAAAAAAGATACAAATACAAATACACTTCATTTCTAATATAGCTTGCCTAAACCTCCTCATGCTCCCCCACGCTGGAGACCACTGTGCGACAGGAATACCTTTCATTGTCCTACCTTGCCGTTGTACGTTACATGAAAACTCGCAGTATAATCTTCCATTCACTTCCATCCTATGCAGTCCTTTCCTTCCATGTGATGAAAGGAATTCAGCCCAGCTCCTCGGGCCTTTCTCAACAATGTTCATCTTAGGATTTCTCTTGAACATCCTGATTTCCTCAGTCCCTTTGTTTCCTATTGCAGTTCCTGTTTAGTGATTGTCTTCTTCTTCCTGTAATATACCCAGTACAGTTCCGTCTTCTTTATCTTATCACTGTTGACGCTAGCGATTATCTAGGTGTTTATGACTACCCTTTCTCTTTGTGTTATTAATATAAGGCTACAGAAAAACGGCAGAGCTGGACTTAAAAAAAAAACAAAAGACCTTGGCTCCTATATTAGAACATCCTCAAATGGGTTTCAGGTAAAGCCCTGGGAAATTAAGGTGGCCGATGTGATGTTTACCACATCACCCAATGAGTGCAGATTGTTTGTAAAATATAGGTCTAGCCCTATATGCCCCAAAATGCCTGAAGGCCTGTAGAAAGGACCCTTTCCTTGCAGTGAAAACCTTGTTAACAAAAAATTCCAAGAGACCCCCCCCCAATACCCCCCCTCTTCCTCCCCTCCCCTCCCCCCACCCCCCCTCCCCCCCCCCCCCCCAAAAAAAAAACACAAATAATTTATTTTTAAAAAAAATGTGTGGCTATTCAGCGATTAATAATACTCCATCCCTGCTGGAACTGAAATTTTTATCATGTTAAACCACGTTGTTACAGTAACATCTGGAGTAAGACAGGGGTGTTTATCACCTACATCGACAGTATATGCAAGAAGACCAAACCCATGAATGAAAATGTTAGTAAGATCAACGAATTACTCTTTGCAGATGACCAGGCCTTGATAGCAGATACAGCCATGAAATTGCAAACAACATCTAACATCCATGAATGAAGAATGTAAAAACAAATAATATAAGAATCAACACTGAAAAGACAGAAGTAATGTCAATAGGAAAAAAGAAGACAGATCTAAACAAAAGCAATAGAGTGCAAAGGGCAGAATGGCATACTTAAAACAGGCATCTGAGTTTAAATATCTGGGAACTACATACATTACCGAAGATGGGAAAATGGATAAAGAAATTAACATTAGATGCAGTAAAGCAAGCCAAGTATTGGGACAGCTAGCCCCCCCTCTTACAGCATAAGACAAATCCCAATCAGCTCACAAAGAGACATCTAATTCAAAGCATATTTATTCCAACTCTGTGCTACTACCAGTGCCAGACATGGTCACTCACAACAAAACCAATAAGAAAAATTAGTAACCACGGAAATGAGATGTCTGAGAAGGGCTGTAGGAGTGACAATAAGAGATAAGATCAGGAATGAGATCATAAGAGAAAAAAATCGGCACAGAACCCAATTCTATNGGTGTTTATGACTACCCTTTCTCTTTGTGTTATTAATATAAGGCTACAGAAAAACGGCAGAGCTGGACTTAAAAAAAAAACAAAAGACCTTGGCTCCTATATTAGAACATCCTCAAATGGGTTTCAGGTAAAGCCCTGGGAAATTAAGGTGGCCGATGTGATGTTTACCACATCACCCAATGAGTGCAGATTGTTTGTAAAATATAGGTCTAGCCCTATATGCCCCAAAATGCCTGAAGGCCTGTAGAAAGGACCCTTTCCTTGCAGTGAAACCTTGTTAACAAAAATTCCAAGAGACCCCCCCCCTACCCCCCTCTTCCTCCCCTCCCCTCCCCCCACCCCCCTCCCCCCCCCCCCAAAAAAAAACACAAATAATTTATGTTTAAAAAAAATGTGTGCTATTCAGCGATTAATAATACATCCCTGCTGGAACTGAAATTTTATTCATGTTAACCACGTGTTACAGTAACATCTGGAGTAAGACAGGGGTGTTTATCACCTACATCGACAGTATATGCAAGAAGACCAAACCCATGAATGAAAATGTTAGTAAGATCAACGAATTACTCTTTGCAGATGACCAGGCCTTGATAGCAGATACAGCCATGAAATTGCAACAACATCTAACATCCATGAATGAAGAATGTAAAACAAATAATATAAGAATCAACACTGAAAAGACAGAAGTAATGTCAATAGGAAAAAAGAAGACAGATCTAAACAAAGCAATAGAGTGCAAAGGCTTTAAACAGGCATCTGAGTTTAAATATCTGGGAACTACATTTACCGAAGATGGGAAATTGGATAAAGAAATTAACATTAGATGCAGTAAAGCAAGCCAAGTATTGGGACAGCTAGCCCCCCTCTTACAGCATAAGACAATCCCAATCAGCACAAAGAGACATCTAATTCAAAGCATATTTATTCCAACTCTGTGCTACCAGTGCCAGACATGGTCACTCACAACAAACCATAAAAGAAAATTAGTAACCACGGAAATGAGATGTCTGAGAAGGGCTGTAGGAGTGACCATAAGAGATAAGATCAGGAATGAGATCATAAGAGAAAAAAATCGGCACAGAACCAATTCTAGATTACTTACAAAGACAGCAAGTGAAATGGTTGGCCCACTTAGAGAGAATGCCTTGTGACACCATACCATACCAAGCATACATGGAAAGAGAAGAAGGACGTAGAGCACGAGGTAGACCAAGAACAAGATGGAAGGATAACGTCAGAGAAACTCTACAACAGCACGATGTGCCTATGGTCGAGGCGGCCAGAAGAGCTAAAAACAGAACCTTATATCTCCCTTGACACCCACAGCGGTAAAAGAGGAAGTGAAGAAGAAGAAGAAGAAGAAGAACCACGTGTTTTTATTAAGGTAGTTTGTGTTAATGAAATTTTACTGTAGTTGTCTCCACCCTTGTTTTGTGTTCTTGTATTTTTGCTGGTGAAGACTAGTACCATAACATCCTCTGACCAACACTTCACATTTTTGGACTGATTAAGAAAAGTAGCATTGCAGAAGTAATCAATGAAATTGTTGCACATTTTGACAGAGCTGTGGCTGGATTGGTTGCATGATGAGATTCCACTGGTGGCTGGTGAAGAGGAGAGAAAGAAAGTGGAAGAACTGTTTGAGAAGGCTTTCAAAGATTACCAGTGTAAGTTAGTATTTGTTTGTACTTATTTAATAGAAACAAAAAACTTTTAGAACTCTAAATAAAAACGACTGTATTTTTATGTTTGTGCTTCTATTTTACTTGATAGATTGAGTTTAAGATATACTGCAGTTGATGCCCTTTCAGTTATTCTTAATCCTTTTTTTTTCTCCTCCCTTTGTTACTCTTTTTCTCCTCCCTCTTTCTCATCAATCACCCCTTTCTTTCTTTCTTTCTTTCTTTCTTTCTTTCTTTCTTTCTTTCTTTCTTTCTTTCTTTCTTTCTTTCTTTCTTTCTTTCTTTCTTTCTTTCTTTCTTTCTTTCTTTCTTTCTTTCTTTCTTTCTTTCTTTCTTTCTTTCTTTCTTTCTTTCTTGCTTTCTTTCTTTCTTGCTTTCTGTCTGTCTTTCTGTCTGTCTTTCTTTCTTTCTTTCTTTCTTTCTTTCTTTCTTTCTTTCTTTCTTTCTTTCTTTCTTTCTTTCTTTCTTTCTTTCTTTCTTTCTTTCTTTCTTTCTTTCTTTCTTTCTTTCTTTCTTTCTTTCTTTCTTTCTTTCTTTCTTTCTTTCTTTCTTCCTTTCTTTCTTTCTTTCTTTCTTTCTTTCTTGCTTTCTGTCTGTCTTTCTGTCTGTCTTTCTGTCTGTCTGTCTGTCTTTCTTTCTTTCTTTCTTTCTTTCTTTCTTTCTTTCTTTCTTTCTTTCTTTCTTTCTTTCTTTCTTTTCTTTCTTTCTTTCATCTACGAAGAGATCATATGCTGTATACCAGCTCACTCCAGATATTTTATAGACTGAAAAGATGATCACAGTGTTGCTGCTGTTTGTTTTTCTAATGGTTTTTTTTTCATGGCACATTTGAAACTGTGCACTAGATATCTCACTTATAATCCTAAAGGATTGAACAGGATATTTATTTTCCCTTAACATTCATCATTCTCTCAGGTCAACCAGCCTTAAATGGGTACCAGGTACAGTCCTGGGAAGTAAATGTGGCCGGCAGGATGCTGACCACATCACCCACCGAGTGCTGATTGGTCTATAAAATATAGGTCTAGCCCTATATATCTGAAGGCATGGAAAAGGGTTCTTAATACACACACACACACACACTCAAATTATCATCTCCTTAGTCAGTATATCCTATACAGAACGTTGCTCTTGCCACCGCACGCCTAAAAGTCACTTTTTCTCCAGCCCCATGTGCTTTCATAGCCAATGTATATTCAGTCCTGTATCCCAACTTTGTGGAGGTCGACCTCGTTTTCCGGAGACTGCATTTACTAGCGGAAAATTCTGGTTGTTCATTCACTTCTGGACTGAAGTCTTATTCTAGGATTAAGTTTTGAGTGCAGATCCATTTCACAGATCTAACTTATCTGTATGCAGGCTGTTGGTTCCTCGCCTCTAAGGCAGATGTTCTCCAACTTTAAAGGAAACACCCCTAATTATTCACCTTTTACAATATGCTTGTTATCGGGGACAGTGGGTATATTCTTTGTCTTCAAATAGGTCTATACACCTAACTTTCCCTACCCCACATCTTCCAGTGACACATAGCCCTCAATCAATTCAGTCAAACAGTTTGTACATTAGTTTATTTTATATTAAATATAAAATTATGTTGTGTTATGTGTTTTTAATTTGACTTCACAGCTGTTCCCATCTGGTTGGAGTATGTGCAGTTTGCTATTGGTCGTATGGGAGACGTAGACGGAGTCTCATCTGTTCGTGATGCATTCGAGAGGGCACTCACAGCTGTAGGAATTCATGTCAGTCAGGGGGCCAACATTTGGGAAGCTTATCGGGAGTTTGAGAATGCCCTGTCTGCAGGTTTAATGGTATCTTGACATTTGACTGTGTATAATTTGTTTGTGACAGGATCTGAAATTTAGTGTGTTATTCAGAGTCTGACATGGTTTCACCTTTGGCCTATATGGTGGTTTCAGTGTTTAACATGGTTTCACCTTTGGCCTGTATGGTGGTTTCAGTGTTTAACATGGTTTCACCTTTGGCCTGTATGGTGGTTTCAGTGTTTGACATGGTTTCACCTTTGGCCTGTATGGTGGTTTCAGTGTTTGACATGGTTTCACCTTTGGCCTGTATGGTGGTTTCAGTGTTTGACATGGTTTCACCTTTGGCCTGTATGGTGGTTTCAGTGTTTGACATGGGAGTCTTATACTGTGGTGTGTGACAGTAAGCGATAAGGATTTACCTTTATCCTGTACCTGACCTATACTGTCATACATGTTAAAGGTATTCTCAAATCAGGATTCTGATAAGAGTTTTAATTTAGTTCATAAGAGGCAAACATTATCTTTTTCTAAACCAATCTAAGTGTCAGTGGCGTTATTTTAGGAAAAGCACGGGCATTTTAAGTACCTAGGCACTTGGGAACATCTGACTGAAGAGGTGAAGAACAGAATAGGACAGGCTAAAACTGCATTTTATAAAATGAAGAATATTTTATTCAGTAAATCCAAGTCATTGGAGTTTAGGAAAAGAATATTTACATGCTAAATAGTGTCAATTTTAAATATAGCTTTGAATCCTGGGCATAATTAATAAACAAGCCAAACAATTTCTTGAGGTCTTGGAGATGTGGTTTTACAGAAAAATCCTTAGAATTTCCTGGGCAGCCAAAAAGAGCAACCTAGATTTTTTGAAGGAGGCGAGGGCTCAAAGACAACTTATTACAAACACCAGAGCGAGACAGTCATATTAATGAGAAGGAAACTGGAGCATGTTGTGACTGCTGGAAATATCTGTGGACAAGTAGAGGAAGACAACACTAGAAGATTCTTGACAGTCTTTTGTCATGACATACAGTGATGCCAACACAGTCTGATGCATGCTGTTGAAAATCGCAGATTGTGGAGAGGCATGATCGCTCATGCCAGTTGGCAAGGCACTTGATGACGATGATGACAATAGCAGAGTCGGATAAGGAAATACCTTTAACATGTATGACAGTATAGGTCAAGACTTGACCTTTACCCCTAATGACAATAATTGCCAAGGTCTTCACCTTTTCTGATAGTTATAGTTTACCTTGGACACTGATGAAACAAACTTGCTAAGTGGCAAGTAGAAAGAGCAGGTATTACAACAGTTTTCCTAATATTAAGTCTCCAAATGCTTAGTTGGCTGGGTCACTCCTAGATAATGCAGAATGGTAGTCTCTAGGAACATTCTCAATGGTGAATTACAGTTGGCTGGGTCACACCTAGATAATGTAGAATGGTAGTCCCTAGGGACATCTTCAATGGTGAATTACAGTTGGCTGGGTCACACCTAGATAATATAGGATGGTAGTCCCTAGGGACATCCTCTATGGTGAATTACAGCTGGCTGGGTCACACCTAGATAATGCAGAATGGTAGTCCCTAGGGCTATAATCTATGGCAGGGCTATTCAACTGGCGGGCCAAATCTGGGCCGCCGATCGTTGCCAAAATAGCGAAATGTAGTTATAAAAAATAAAAATAAACGAATCAATGGTTCTGTATATTCTTCAAAAACCAGTCATGTCGAATGTGCCAACAGGAAGTGTTTGTCAGAAATCTGTAAATGCGAAGATACAAGGGAACCGGCTTAGGAACAGAAACAATTATTAGATCAGGGTAAAAGTTCATTCCCAGATCGTTCAAATAGCAAAACTCGCCTGTTTGAAGCCAAAGGTAATAAGATAAGGCTGGACAGAATCAAGTAGTTCTTCTTCTTCTTTGCATTCACCGGCTGTAAACTCAGGTGGAAAGTTCTGGTTGTTCGTCCACTTCTGGACTGCAATCCTGTTCCAGAACCTGAGTGTTGCGTGTGCAACCATTTGACAGAGATGTATGCAGACTATTGGTTCCTTGCCTCTCAGGCAGATGCACTCCGACTTCGAAGGAAGCTCCCAATTAGTCGACTCTTACGACATGCTTTTGGGTAGGCAGTGGGTCTATTCTTGTTTTTCAATCAAGTAGTAAGTAGGAAGGCCACCGCTGCACTGGACATTCAATGAAGATGAGATATTTATTTGACAGGAGGCGTACCCAAATACCAGCACGGTCCTGACAGTTAGAGCTTAGATTACCGAGAATCTCTCCGCAATGGGTGCCACTGATACACACAAACTAATGGCATTGGATGCAGCAGAACATCAAACACTGGACACCGCAGAATACCTGCTAGTGATCTAGTTATCAGACTTCCAGAAAAACGTCCAGTCAACAGTCACATACAAGACACAATCACACGTAGATTGCCGGTCGCGATTATATAGTAACAAACTGAATCAGTAACAGTGGTTTAAATTACCCACTTTTAATAATTTAGTTAAATACTTGATGCAATGCTAGCGCTAGTAAGCGAGCAAAGTGGGAATGTGAAAATTGTGCATTCCACAGTGACTGGACACTGAAATATTTATTTATAACCCCAACTATGCCTAATTGGAAACCATTATGCTTGCTATTTTATTTCCTCAATACTGGACTCAGCAATCTTAACCGATCGGATGATATAAATATTTAAAAAAAAACTTCAGAATAATTTCAACAACAGATTTGACGACTTCAGTATCCCAGAACAATGTAAAGTTATTCGTTAGATATCCTTTTAAAATCCCACCTGCGTGTGATTTTTCTTCCAATGCTATGAAGTTGACATCCTCTGTTGGTGAAGGTTCTCTGCAGTTAGAAGTTGTGAATATCAAATGTTCCAGTGCAGTGAAAAAAGATTTTCAAGAAAGTGGTACCGCCGAGTTTTGGTAAGAGAGGATTCAATAGGAGCGTTCCCTGATGCTAGAAAAGTTGGTGTATTCATATTCACCATGTCTGGCTCAACTTTCACTTGTGAATCAAGCTTATTACACATAAATGTCATCAAGACAAACGGTTGGAGCTCACTGAGCAATGATAGGCTGCAGAATTATATGAGAATTGCTCTTACTTCTCACCAGCCAAGTTTGGTAAATTTAGCTTAAAAACGAAAGCATTTCCCATTAACTATATTTAGCATCGTTATACCTTTCGGCTTCGTCTGCAGAACATGAAACCAACTTTGGACAGTTATTATTATTATTGCGACAATGTAATGAAAGTGACAGAGATAACGTTTAGTTATGATCCCAGCGACAAGTTGGAAATACGTATATTTCAATTAAATTGTTTCCAGTGTGGGTCCAGTAGCCTATTGGTATAAAATTAGAATAGGCCCACTGACTACTCAAAAGAATGTCGCAAGAGTCGACTAATTGAGAGCTTTCTTCGAAGTCTGAGTAAATCTGCCCGAGAGCCAAGGAACCCACAGTCTGCATGCAAATGAGTAACACGTGTAAAACTGATGTGTACGCAACACTCAGTTTCTGGAACAGGACTAGTCTAGAAGTAGACGTACAACCAGAACTTTCCGCTGGAGTTTACCGCCAATGAATACATAAAAGAAGAAGAATTACAATTGAGTATTAATTAATCATTAGAGAAGATTGTGGTACACTTTAGAATATAATGGTTTACAACACTGCTTCATTTATATATGTTAAGTCCTAGGCGTAATAGTTTTTGAGTGTAATAAATCTACAGATTGAAAGTGTTGTCAATTATAGTGTGGGCTCGGGCCACTGGCCCTCGACGATCTCAATGTTCAACATCTTGGCCCGCGAGCAAACTTAGTTGAATAGCCCTGCTCTATGGTGAATTGCAGTTGGCTGGGTCACACCTAGATAATGCAGAATGGTAGTCCCTAGGGAAATCCTCTATGGGGAATTACAGATGGCTGGGTCACACCTAGATAATGCAGAATGGTAGTCCCTAGGGATATCCTCTATGGGGAATTACAGATGGGTAGAAGATGTTGAGGCTGGGCTCTACTGTGATATAAAGATATTTGTGAGCAGGACATGAATGATGCAGGTATTGAGGTAGATTCCTGGAACAGAGCCATGGACTGTGTTGCATGGAGGGTGCGAATCAGGAAGGGAATGAGTATGAAGGGGAAACAAATGTTTGCAGAAAGGATGAGAGCTGAGCATCTGAGAAGAGACACACTAAACACGTGATGGCAGCAATGGTCCTGAAATTTCATGCACTAATTGTGGGAAGGGGGTGGGGGGGGGGGGGGTTAACACATTCAGGTCTTGCAAGTCACACTCGTCATCACCAGCCATGGGCTGTGAGTTCCATGTCTCCTCCGAGAACAGTATGGTGGCAGCAATATAAGATGAAACGAGTCTATTGACAAGGTACCTATAGCTTTGTTAGAAACAGCTATTGTAAAATGTGTCTTTCAGCCGTGTTAGAAACAACTATTGTATAATGTGTCATTTAGCCGGAACCTGGTGCTGTTGTTAGCAAGGAGCAGGAGGAGGCATTTGCTGTTCAGAACCAGAGAGTTGTGTCCCTGTTTAAGAGACAGTTGGCAGTGCCTCTTCTTCGTAAGTCAGATTTCACTTGTTTTCTTTTACAGTGTTTCTCTACTTTATACATTACACTGCATGTTTGTTTTTTAAATTAATCTATCAAGGTGTAGCTGGCTGAGTGGTTAGAATGCTGAGCATTTGTGTGGGAGATCCCAGTTCGACTCCTTAGTAAAGAGGACATTTTTTTCTGACTGCTGCAAAGATAAATGTCCTTCTTCTTTTTTTTCTATATTCATCCAAAGGCGTTAATGTGTTGTGCCCATTTACAACATGTCTGCCATATTTGTGCCTTTTGGCCAACACATCCGACTTTTGCAGGCATTATTTGCCTGTTTAGCCTTCCCAGGAATCAACATTCTAACCTGTGTAGTTCGTGATGATTGCACTCAAGTTATGGAATAAGATAAAGCACCTGAGACAACAGATCATGTCCTCCAAGACTGTCCCAAATACAACACATCAAGGCAAAACTTTTGGCCAAGAGAAACATGGTTGTAAGTCAAACTTTATGGGCCGCTGAGTGAATTACAAAAGACAGTAAAGTTCATACTAGAGATAACTTTGCAGATATAGATAATTGATTTCAAGCAAATGAAAGAAGAAGAAGATAAAGGTCCGGCGGCCGACTAACATTGACAACTTTCAGCTTGAGTTTAGCTGGTGAACACTAAGAGGAAGAAGAAATGGAAGCCGAACTATGCCTGCCAATGCTGAATGTGCATGGCATGAACAATCAGAACTTTTCACTGGATGAACAATCCAAATTTCCACCAGAGCTTACAGCCGGTGAACACGAAGAAAAAAAGAAGTAGAGGAGAGCTATGCCTGCCAATGTTTATCTGCGTGACACATGATAATGATTATAAAATGTTGTTATGCTTTTGTGAAATTATATTTTGCATTTTTAAATATATAATAAATTGTTGTAAAACTTTCTAATTTAAAAACATGTTAACTTGTAATGGACATTGTATTTTCCCCCCAAGATATGGAGAACACACTGCAGGAGTATAAGGAGTGGCTTGGTCAGGATTCTGTTGATAAAGAAACACAAGCTATATTTGACAAGTCAAATAAAGTGTTGGAGGAAGTCCAACCATTTGAGGACAGATTGGTAGGTGTTTTTGGTTGCCATAATGAATGTTTCCATAATGAATGCTTGATCATGCATCTTTCCTGTGGCAAGTTCTGGTTGTGAGTCATGGACTCAATATTCAGTCTTCAAAGGAAAAAAATCAGAACTTGTAAACTGAAAAGCTACAGAAAATTTATAAATTACTGCCGAGCAAAAAGAGGGAAAACTGTGACATCCTGTTTGTTCTGAACATCAAGGAAAATTGGCTCATAAACAGCATCCTCTCCTGAAAGCTGAGGAATTTTGGCCATTTTTTCAGGAAAAAGAGGCAGAGGCTGACTTCCGTGGATGCGAGACATTGAGGATGAATTCACTATAAAAGCACATAGGGCTGGAGCATTGGCTTGAGAAAGAGAGACTTTCAGGCATGCTGTAAAGGACGTCCTGATTGATGATGATGATTTAATGCTTTATTATTGTAAAAACATAAGTGGTTGCATTTGTCTGCATGCGTGGGTGAGAGAGAGAGAAAGGGGGCATTTGTATGCATGCGTGGGTCAGAGAGAGAGAGGAAGGGGACATTTGTGTGCATGCGTGGGTGAGAGAGAGAGGAAGTGTTTGTGTGCATGCGTGGGTGAGAGAGAGAGGAAGTGGTTGTTTGTGTGCATGTGTGGGTGAGAGAGAGAGAGAGGAAGTGGTTGTTTGTGTGCATGAGTGGGTGAGAGTGAGAGAAGAAGGGGACATTTGTGTGCATGTGTGGGTGGGAGAGAGAAGAAGTGGGTGTTTATGTGCATGCTTGGGTGAGAGAGAGAGGAAGGGGCTGTTTGCGTGCATGCGTGGAGAGAGAGGAAGGGGGCATTTGTGTGCATGTGTGGGTGGGAGAGAGAAGAAGGGTGTGTTTGTGTGCATGCTTGGGTGAGAGAGACAGAAGAAGGAGCGTTTGTGTGCATGCATGAGAGAGAGGAAGGAAGAGTGTGTTTGTGTGCATGCGTGGAGAGAGAGAGGAAGGGTGTGTTTGTGTGCATGCTTGTGTGAGAGAGACAGAAGAAGGAGCGTTTGTGTGCATGCATGAGAGAGAGGAAGGAAGAGTGTGTTTGTGTGCATGCGTGGAGAGAGAGAAGAAGGGTGTGTTTGTGTGCATGCTTGGGTGAGAGAGACAGAGGAAGGAGCGTTTGTGTGCATGCATGAGAGAGAGGAAGGAAGGTTGTGTTTGTGTGCATGCGTGGAGAGAGAGAGAGTGGAAGGTTGTGTTTGTGTGCATGCGTGGAGAGAGAGAGGAAGGGTGTGTTTGTTTGCATGCATGGAGAGAGAGAGAGGAAGGAGAGTGAGAGAGATCCTCGTGTCACCTTCGTAAATCCTAGTAATTAAAAGGAAAAGACCCTTTTGCTCGCCTTCAGGCATATAGGGCTAGACCTATATTTTATAGACCAGTCAGCACTTGGTGGATCATTTGATCAGCATTGCCCTGACTACCTTTACTTCCCAGGACTTCACCTGGTACCCACAAGGCTGGGTCGACCTGGGAGCCAAGGTCATTTTTGAAAAAACAGATCTGGCTCCGTCAGGACCCGAACCCACAGCCTTCTCATCTACAGTTGAGTGTCTAACCACTACGCCACGGCCACTCATAAATTCTAGTTCCACTCCAAAATGATTAGTTCATTACTGTTACAACTCAGCTCCTCTTCGTCATCTTTTTATCCCTCATTAAAAAAAAAGAAATGTTATCCACCAACTCACACCATGTCTTCGTTTTCTTTGCCATCACGGGCAGTGCGATCAGTGTCTTCCCCCATTGTTTTTTTTTTTGCAATCTGCTTTTAATTCCTCTGTATCATCTGGGACAGTATCAGTTTATTTAAGGGCTGAAGAGTGGGATCTCAAGGAACAAAGATTTAAAATAATTTATCTGTAGATAAGAGCGCCATTTGGCTTTTAACGGATGTTGTCTAATGATTGATTGAAGTCATATTTTTGTGTTTTGTTTTTAATCATATCAGCTGGCAACGAAGCCACCTAATGTTGATGTGTATCAAGAGTATATTGATTACGAGCTGAAGTCAGGCAATCCAGTCAGGGTCCAGTGCATCTTCGAGCGGGCTCTCAAGGATAATTGTCTGGTTGCAGATCTCTGGTTGCAGTACACAAAATATCTGGTAAAGATTTAAATGTATCCATTTAAGAACCATGTATGTACTTGCCTAGTTGCTTATCTCTGGTTGCAGTACACAAAATATCTGGTAAAGATTTAAATGTATCCATTTAAGAACCATGTATGTACTTGCCTAGTTGCTTATCTCTAGTTGCAGTACACAAAATATCTGGTAAAGATTTAGATGTGTCAATTTAAGAACCATGTATCTACTTGTCTAATGCTGATCTCTGGTTGCAGTACAAAAAATATCTGGTAAAGATTTAGATGTGTCCATCTGAGAATCATGTATGTACTTGCCTAATTGCTGATCTCTAGTTGCATTACACAAAATATCTGGTAAATATTTAGATGTGTCCATCTGAGAATCATGTATGTTCTTGCCTAGCTGCTGATCTCTGGTTGCAGTAGACAAAATATAGGTAAAGATTTAGATGGGTCCATGGATGTGCTTGCCTAGTTGCCGATCTCTGGTTTGCAGTACACAAAATATCTGGTAAAGATTTAGATGTGGCATCTGAGAACCATGTGTGTGCTTGCCTAGTTGCTGATCTCTGGTTTGCAATACACAAAATATCAGTACTATTGGAATTGTCCATTTGAGAAGCATTTATGTTCTTGGCTGGTTGCAAATCTCTTGTTGCAGTACACAGAATATCTAATAATGGTTTAGTTATGTTGATTTAAGAACCATCTGTGCATTCCCCAGGGCCTGAAACAAATGGGTATCAGGTGACTTCTCCAGTGACCCCTATCACTGAGGTGTACAGGAAAATCTTAAGTCTACCTGTTTTTTTTTTTAAAAAGCTGTTATATTTACAAGGAGACCCATCTGATTGCTATATTTAGTTAATATTGAGATCTGGGCCTCCTAAACACAGCACAGGAGCACATAGAACCACTGGCATTTAACTACGATTTTCGAGAACAGGTCACTGCAGAAATGGTGATATATTTGCATTTACAGAGCTATGTCACGACCGGAAGTGTCTAGATGAAATATTCTCAAGGTGATATGGTTAGGTTCTTTCTGCCACAACATAGTGTTATTGTGTGAATGTCTTTGGACTTTGATAATAGTGTTATCATGTGAATGTCTTTGGACTTAGATAATAGTGTTATCATGTGAATGTCTTTGGACTTAGATAATAGTGTTATCATGTGAATATCTTTGGACTTAGATAACAGTGTTATCATGTGAATGTCTTTGGACTTAGATAATAGTGTTATCATGTGAATGTCTTTGGACTTAGATAATAGTGTTATCATGTGAATATCTTTGGACTTAGATAACAGTGTTATCATGTGAATGTCTTTGGACTTAGATAATAGTGTTATCATGTGAATGTGTTTGGAATTTAACATTGGCTGCTTTAATCTGGAACTTTTTAAGACAAAGTTAAATTGATTACTAGTTTGTACTCAGAGTTAATTATTCATTGTACTCTGCAGGACAAACTCAAGATCAAGCAGCAGATTAAATCTGCATACGAAAGAGCTGTTCGCAACTGTCCCTGGTCATCTCAGCTATGGGTCAACTATTTACTGGCCATGGAGAGGCAGAATACATCCTTTGCAAAAATGAAAGGTCAGTCGATGCTGTTGTTATTTGAGGAATATACTTTTTTTCAAAAATGACCCCTCGACTTCCAGGTTGACCCAGCCCTTGACTTCCATGTTGACCCAGCCCTTGTCTTCCAGGTTGACCCAGCCCTTGTCTTCCAGGTTGACCCAGCCCTTGTCTTCCAGGTTGACCAGCCCTTGTCTTCCAGGTTGACCCAGCCCTTGTCTTCCAGGTTGACCCAGCCCTTGTCTTCCAGGTTGACCCAGCCCTTGTCTTCCAGGTTGACCCAGCCCTTGACTTCCAGGTTGACCCAGCCCTTGACTTCCAGGTTGACCCAGCCCTTGTCTTCCAGGTTGACCCAGCCTTAAATGGGCTCCAGGTAAAGTCCTGTGAAGTAAAGGCGGCCGGCACCACATCACCCACACAAGCAATATGGGACAATGCTGGTACGTTCGCATGATGTGTATGAAGGATTTCAGAGAACCTTAGGGATCACCATTGTCACCTGTCTTGTTCTTCTTCTTCTGCTTTCATCTGAAGATGTAATTGCATTGTGTCCGTTTACATCATGGCTGCTATATTTGCACCTTTGGGCCAGCACATCCAACTTCTGCGGGCATTTGTTGACCGGGTTAGCCTTCCCGGTTACCTATCTTGTTCTACGTATATACAGCAAGTCTGGCAAAAATACAGCCCACTGGACCAGGGCAAATGTGACATTTGCAGATGATGTCCTCATGTATAGAAGCAGGTCAGACAGGCACGATATGACCAGAAACTTGCTAAGTTTTTTGCAAAAGATTATGGAGTGGTGTGAATAGACAGGGTCAAGGGTAAACCCGGAGAAGGCTAGTGTTTTATGTGTTGTTCGTCATGGTGCTCCTTAAATAACAGCTTTGGAAAGGAAGACTTGCCCAGCATATAAATAAAGACGAGATAAGCTAGAGATAAGACTTAGGTCTGACGTTTGATGGCAGTCTGTCCTACAAATATTACATGGAGCACTGAAGACAATGGTGGCCACACACATGGGACATAGATTATTGGTCTTATTGTTCAACCATTTGGTCCTTTCTGTAATTGATGTACAAAGCTTGATTGGATTCACAATGAAGGAATGAGAATTGTCTAAGGTTTTACATGAGATACACCAATCAGAACAATGATGTAAATGCTTGGGCTGACATGGGAAAAGTATACTGTCACTGGTACAAGCTAAGGCCTATTTGCCAGTTACCAATGATGAATGGCATCCTTTGTATGGCAGTCTGAAAGATTTAAGAGACTGATTGAAAATAGGAAAGTCGTGGATGAAAGTAGCTGAAGATACCATCGAGATGGCAGACTTGGTAAAGCAAATACACAGGGCAAGAATGGTTCGACAGAAACACCCATAACAGCATTTTTCATCAGGTCATTATCACGTTAGGAAGAGAATTTAGAGAGTGGTGCAACATATGGCAGAATTAGAGATGCAACAACTGATAGATGGAAACGCTGGGCTAAATGATACAGTAGCATACACTGGTGGTTGTATTCAGCGGGGTGTAAGATCTGGCTGAGGATTTTCAGCCACAATGCAGGAAAAGATTGTGGCAGAACATATTATTTTTTTTTTAAGCGCTGTAGTTCTGATGTGGATAGCAGGAAGTAACCAGAGGAAATATTGATCAGATTCTCAGTCGGTACTGCAGAAGGTTCAGCGTGAACTTATATGGCATGAGTGGATATCAAGCATCAATACGCCAACATTGCAGGGAATCACGTGGATAAACTCTCCGGGAGTTACAGGAGTGTGAGGGAAGGAGAGAGCAGATTTTCTGCCCACAAAAGCTATAGATACGGGAACAATCATACTGGACAAGGGAGATATTCTGAAGACCATATATGAACGAGCGGCGTCCATGGCTAAGGTGTTGCGAGTCTGACTCGTAATCCAACGTACCGCGATCGAAACCTGCGTGGGCTGCATGGATTTTTATTGTGGTATGGGACGTCGCAGGTCGACCCAGCCTCAAATGGGTACCAGGATGAGCTGTCCTGGGAAAGTAAAGACTGCTGGCGTAATGCTGACCACATTACCCACCGAGTGCCGATTGGTCTATAAAAATATGGGTGCTCTTCGCATATGCCCGATGCGCCTAAGGGCGTGTAATGGGATCTTTACTTTTTTTTTATATGAACGAATGTTAATAGAAGACACGAGGTCAGATCAAATAAAATATGTAAGAGTGTGTGAACAAGGAATTAGGAGTGGATCCGTCAAGGTTCGGCGTATGAGAGGAAGAGAACGACGTGTGTGCAATCAGTGTGCATCTACACCTAAAGACTGATTCCCAAACTGTGCGCCGCGGGACCCCAGGAAGCCACGACCTCTTCACAGGGGCACCGCAAAATATTGGGTATGCCCGGTGTGCTGTGATGTTGATTCTTAAATCGCTAATCACTAAACCACTCAGTGACGATTTGCATATAAAATATAGATCTAGCCCTATGTGCCCACTCTGCATGAAGGCTTGGAAAAGGGTCCCATATTTTACTATGAAAAATATACTGCTAGCATCATATACACAAGACCTGTGGCATGCTAACATTTGTAGCAGCAGTATTAAAGTTCACTGTTGTGTGTTTCCAGAGCTTGCTGATAAAGCCATGTCCGTGGGTTTCACACAGTCTTCAGATTATCTGGCCGTGTGGGTTCAGTACCTTGACTACTTGAGGCGATGCATCAAGTGGAACGAAGGTAAGTTTTAACGTATGTATGTATGTATAGAAAATATGCTTGGCATTACATGTTTTCTGCTTCTTGTGCCATTGATACCTTAACTTTTTAAGTCTCAGAAACGCATCACATGCTAATAGGTTATTCCCAGGTGGCCAATCAATACATGACACGTACAGGTTTTTATTGACCACTGGCCAGTATAGCAACTCATAGTGGCAGTTTTGAATTGTATTTTCTGTTTTTGTGTGACTGATTTCACATGTGCTGACCATTAGGCATATTTTTAAATGTGGTTAAAAGCATCAAATGTAAAATGTTTGTGAGCTTTATCGTTACTAAGTGTCTGTGTGAAGATAATATGGCCTCCGAGCAGATTTCTTTATGCAGGACAACAAGATTGATGACTTTAGAAGCTGCATATTTGAATAAAACATGTGTTTATGAGACCTATCTGAAGCTAGACCAAGAAGTAGACATGTTTCAGTCATGGATAGAGTCAAACTTTGATGAAAGATAGCTCAGATATATACCCCACACAAAGCCTCAATGATAGCCAAGTCAGATGGTACCCCAAAAAATATATATAAGTAAAAAAAAAAAAGGCAAAATTCTTCAGTGATCACATGGGCAGATGTATTTATATTTTATTTATACATTACTACATGGTTCGTGTTCATTTGCGATTCATTTTGGATATATTTTGTGGAGTTTTCCTTGAGTGCCATGATAGTAAGTTGACAAATTACTTCAAATATGGGCAAATTATGAGGCTATCTTTAATTTTTATTTTAGGTCATGAAGAGGAATTGGAAACCTTCAGGTTAACAGCAGAAGCAGCAGCAAACATGATGTTTGAAAGTAAGTGCTCAGTCTCTCTGTGTTTGAACACCTTTTCTGCTCTTTATTGCCCATTAGCAAAAGAGCTATTCATTTGCCCACACTAGCGGACCATTGCTGCTTGTTTTGTATTAAAAATCTTTCAACGCTGGAGCTCAGACCCCTGGTGGTCTCCATGTTCAACATTTTGGCCCCTGAGTTAGCCCAGAACAGACCTAGCAGTGACTCATGACCTATATTTCCTTTTACAAAATGTATAATTTATGTGTTTTATACATCTTTTACAGCCCCCTCTCTTCCTGATATTGATATCTGTCGAATAACATAACCCTTGACCTGTTAGGGTCGTGCAGTTGTATCAATGGAAGCTCTAGCACATAAAACTCACCATCTTTCTCTGTCTTCCGCTTGATGAATAAGTGTATGATAACTTAGTCCTGTCCATTTCTTGATGTTGTCATTCCAGGTTCTTCTTTGTCCTCCTCATCTTCGTCTACCCCTCAATGTTCCTTGAAGCACAGTCTTTGCAATTGAATCAAGTCTCACCACGTGCCTGAACCAAGCTAGCTTGCGATGTTTTACCACTGCCAAGAGAGGCTCCTGATAGACTGTTCTTTCTGTGTCTGTTAGGTCTCCGTGTCTTTTACCCTGCATGTATCCATGAGCTTCTCGTTGGAGATTTTGCTCATATTATTCTTAGTCCTTTTTATTTGCATATTGGTACTTGTGGGAGCCACCATGGTGTAGCGGCTACATGCTCGCCTGCAGATCGGAAGGTTGTAGGGGCCACCGTGGTGTAGTGGCTACATGCTCGCCTGCAGATCGGAAGGTTGTAGGGGCCACCGTGGTGTAGTGGCTACATGCTTGCCTGCAGATCGGAAGGTTGTGGGGGCCACCGTGGTGTAGCGGCTACATGCTCGCCTGCAGATCGGAAGGTTGCGGGTCTGGGCCCTAATGTAGCCGGCTGAACCAAAAATGTGATTTTAGCCCCCAATTCACCTCAGCCTTGAGTGGGTACCAGGTACAGTCCTGGGCAGTAAAGGCGGCCAGCATGATGCTGACCAAGTGGTCTATAAAATATAGGTCTAGCCCTATATGTCTAATACACTTTAAGGCATGGAAAAGGGTTCTTTTACTAGGCTGTGTGTCAGTCACTGAGATGAAAGGTTGAAGTCCAACAGCTGTTGGATTGATAACAATAATCTTCTTCTTCGTGTTCACTTGCTGTAAACTCCGGCAGAAAATTCTGGTTGTTTGTCCACTTCTGAACATTAGTCTTGTTCCAGAACCTGAGTGTTGCGTGCACATCTGTTTTACAAATCTGACCTATTTGTATGCAGATTGTTGGCTTCTTGCCTCTTAGGCAGATGTACACCGACTTTAAAGGAAGCCCCCAGTTAGTTGGCTTTTTACGACGTGCTTGTTGGGGAGACAGTGGGTCTATTCTTGTTCCCCCCCCCCACCCTCTCCTCCCCTCCCCACAATGAGGTACTAAAACCCACACAGGGAGATAACGGTTATAATTACTATGTTTCATGACGTAAGCTGTTTTCCTATGACACTGTTGTAATGAGCCTACATTAGTTTACTTTCTTTTGTCAACAGACTACGGCAAAGATGGGGACCCAGAAGCTATCCTACTGAGGACCTGGGCATTTATAGAAGTATGTTCCATGATGACGCAGTTAACACTGTTTTAGAAGATTTCTCTCCCAGTAACTGTTTAACTTGTGCAGGAATGAAAGATTCTTTGCTGTTTTCTTAAGCTCTTAAATGTTACCTGAGGTGAAAACTAAAGTGGTGTTTATCGCTGAGAATTTGAAATGGTGTTTGTCGCTGAGAACTTGATGTGGTGTTTGTTACTGAGAACTCGAGATAGTGTTTGTCGCTGAGAACTTGATGTGGTGTTTGTTACTGAGAACTTGAAATGGTGTTTGTCGCTGAGAACTTGATGTGGTGTTTGTTACTGAGAACTTGAGATAGTGTTTGTCGCTGAGAACTTGAGATGGTGTTTGTCCCTGAGAACTTGAGATGGTGTTTGTTACTGTGAACTTCAGATGGTGTTTGTCACTGTGAACTTGAGATAGTGTTTGTTGCTGAGAACTTGAGATAGTGTTTGTCGCTGAGAACTTGATGTGGTGTTTGTTACTGAGAACTTGAAATGGTGTTTGTTGCTGAGAACTTGAGATAGTATTTGTCACTGAGAACTTGAGATGGTGTTTGTCTCTGAGAACTTGAGGTGGTGATTGTCGCTGAGAACTTGAGATGGTGTTTGTCGCTGAGAACTTGAGATGGTGTTTGTCGCTGAGAACTTGAGATAGTGTTTGTCACTGAGAACTTGAGATGGTGTTTGTCACTGAGAACTTGAGATAGTGTTTGTTGCTGAGAACTTGAGATGGTGTTTGTCACTGAGAACTTGAGGTGGTGTTTGTCACTGAGAACTTGATGTGGTGTTTGTCACTGAGAACTTGATGTGGTGTTTGTCACTGAAAACTTAATGTGGTGTTTGTCACTGAGAACTTGAGATGGTGTTTGTCTCTGAGAACTTGATGTGGTGTTTGTCACTGAGAACTTGATGTGGTGTTTGTCACTGAGAACTTGAGATGGTGTTTGTCACTGAGAACTTGAGATGGTGTTTGTCACTGAGAACTTGATGTGGTGTTTGTCACTGAGAACTTGAGGTGGTGTTTGTCGCTGAGAACTTGAGATGGTGTTTGTCACTGAGAACTTGAGGTGGTGTTTGTCACTGAGAACTTGAGGTGGTGTTTGTCACTGAAAACTTGAGGTGGTGTTTGTCACTGAGAACTTAATGTGGTGTTTGTCACTGAAAACTTAATGTGGTGTTTGTCACTGAAAACTTAATGTGGTGTTTGTCACTGAGAACTTAATGTGGTGTTTGTCACTGAGAACTTGAGGTGGTGTTTGTCACTGAAAACTTAATGTGGTGTTTGTCACTGAGAACTTGAGATGGTGTTTGTCACTGAGAACTTGAGATGGTATTTGTCACTGAAAACTTAATGTGGTGTTTGTCACTGAGAACTTGAGGTGGTGTTTGTCACTGAGAACTTGAGTTGGTGTTTGTCACTGAGAACTTGGTGTGGTGTTTGTCACTGAAAACTTAATGTGGTGTTTGTCACTGAGAACTTGGTGTGGTGTTTGTCACTGAAAACTTAATGTGGTGTTTGTCACTGAGAACTTGGTGTGGTGTTTGTTACTGAGAACTTGAGGTGGTGTTTGTCACTGAAAACTTAATGTGGTGTTTGTCACTGAGAACTTGAGGTGGTGTTTGTCACTGAAAACTTAATGTGGTGTTTGTCACTGAAAACTTAATGTGGTGTTTGTCACTGAGAACTTAATGTGGTGTTTGTCACTGAGAACTTGAGGTGGTGTTTGTCACTGAAAACTTAATGTGGTGTTTGTCACTGAGAACTTGAGATGGTGTTTGTCACTGAGAACTTGAGGTGGTGTTTGTCACTGAAAACTTAATGTGGTGTTTGTCACTGAGAACTTGAGATGGTGTTTGTCTCTGAGAACTTGATGTGTTTGTCACTGAGAACTTGATGTGTTTGTCACTGAGAACTTGATGTGGTGTTTGTCACTAAAAACTGGAGGTGGTGTTTGTCACTGAAAACTGGAGGTTGTGTTAGTCACTGAGAAGTTGAGGCTGTGTTAGTCACTGAGAACAAAGCCTCGTTTATAAGTGCAGTCGTATCCTTTCAAATTGCAGGCAAAGTTTTGTAAGAATCAGGAGAAAGCCAGAGAAATATGGAACCAGATCATGCAGAGTGGCCACGGGGCAGAAGCCGGTCTTTGGCTGGAGTACTATCGGCTGGAGAGGTAATCTTTGTTTTAAACCTGCTTGTGTCACTTTAGAAAAAACACAAAAATTTGTGCTTTGATATTATTACCACTGTACAGTTATAGGACAGAGAAGATGGCGCTGCATTGGACACATCCTGAGAAGAGACCAGCAGAGAATCACAAAATAGGCACTAATGTGGGAAATAAAGGGCTTAAGGAGGCGAGGTTGCTCAAAGTTGATAAGATGAAAGTTGATAAGATGAAAGTTGATAAGATGAAAGTTGACAAGAGAGGCTAAAGGTGCTGGATTGGATTCCATCCATGATATTGAACTGTAGGCACAAGATAGAATTTTTGAATGGGGGAATAGATTACAAGCCCTGTGTGATATGTAATGGCAAAACAGGGCAATTAATGAATTTTGTTATAAAATGTTTAGACCATATCTTTTTATTATTTGCATTCACCGGCTGTAAACTCTGGCTGAAAGTTCTGGTTGTTCATCCACTTCTGGACTTTAGCCTAATTCCAGATATTGAGTTTTGCTTTCACAGCCATTACACATATCAGGCTTACTTGTGTGCAGACTGTTGGTTTCTCACCTCTCAGGCAGATGCACTCCAGCTTTGATGAAAAAACTTCTAATTCCAGCATCTTCTGTAAATGTTGGTTTTATTATTAGTAGTGCTTCTTTGCTCAAAATATACAACACAGGAGCAGTAGTATTAGAATCAACTCTAAGGCCTTCCGCTGGCTTGAGAATCAGCTGTACACACATGCCGTAATTGTAACCGACTCACAGAGCATTTCAAGATAGGTGGAGACAGGCATGCTCCGTTCAGAGTGGCAAGCGTCACTTCAAAGATCACAGGTAGTTAGCATCCTCTGGATAATTTCTCTAGGTAATGCCAGTGTGTTGGAAAATGAGTGTACTAGAACGGAGAAAGCCCTTAGTACCAAGAAGAAAAAAAAAAAAGAGTTCGTTTAGGCGGGGGAGAGATCAGAATATCTCACCCTGGCAAGAAATATTCTGTGTAGAGTCTAATATAGTATAATGGTAAAACCTAGGCACACTAACTAAAATAACAAGAATGTAAGTCGACAAAAACAGAAACTTTATTTACTTGACGGCATATAACAATACTTGATAACACTCCGAAAACTTAATATACTAAAAACTACTAACTGAAGGTATGAGCAGACCAGAATCTAAAATGCTAATCATCAAACTTAACCAAATGAACGTACCACCGCCTGAAATCAGTCAGACCACGGACTTTCATTGCGGTCGCCATACCTGTTGACTGGCCCATCGTGCAAAGCAACAGTCGTTAGGTTAGGCTAGCGCAGAGTCCGTCCGGAAGTCCAATAGAATGAAACTCTGTCAGTCCAGTCTTTAAATACCCCAGTGGTCTGATTTTTCCAGCGTTAGCGTCTAACACTAATAAATGGTAATGTTTCTCCTTTTGTCTGTTGGCCATTTTAAAACCAGAATAAATCCAAGATCTTCAGGCTGCTGAACCGTATGTTTCCAGCCTGTTACATGAGCATGCAGACATACTGGCTGGTTCTGCACCACTTGATGATGAATTGATGTATGACAGGCTAGATGTTGTGAGGGCCCTTTTGGAGCGAGTGAACAGTGCTGAGGCCCAGATAGATCATTACAGTCTAAGGAGAATAGCACTGCGAGGGGTTACCAGGGGATCTGTCTGAAACTCAGGGGAAGGTCGAGATGGATATACAGTCAGGCAGTTACTCTTGCCTTCAGAATTGGAACTCTTAGCTTGCTGCTGAAGATGGGGAAAGAGTGCTTATGACAGTGTCCTGAGTACTATGATGTTGATTCCTAATTCAAGATTCCAATCTGAGACCTATGAAACAAATGTTAGCATGTTACAAAAGTTCAGTCAGTGTGGAGGAACTTATGAATTGAAAGGCTTCCCATTTTTTTAATCTTTATTATCTTTAGGACATTTGGGGACAACAAGCACTGTCGGAGGATTCTACAGCGAGCTTTGAACTCTGTCACCGATTGGCCAGAATCAATCACCAAAGCTTACATAAACTTTGAAAGAGAAGAAGGTTAGTACTTACTCAGGCTCTGATTGGTTACTTGTAAATGTACTGAAGAATGTTGGGTATGAAATGAGTCAGGTGTCTGCATAATAAATAATCATTATAGCCTCCTTCAGACGTATCTTCTGCTTCCTACTGTCCACCAGCTGTGAACTCTGGCAGAAAGTTCTGATTATTCATCCCCTTCTGAACTTTGGCTTTGATCCAGGACTAGAGTTTTGCATCATTATCATCATCAGGTACCTTGTCAACTGGCATGGGTGATCATGCCACTCCACACTCTGCGAGCTCCTGCAGCATGTATCAGTTCATGTGCTGACACACCTCCATGCCATGCAACAAGCATGTCAAGAATCTTCTCTTGTTGTCTTCCTCTAACCCTCCTTTTGCGTACACATTTGTTTAATAGATCTGGCTTATTTATATGCAGACTTGGTCTCTTGCCTCTCAGGCAGGTGCACCCTGACCTTGAAGGAAACCTGCCTAATTAATTGCCTCCTTCAGACACAGGGAAATAAAGGACTACTGATATTTAGTCGACTAAGAATGAGTGAAAAATTACACCAGACAGATCAATGAAAAATAAGAAGTATTCATCTATAAGGAAACATTCTGATCAGTTTTGTTTGTTTCATAGTTTGTAGTTAATATTTTAAATTTTCAAAACAATATTTCCACCTTTGTGAACTTAAATGAAGACATAAACGATGTATTGAACGGTTTATTGCCAGGCATATTTCACTGTATCTGGTCAGGCATATTGCTACAGTTGAAATCAGTCTATAATGAAGCTGAAATCTGTTATCTGAAACATACAGATGGATCATTATTTGTGCTTCCTTTGAAGTCAGAGTGCATCTGCCTGAGAGGCAAGGAACCAACAGTCTGCATACAGATATGTCAAACGGATGCACACACAACACTCAGGTTCTGGAACAGGACTGCAGTCCAGAAGTGGATGAACAACCAGAACTTTCTGCTGGAGTTTACAGCTGGTGAACGAGAAGAAGAAGAAGAAGATTATTTGTGCTTTTCAATTAAGTTTTAAAATTCAGCCGTGTTAATCTTTTTTTTTCTTTTTTTAAGGTGATTTAGAGCAGTACGATACAGCAGTTGCTAAATGTGAAGCACAGATGGAGAGAATCAACGAGCGTAGAGCTAAGGCAGCAGAGAAAGAAGCAGCCTTGCAAACTGCAAACAAGAAAGATTCAGCCAACAAAAAGACTGGAAAGAAACAGAAAATGGATCTGAAAGGAGAAAACCAGATTTTAGACTCCCACAATCCAACAGATGCGCAAACAGTAAATAAAAATAAAAGAAAGGTAATTCTGAAATGCTTCAGTCTTTTCTGACTTGGGGCTTATACTTTCTACCACAAATCTTCTGCCTTTTTTCTTGATAATGTTAGTTAAATTCCATTGGTCGTTTGTGTGTCTGTGCACTGTTTAATAGGCCAGTATATAATTGAAGTAACTATCTGAGATCGAGTCAATAATGAAACTATCAGATAGATTGTGGGAGCGAAACCTTGTACTAGATTCATCAAGAAACAGCAGATCATTAGAATGCAGCAAGATCAAATACCATCACAAGCACTACATCTCGGAAGATTAACTTCAAGAAAGAGCAAGAGGACGGCCGCAAAGAAATGGATCAACAACATTAAAGACACATTACGCCTTTACAGCATGACAATAGCCAGTGGCAGCCAGCATGTACTGGATCACGCATAATTCCTCCCCATGACGCTTAACAACAGAAGTGGTTTATGATCATGATAATGAACTGAAAATAACATGGAAAGGGGGTGGGGGGGTGTCCCCTTATGACTCCAGTGCCTTTATGAAATCCACTTTGATATCAGATTGTCAAATTTTCCCATAAGTCTCAGTGATAGAGATGATTGGACATGACATTATTCATCCACTTCATACTCAATTTAGGCCCAGGGGAAAAGTATTTCATTTAAGAGTTCACTCTCTTCGTGTTCATTGATTACCTCTTTAAATATCTTTCTATATTTTGAAAAAATTATTAAAAGAGTAGATAAAGAAACATTTATTAGCGACTTATGTAATATAGTTGCATTATTTCCAGAAAATTCCCACGTGTTCATGGCACATTTTTGTTTAGCGTTCACGGGGTGAAAGGGTTAGGGCTTGCAGCTATTGGGGTGAGTCTGGTGTAAGCCTTTTATCTTGGTCTGGTACAGAAAGTACTGTGGCGGACAGTTGAGAAGACTGTTATCGTGGCTTTTGAAATGTATTTTGAGAGTTACACAGTGGCAAATAATGAAACCTCCCTAGGTAATATGTGCGCCACAGTATAGCTTAAAAGGGGGGGGGGGGGGGAGAATCTGCATGGAGGCAGATTTTGATCCAGAATTGACCTAGATCTCCATGTCTACTGGGCCTAAAGAGGGAAGTAAAGGTTGCCAGCATGATGTTCACCACCTCACCCACTGAATTGGTCTGTGAGAGGTAAGTCTGCCATCATATGCCCGATGTGCCACTGGCTTAAACAGGCCTTTACAAAAGTTATTTTATGTATATATGTATGTGTATCTATATATAAACCGGATAGTATTCCCAAAGATAGCAGTGGAGGCAGCCAACCTCCAGCAAGGAGGTGGCATGGTTTTGTTGGAAAAAAAATTTGTATTATATCATCAACATTGTCCTTAACACCACGTCCAGGTCATGCCAGAGCGTCAGGAAATGAGCAGGCAGATAGAATGGCTGGCTCTGCACCTCTTGGTGGTGAACTGATGTATGACAAGTTAGATATTGTGAGGACCCTTTGGAAGCAAGTGAACAGTGCGGAGGCGCAGATAGATCATGACGGTCTAAGGAGAATGGCGCTGCGAGGAGTTACCAGGGGATCTGGCCGACGCTCAACACTCAAGGGAAGGATGAGACGGATATGCAATCAGACGGTTACTGGTACCATCAGAATTTGAACTTTTCTCTTGCTGCTGAATCTGGGGAATGAGCACTTATGGGAGTGTCCCGAGTGCTGTGATGTCGATTCTTAATTCAACATTTAACACTACGTGCCACTGGTTCACCAGCTGCTGTCGACTGTCTGATCCATCCACCTCTGCCCATCAGATGCAGTGGACTTAATGTTTGCATGTTTGAGGCCTGTTCATTTGATCAAATCTGTATCCACGTGTTTCTTGATCTGCTTTTTTTCCTCCATCCTTCTACAGAACCATGTATCATTGTTGTATTCATGTTGGTTATAATTATGACATCTGAATCTGTTTCCGATTCTGTGGATTCATCTTTCAGTTGGAGGTTTCCGACAATGGTCCAACTGAGCATGTGATGTCCAGGGTATCACAGAATGATGCAGATGAGCCAAAGAAGAAGAAGCTTAAAGAAGGTATTGCAACATAGCCAGATTTTTACCAGATGATGTTTTTATTTTATGTTTGGTTAGTACATTTTTAGGAAACTTTTCTTTTTTCTCATCAGCTCATTGAGTATTGTTATTTCAGTTAATCTTTTATCCTCAGACATGTTTAATTATAATTGAACTTAACATCCAAATGGAATAAAAGACCACAGCATGCAAAATTCTCTTTCCTCATTTTCCCGAACACTCACTTTGGCACGTTGTGTTGTGATTGATAACTAAGCTGCAATATCTTCACCTTTCGGCCAAACATATCCGATTTCAGCAAACTCCCAGTTTGTCTTCTTTTATGACATGCTTGCTAAGGTGCAGTGGGTGTGTTCCCCTTCCTCCCACCCCCTAATGGGGTGCAGGAACCTATACAGGGTACATCATGTGACATAAATAACATCCGTTTTACAGATCTGACTTATTTGTATGCAGACTGTTGGTTCCTTGCTTCTCAGATAGATGCACTCCGACTTAAAAATAAATTCCCAGTTAGTCGATTCTTTTTACATGCTTGTTGGAAGGAGGGGGGGGGGGGAGGGAAGGGGGTCTGTTCTTGTTTTCCCACAATAATACCCCAGAACCCATTACAGGGATTTAAATGTATTATTACTGACAGTTGGGGAAGAAAATTAAAAACAGAAAAATTGTTTTTGTGTGTGACTGCATGTCAGTCTTCCAGGTGACTCAGAGGGATCAATGAGACAACGTGGAGAGAGAACTGACCTGCCAGCTAAACACTCAGAAAAATGATCAAATCATTCTCCAGTGGATCCTGGCTCACTGTGGCATACCAGGAAATGAGTTAGCAGGAAGACTGGCAAAAAATGGAACTAAGGAGAAACCACACACCCATTCATTGTCATTACCAGAAAGCAAAACATTTATCAAGGGAAAATACAAGGAATTGTGGAGAGAACAAACCAACAGTAAACATCTACAAGACCCCATCAGCAGACTCAACAGAAAGCAGCATACAGCAGTTTTCCGTCTACGAACAGGACACTGCAGGCTCAACTACCACATGCATAAAATACAGATTGTACAGTCCCCACAATGGGACTGTCAAACAGGACCACAAACACCTGAGCACATTCTGCAGACCTGCCCACTCTACCTACAACTTCGAAAAGACATCTGGCCTCAAGAGCAAAGTGTGCAAAGCAAGCAATGGTGAACCATGAAGGACCTGGTACTGACATTCGAGTTCATAGAGGCAACCCACCTGATGGTCTGATCTGAGCAGACGAAACCGAATACAAAGAAGAAATAAACAGACTGACAGTTGTAGCTTGGTTTTACATGAAATGATTTTGGATCTCCACAGTATTTGCTGTGTGGCAAGTTTACTGTTTGCATCTAATTATCTTATTGACAACTATGTTACTCTCTCTCTTAAGGTGATCAAACCGAGCACAAGCAGAACCAGGCAGACAGAGAAGGTCGTGTCCATGGAGAATCAGTCCAGCATGACCCTTCTAAAGACAACATCACAGCCTTCTTGTCAAATCTAGACTTTTCTGTAGAAGAGGATAAAATCAGAGAGTTTTTCCAAAAGGTAGGCCAAATATCTTTCTTCTTTCGTTCGCATGAAATAAATTGTCTATATCTGCAAAGCCGTCTCTTGTATGAATTTCACTGTCTTTTGTAATTCACTAAGCGGCCCGTAAAGTTTGACTTCCACAATTGTCTCTTTTGGCCAAATGTTTTGCCTGAAAGCGTTGAATATGGGACAGTCTTGAAGGATGTGATCTGTTGTTTCAGGTGCCAGTCCACAAGTACACATGGCTAATTGGCCAATCTTAAATTTGTTGTACATGTGGGAGCGAAGTCTATTGTGCCCTGTTCTAAGGCGAAGGATAATAACTTGCTCTGGTCTGTCCATAATATGGTAATCATCTTGTGCCAGTTTCGGTGGCATTCTGATTGATTTGATCATTCTCTTCTTCTGTTGATAAGAGACTGGTATGTCAGGTTGTTCTTCAGTTGCACCTTCCTTAGCTAGTTTATCAGCTTTTTCGTTTCCGGGAACTCCACAGTGGGAAGGTATCCACTGCATTACTAATTTACAGCGGTTGCCTAGTTCGGATAATAGTGTCCGTATGCTTGGTAATTTTCCAGACTGGAGTGACTGAAGTACTGCTTTTGCATCTGTCAGGAATACCACTGGTTGTGAAAAATACCCTGTATTTAGTAGTTTCTCTACCGCTATCTTGATGGCTTGAACTTCTGCATCATAGTTGTGACAGTGCTTTCCCGTTGGTAATTTGGCTGTATCCCTGGTATTATTAGGATACTCAATGTACACTCCCGCACCTCCGTTTCTGACTGCGCTTTCTGCTGACCCATCTGTGTAAACACGGACCCAAAGGTTCTGCGGGTATTCATCATCAAGTAAACTGAGGGTGGCTGTTTTGCGCTGCACACTGTTTTGTTCTTCCTTGTCAAATACCCCTTTCACTTCAGTCTTGATGTGTATTGGAAACTTATACTCCTCTCTCCAGGGGGTCCGCTCTGGGACAGCATTTAAGGATCTATCAGTTGCAGGTAAATCAGTGGTTTGTCTGCCGAGCCGTTTGGCCTGGTGGATAAAACTACTTCTCTTTAGTCGTCCCAAAGCTAAATTTTTGAATCTTTCATTCATAGGGTGACTGGGCATACTAAGAAACTTTTCTGCTTGTAAAAGCATCTTGGTGTCTCTGCGTTCACTTAGTGCTTGGGTCATCCCCATTTTCTCCATCACAGCTATAGGTGTTGATTTCATACTGCCTGTGGTAACTCTGAGTGCTTGATTTTGCACTTTGTCTAATTCTTGCAATGTGGTTTTTGATGCCGAACTCCATGCTGTTGATCCGTATTCAAGATGTGGTCGAACACTTTGTTGGTAAACTTTTCTAAGTATTTTCCCGCTAGCACCCCATGTGGTTCCACTTAGTTTTCTCAGAATGGCTACCCTCCTTCTGGCTTTGGTTGCTGCCTTGTTGATGTGTTTTCTCCATGTTAATCTATCATCAAACGTTACGCCGAGGTATGTGGGCTCCTTATCCTCTCTCAGGGGTACTCCATTTATGTGCATGGCGCCTGATTTTTGTTTAGGAGAAAGGGTAAAGAGAGTGGTGCTGCATTTGCCTATGTTGATGCTGACACACCATTTGTCGGCCCATTTAGCCATTGAATCTATGGCTCTTTGTAGCAGTCTGGTAGCCACTGTCGCATTTTCATTTTTACACCAGAGTACCAAGTCATCAGCATACATTGCAGCTTTAATTCCATGGGGTAGTTCAGAAAGCAGGTCGTTGATATAGACTAGGAAGAGTGTGGGGGACAGGACACCTCCTTGTGGGATGCCATGGCGCAGCAAAACTTTCTTGCTCTTAAGTCCATCTATCTGTACTCGGGATCTTCTGTTATACAAGTATGCTTTGACCCATTTGTACATACTCCCATTCACCCTGCAGTCTCTCAGTTTCTTCAGTAGACCTTCTTTCCAGACCTTGTCAAAGGCTTTCTTCAGATCTATCCATGCCGTTAGCACTAGCTTCTTTTCCTGGAAGGACTCCTCAATTTCTTGTGAAAGGTAAGTTGTCTGGTCTTCTGTTTAGTAGCACTGTCTAAATCCTGCCTGCTGCGGCGTGAAAATGTTTTCACTTTCCAAATACCATTGGAGTCTAAGGTTGACAATACGTTCCATTGTTTTACAAGGCCAAATATGATCAGAAAGGGTGAAGTTTCTTGGTACAGAAATGAAATTGATTCCTGTCACATGAGATGTTCTCAGAGGCTTGAACTATTGTCTGCAAACTCGGTCTTTAAGCCAGCCTTGTCTTGGTCTTTGAGCCCACCCTGTCTCAGTCTTTGAGCCCACCCTGTCTCAGTCTTTGAGACCACCCTGTCTTGGTCTTTGAGCCCACCCTGTTTCAGTCTTTGAGCCCACCCTGTCTCAGGCTTTGAGCCCGCCCTGTCTCAGTCTTTGAACCCACCCTGTCTTGGTCTTTGAGCCTGCCTGTCTCAGTCTTTGAGCCCACCCTGTCTCATTCTTTGAGCCCGCCCTGTCTGGGTCTTTGAGCCCACCCTGTCTCAGTCTTTGAGCCCGCACTGTCTCAGTCTTTGAGACCACCCTGTCTCAGTCTTTGAGCCCACCCTGTCTCAGTCTTTGAGCCCGCCCTGTCTCAGTCTTTGAGCCCACCCTATCTCATTCTTTAAGCTCGCCCTGTCTTGGTCTTTGAGCCCATCCTGTCTCGGTCTTTGAGCCCACCCTGTAGTCTTTGAGCCCATCCTTTCTCAGTCTTTGAACCTGCCCTGTCTCAGTCTTTGAGCCCATCCTGTCTCGGTCTTTGAGCCCATCCTGTCTCGGTCTTTGAGCCCATCCTGTCTCAGTCTTTGAGCCCATCCTGTCTCAGTCTTTGAGCACATCCTGTCTCAGTCTTTGAGCCCACCCTATCTCATTCTTTAAGCTCGCCCTGTCTTGGTCTTTGAGCCCATCCTGTCTCAGTCTTTGAGCCCATCCTGTCTCAGTCTTTGAGCCCATCCTGTCTCGGTCTTCTTAAGATGGAATTAGTTAGACAGATATTAATTACTTACTTACTTACTTACTTAGTCGCTCCTCTTCTACCTTGGGGTGTAGAGGTTTGCCAGAGAGATCGCCAGACGTCTCTATCAGCAGTTTTCTTTCTGGCTTTGTTCCATTCCAGTCCTCTGTCAGTCAGGGACTGTCGGATGTTGTCTTCCCAGCGCACCCTGGGTCGTCCCGGAGGTCTGGTTCCCTGGTTCTTAGCCTCCCATGCTTGCCATGGTGGCCGATTTTCTCCCATTCTGCACACATGTCCAAACCATCGTAACTGTGACTGATCCACTTGGGTTAGTAAGAGCTGGGTATCAAGATCTTGACGTTTCCGAGGCCTGCAGCTGGCTTCTGTGAGCTGTTGTCATTGCCCATGACTCACACCCATAGGTCAGGACTGGTACATAGGTAGAGCGGTAGACAGCCATTTTCGTCCTCTTGCCAATTTCTCTTTTGCTAAGACACCCTCGGTTTATGGCCTGGAAGAGTCTCCCAGCAGCTGCTTTTCGTGTAGCCAACTCAGTCTTAATGCCTCCATTTTGGTCTAATACAACTCCAAGGTATTTGAACTGGTTAACCTGCTCCAACGCATACTGTCCCATCATGATCTGGTGTTTCTTCTCCTCTCTTGAGATCACCATGGTTTTAGTTTTGGAGACACTGATGGTCATCCCTTTCTTTTCAAGCTCTTCCTTCCAGACAAGTAAGTTGGACTGAAGGTGTGCCTCTGATTTATTTAGACAGATATTACGAGTATTAAAGGTCTAGATTTCTTAGTTGTAGCACCTTTTTTCAATTACAGTTTTTCCGCAGCGCCCTAACATAAGTAACAGTATGACTATTTGTTTGTAAGAGATTAAAAAAAAACAACTAGTGTATCTTTTAATATTTTGCGGCTTTCCTGTGAAGAGGTCGCGGCTTCCCTATGAAGAGGTCGCGGCTCCCCAGGGCGCCGTGACGCACAGTTTTGTAATCACTGGTCTAGATTATAAATGGAAGAACAAACTGATAGGATTGGCAAAAAAAAAGTAGAAAAGACTGTATTAAGACGGAGTAAATGACCCTTTTCCACACCTTTAGGCATACAGAACTAAACCTTTATTTTATAGACCAGTCAGCACTCGATGAGTGATGTAGCCAACGTCAACCTTTACCTCCCAGGACTTTACCTGGTCCCCATTTGAGGCTGGGTCAACCTGGGAGCCACGGTCATTATTGAAGAAAAAAGGTTTGTCTCCATTTGGGTTTGAACCCATGATCTTAAGATCCACAGGTGGGCATCTAGCCGCTACACCATTGTGACTCCCAAATAACCATTTCTCACCAAGAGCATAGGTCAGGATCCTATTAAGATTCCTGAAAAAAAAAAAAAAACACAATTCAATAAAAATGTAATTATCAACATTTTACAATTGTGTTTCAAAGTATTTATTGATAAATGAAATCAATAAACGCATACAGAGCAAAGCATTAAATTGAATACATCATGCGGGACCTAAACACACACGTATCGTGTGACCCCTACAGTGACCCCATGACTTTAACCATGGAGGCTTATCAGAAAATTTGACATCATCTTAAAAAAGTAAAAGTAAAGGACTTTTTCACGTCTTTAGGCGTATAGGGCATATAGGGCTAGACCTATATTTTTATAGACCAATCGGCACAAGATGGGTGATGTGGTCAGAATCACACCGGCTGCCTTTACTTCCCGGGACTGCACCCGGTACCCACTCAAGGCTGGGTCGACCTGGGAGCCAAGGTCATTTTTTAAAATAGTCCGGCTCCGCCAGGGAGCGAACCCACGACCTTCCGATCTGTGGCGAGCGTCTAGCCACTTGGCCCCGGCGACCCCCTGACATCATCTTAGCTTTTAAAAAAAAAAAGCCATTAACCTTTTCACTGCTATGGACGAGATAACTCGGCTGCCTGGCAGACTGCTAAACATGAGATAACTCGGCTGCCTGGCAGACTGCTAAACATGAGATAACGCAGCTGCCTGGCAGACTGCTAAACATGAGATAACTCGGCTGCCTGGCAGACTGCTAAACATGAGATAACTCGGCTGCCATTTTCTGTGCCCTCACAGCTAAGGACGAGATAGCTCGTCCTCGACTTTTTTTAAAACAGATTGCTAAGAACAGTAATTCTTGGGGGTGAAATAGCAATACACATTACCTTAATCTGATCAAACTGACCCGTTTACATACAATTAAAACCCTTATCACGTGGGTTTAGGTGTATTTAGATGCATTTCACCTTATACTGTTGCTTTGTTACCATAGAAGCATTGTCGGTGAAATGCCCTGAAATATATTTCTGGTTTTGCGATAGTCTACATTTTTTAAAAATACAAAATAAAGTCTACATTTTAAAAAAATACAAAATAACAAGAATATTTGTTAATTAAAGAAGAATTAATGGAGTTTTTTTCAAGAAGTAATAGTAAGGATCACTTTGAAGCGTGTGAGTTATATGAGCTGGGTTATCTTCGCGGCACGCCAGCGGACACGTGTACTTCTGGCCAGGAGCAAGACTGACCAGTGACCATATGACCTAGCTATCCACATCGATTGGATTTGAAATGGATACCAAATAATTAAAATAAAGATATGGTCACGTACTGACAAGATGATTAATATTAATGTTAATAATATAATATACTATACAAATGACATAAATGTGTTTGTCTATTAAAGTGTACAATACTGGTCTTTTTTTCAGTTCATAATTTCATGTGAATTTCTAGTGTAGTTGGCATCACGTCTGCCTTACAATCGAAAGATCCAGCGTTCAACCCCTACATGCCTTTTAAAATTTTTATTATTATTTTAAATGTAAATTTTTTATTTAAGCTCTTAGCATTTTCGGCAACAGATCTCCGAAGTAATAATTAATTAAACATCCTGTCACGAGCGTTCAAGTGGATTTAGATGCTTTAGACATTATCCTGTTCCTTTGTGAAGCGTGGTTGGTGTACTGTGCATTTGTTACCGTGCAATATTGTGTCTTTGGATAAGTCTACATGTCCTTCATACAAAATGGCAAGTCAATTTGTTAAAGTTGACGAAGAACTGATTGAGTTTCTTTCGAGGAGTGATAGCGAAGATGACTTTGAAATGTGTAGTTCTGATAGTGAGCAGGACGATCTTACTGTGCCATCGACATCGACGGGACAAACCGGCGTGGCCGAGAAAAGGTTGTTTGAGTGTCCGACGTCCTCATCGTCATCGGAGTCAGAAGGTAGTGATGATGAAGTGCCATCAAAACGACATAAAATTGATCAGCTATCCTGGTCTTCCAACGACTTGCGACCCGATGTGCATACGTTTGATAACTCCAGCTCTGGTTGTCTTTTAGCTGCTGTGAATAAAAACAGCTCAGTGCTTGATTTTTTAAAACTTGTTTTCACTGAATCGCTGGTGACTTTCATGGCAGATCAATGTAACAGATTCAGCAAGTATGACATTGAATCGCTGGTGACTTTCATGGCAGATCAATGTAACAGATTCAGCAAGTATGACATTGAATCGCTGGTGACTTTCATGGCAGATCAATGTAACAGATTCAGCAAGTATGACATTGAATCGCTGGTGACTTTCATGGCAGATCAATGTAACAGATTCAGCAAGTATGTCATTGAAAAGGGACCTGCTACCATAAGCTCGTCAGATGGGCAGATACGGATTTGGATGAATTATTTTGTTTTTTTGCTGTGTGTCTACTCATGCCCAGAACAAAGAAACTCAAAATAAATGAGTACTGGACCAAAGACTGTTCGCTGAGAACGCCCATGTTTATTTGCTTACTAAAGTGTTTTGTGTTTGCTTTGTAAGTTTGTAGTGTTTTCTTTTTGTTAATGAGTTTTCATGGCATAGAAATAGCGTGTCTGACTTGTCAACGCAAAGTTCAACCACACGCCTTCAGAGTTTTTATTTTTGGTGTACAATTTTTACCCCGCGCCGCAAGCGCATCTTCTGCTTTTGAAGGGAAAAACGGTATTCAGCACAGGAGGAAAGATTAGCTCTCGCCTTGCTTAGCACAGTGATTACTTTGGCTGGCGGAGGGCGTAGCAACGAAAGGGTTAAGCACATAAGAAACACCCCTGCTATTGTTAGTTCATTTATTAATGTCCTAAACCTTTGCCCAAGCATGACCTCCGCCCGTTGCATCAACTGTACATCTCGTAAACGGGTCATGATAGGCAGATCGCAAAAGTGACTTTTATGGGGAATTGGACCTAACGGAAAGTGCTGATTTTTCTACTTCTCAGGGGGAAAAGGTAAAGACAGAAAAATTCTGAAAAGACCAAGTAGAACTCATTTCCTGTCCACACCTGAATGCATGATGGGTTTATGGTGATACCTGTGTATATTCATTGACCAGTCATCACTTGCGGGATGTTGTAAATATCACGCTGGTCCCCTTTATTTCCTAGAAGATTTTCTGGTACCCATTTTAAGCTTGGAGAAGCCTCATGTGGGTTCCTAGACCCTATTTTATAAGTGAGGGAAAGTGGGGGAGGGGGGGGGGTAGACCCACTGCAGAAAAAGAAGAGTGATTATGGACTTTTCTTCCAAATTCGGAGCCTGGGAGTTGAGAAACCAAAAGTTCTGCGTACATATAAGCAGATCTGTAAAACAGAAGGGCACACAAAACTCATGTTCTAAAGCAAGACCAAAATCCAGAAGTGGACAAACAACTAGAACTGTCTGCCAAAGTTTGCAGCCAGTGAACAAAAAAACAAAAAAAATAGAAGGCATTTGTGACAATTATTTTTTCTTTCTATCTAACAGTGTGGAGAGATCACCAGTATTCGACTTGCCCGCAACTACAAGGGGAGGTCAAAAGGTTTCGGGTATATTGAGTTCACAGACAGTGTAAGTTTAAGCTTATGTCCCCTTGTTTTTTGTTGCCCACTCTGAAACCTCTTTCATCATTGAATGCTTATGCCATCAACCTACTGGTCCTTTAGAGAACATCACTCCAACACGTCTGAAAATCTATTTCTCCAGCCTTATATGCATTCACAGCCAGCGCATCTTTAGTGTCTTGTCTCCACCTTCGTTGGTGTCTGCCTTGTTTTCCAGAATGTGCGTACCTTCAGTCACTGTTGTCTCCAGGCCGCAGTGACATTGAACCTGGCCTAATTACCTCTGCTTTCAAGACAGGATGTTGTTTATGAGCCAGTTCTTCTTGATGCTTAGATCATGTAGGATGTTGGTGTTTGCTTTTTCTTGATCCGTCTTATTCAGGCTTATGTAAACACACACACCCACAGACACGCACCCACAGACACACACCCACGGACACACACCCACAGACACACACCCACGGACACACACCCACGGACACACACCCACAGACACACACGAGCTGTGTGCAGGAGTGATTATTTCATACAAACTTGAGAGACCATTGTTACTTTAGTCCATACTGCCCCATATAATTGTTATACTAACCCATTCTGTCCCAGATGTTTCAATAACCTACTGTCCCATGCCAGGAATTCCAGAGAAATTAGACTAAAAAGCTCCACAAAATGGGGAAGCAGAGAAACGGGCACAAAACAACACAACCTAACATTTCGACCGGGCGGCCTTTTTCAAACTTAAGTGAACTACACAAACGTAACAACGAGGAGATAAGCGTATGTAGATCTCTAAGGGGTGATGTGAGCAACAATTAAAAAAAATGTGATGTGGAATAAATGAAATAAAATAAAACAAACAATAGCTAAAAAATATAGTCACAATAAATAATAAACAGTAGTATTGTTAATATATAATATAATACTGGGAATAAGAGAAATACAAATGTTAATTATATATAAATGATACTGACTGATAAGAAATAGAATAAAGTAATAATATGAAATAAAATAAAAGAGAAGAAAATAAAATAAGAGTAGAACTATTTAGATAAAGGTATGTTGGATATTGATAACACCTGGACTAAGAACTCCTGTCTCACACCAGTTGTCCCAGACCATTGTTACCATAACCCACTTGTCACAGACCCTTGTTCCCTCATCATGTCTCCATCCCTCCCTCTTGCTGTCACCTTTTTCCTCCATCCCCTGTCTCTCTTTCCCTTCTTTCTTCCACCTTCATCTGTCCATCTTTACATTGTCTCTCCCCGTCTACCTCAGCATATGTCTTCCTCCCTCTCTGTATGACTCTCTCCTCCCCCCCACCCCGTTTTCAGGCACCAGGTCCAGAACAGACAGGACTTCAGTTTGCTCCCCTCTACCACCAAGTCTACCAAAAAAAAATTTTAAAACACTATATCAAGCTCCATGACAAGGCAAAAATTCTTTTTTCAGTATTACACCGAGAAAACCTTGAAAAAAACTAAGGAGACCCTGAAAATGACCTTGAAAAGCCTTGGAATTGATTGGTGAATTTGGCTATGAACCCTGCTTTTTACCATAACCCACTTGTCCCAGACCCTTGTAATTGATTCAGTTGGACAGGAGCTATTAACATGTGTTACTGTGGCAGTAAGTCCAATAATTTTTTAAAGAATATTTATGAACTTTTCAGAATTCTGTGCTAAAGGCGTTAAAACTGGACAGAGAATTCATCGACGGACGGCCTGTGTTTGTGTCTCGCTGCGAGGACCGGAGGTTAGCCAGGCCAACCCCTCAGTTTAAGGTCAGTGTTGTTTAGATACATTTCACATGTGGGTTGTAGGGTCCCCAGCCTCCTAATGAACATGTTATGATACGCGACTGATTAGGACTGTTTCCTTCAGAGCCAAAGTGCATCTGCCTGTGAGGCAAGGAACCAACAGTCTGCATACAGATATACCATAAAATGGATGTGTCTGCAAAACTCAAGTTCTGGAAAACTGTCAAGTCCAGAAATGGACGAAAAGCTAAAACTTTCTGCAGTAGTTTACAGCCATTGAACCCCATGAAGAATTTAGATAAATAAAAAAATTTAAATGTTTGCCGTGTCCACACTGAAGCGAGGTTACATTGTACCCAATTCTATCTTTGGGAATATTCTATGATGAGGTCTCAATCTCTTCCCTGGTGCGATTGTCGCACTACTCTCTAAAAACCACATGAGCGATACAAAAAATAGAATTTAAAAAAAAAGAGTGATACAAAAAATAGAATTTAAAAAAAAAGAGTGATACAAAAAAATACTGCTAAACTATCTGGGGCTGAAATCAAACCCTAGAACTTAAGGATCATGAAATTGTTGAACTAACATCTCAGCCTCACAGCCATTTGGATACATCCTGGTAGATTTCAGCGGGCTTTAGGGTGCAGCTAGTCCCTGGCCGGTTACGGTAGGAATTGAGAAGTTTGTGCATGTGTGAGACCTTGACATGATTAAGATAAGGTGGTTATCTTTGTCTTGCTGCCTTTCCCCTCAGAAAATGGTGAAAGAGAGCTGGCACCTTAAAGAAGTACACCCTTGTGTCATTTGGTGCAGAAGACGTCGCAAAAAGGCTGCCAAAGATCAGACGATTTGGCATGGGTTGATTAAGTATGTCTTCCTCATATGGGTTTCTTGGACCCATTTTCTGGGGAAGAAAAAAAGAAAATATCCATTATACCTCAACATGTTATAAAAAATGATTATTAAGGTTTGTTGAATCGAATCTATTTACTCTAAAGGATATTGCAGCCAGCAGTAAACTACAACACAGCATGCCAACTGGCTTTTTAATGGCAATCACGGAAGAATAACACTGAGCATCAGTGCCCCAGTGGAGGATAAAGGACATGAGATTAAGAAGTAAACATCACCTTTGAGTTTGCGAGCCTCCCAAGCTGACACAGCTTAAAATCTGTTTTGTATTGGCAAAGCATGTTTAAGAAAGGTGGATTTATGCTTTTTTTTATGGGTGGAGGAGGTCTCCGGTGGTGAGAGTCACATGGCTATTTTGCCTGGGATATTCAGGTGTGTTTGGCAGTGAGCAGGCAGATAGGCTGGATGGAATGGCCCTATTTGGGGGTGTACTGCGACTGCACAAGGCAGAGTTGATGTCAAACCTATGGGATGAGGGAACGGGTGAAATGGAAGAGATACTGAGAATCCGTCCCTGGAGAGAATGATAGATAAAGTGAGGAGTGGCTGTGTACTCTGAGTACCAGTCAAGACTTGAAGGGAAGGCAAGATGAGTAGTTAACCAGAGACTGAGGGCTCCATTTGTATGGATACTCTTCGCTGTCTGTTGGGGAGAGAGACAGGGCTAATATGGGCTTGGCCTGAATGCTGGGATATGAAAACTTTACCCAGATGAAAATCTATCCTAGGAAATTTTCTGCGAAGTAAATGGGGTCAGCATAATATTGAACCTTATCTCCAGTCGAGTGCTAATTGATATCTAAAAATGTGGTGCTGGTAGCATCCATCCAATGCTTGTTTTAGAATAGCGGCTCTGTTGTACCAAGACTAGGGATCATGTTGTGCTTCAACTTATTCCGACCTGATGGTTACACTAACTCATTTTGTCTGGGACATTGATTACTTCACCCACTGTGGTCTTGATATCGTTGTGGCATCATATACCTGATACACCTTGATTTGATTTGATTTAAGAACCGACATCACAGCACTTGGGGCATTCCCATAAGCGCTCCGTCCCCATCTTCAGCAGCCAGCGAAGAGTTCGGATACTAATGGTGCCAGTAGCATTCTGATTAAACATCTGTCTTGCCTTTCCTCAGAGCCTCGAGCATCTGCCAGAACCTCTCGTCACCCCCAACTGCATCAATACTCCCAGACTGGGGTGATTCATCTGCTCCTCCGAATTGTACACGCTCTCCCACAAGGCACTAACCACGTCTGCCCTATCATGTATCAGTATTCAACCAAGTTGTGCAGAACCAGCCAGTCTGTCCGTCTGTTCATTTCCCAACACACCGGCCTGCCCCGGTGAAAAAATCCAGACAATACTCCTCACTCGTGTCCTCCGCAGCGAAGCATGCCACTCTGCACGAAGCATACCTGATACACCACTGACGTGAAAAGGGTCTTCACGACCCTTTTGTCACGATGTGCCATTCCCCCCTAAATGCCGATTAACTGGCATGATTATAATGACTTGTTTACGAGACTCCTGGTTAAGAAGATTGAATCCATTTGCACATGTGCCCGTGTTTAGTAGGTCCCCCGATGGCTGTAGTTAGTAAAAATAGCATTTGTGGGTGTTTTCTTTTGATAAACTTAATTTATTTATAGAAATTAGGATGTCATGATTTTTCCATTAGTCACAGTGGTCTTCAGTGGCCAGGTCACAGGGTCAGTTCTAGTGGCCAGGTCACAGGGTCAATTCCAGTGGCCAGGTCACAGGGTCACAAATAAGTCACAGTATTAAATTTATTTAACATCAGATTTAACCCAGTTTATCCTATACTGCATTCATTTTGACCAATTGCTTCCATTTTGTCAGTAAATAATTTGTATTTTTATTTCCGAAAATGTAATTAAGAATTTTTCTGTGAACTGAGTAAATTTGTAATAGGAGATTTTTGGGGAAAACTCAAAATTAAAAAAATATGAGTTCTTTCCATTATTTTTTAAATTCTAGGTAACTGGGACAAAAGGGTTAACGTATTGATGACTATTTGTATTTTTCCTGGGTGTATGTGGCAGTATCCAACCAGACTGGAGAAAAGCAAGTTGTTTATCAAAGGTCTGCCTTTCACAATTACAAAAGAAGATCTGGAGACCATATTTGGTGAGGTAAGTTGTATCTTTTCGACATCATCCTGTGTCATGCCAGCAGCATATTTTCTGTTTTCCTCTTTAAGTTTGACTGCTGATTGTCTTCTTTGACTCTCTGTCAACCTGTCCAACAACCTGTCCAACAACCTGTCCAAAATGTCTTCCATTTGTAACACCCAGAATTTACCCAGTTGCCAAAACCATTTCTTTCTATATTATATGTGTTTGGTTTGAGGCATGTCAGAAATGTTTCAAAACAAACGTAACAGTTGACACTAAAAAAAACTATTCAACACAGTGTGTGTATATATTTATAGATAGGTCCAAAGATTTGTCGTAAGACTCTGTTTTTGAAAACCTGTAATAAGGCTTCATCTCTTTTAGTTGTGCTCCAAGTTTCAGAGCTATATAAAACGACTGGTCCTTCATACATAGCATTCCATAAACTGTTTCTGTATACACTATCATACGCCTTTTTAAAATCCACAAAAACATTATGTACATCTCTTCCATATTCCCAGTGTTGCTCTGCTAATTGATGTTAAATGAATATTTGATCTATTGTTGATCTGTTCTGTCCGAAACCCACTTGGTAATCTTCCAATATGTCTTCGACGTATGGTTTTAGCCTGTTTAGCAGTACCTTGGACAGCCAAAAGAGCAACCAAGACATCAGAAGGAGATGGTCATTATTTTTCACAGACATCAGAAGAAGACAGTCATCATTTTTTCGGCCATGTTAAAAGAAGAGGGAAAAATCTGTGAAAGGAGGGATAGAGGAAGACAACGAGAGAATTGAGTCTTGTTGCATGGCATGGAGGTGTCAGCACACGAACTGATACATGCTGCAGGAGATCGCAGATTGTGGAGAGGTATGATCGCTTATGCCAGTCGGCAAGGTACCTGATGATGATGAGCAGTACTGCCGATAGTATCTTATAACTTGTAGATAATAGTGATTGATATTCTTCTATAATTTTCACACTTATACTTGTCTCGTTTCTTAAAAAAATGTGTATTAATAAAGACACTTTCCATTCATGGGGTAATTTCTCTGTGTTTCAAACTAGTTTTATTAATTCATATATTACATGTAATGCATGACCTTTATAAGTTCATCTGCAATTCCATCAGCACCAGTTGCTTTATTGTTTGAAATATATCCACAGTATTTCGGGATCCTTGCCAGTGCAATAGAGTTCATGCACTGCGCTGAGATCCTTCAGACTCAGTCTTTAGTTAATAGAAGAACTGAGCACTTGTGGGTTGCCATGTGCCATGATGTTGATCCATTCAATAAAATTATGTTATTTAGGGCACATTTTTTTATGCCCGTCAATAAATAGAAGGGATCCCTTCTGGAGTAGATGCGCTTTATGCCACCAATTTTAATTTTGTAATTCTGTTTTAAGATAATTTATTTTACATACATGTAAATATTGCAATGGTGATCCTCATGACTGACTTTCTACCCCACCAGAACATCACATAAGTGATAAACACCCGATGACACAAAGTGCCACCATGTGGATGAGGATCACCGTGGAGAGGTTCCAGAAACCGCGTTCAGACAATTGACCATATTTATGGCCTGCCTATATTGCGGCCCCTGGCAAAAGCCAGAGTGGGGCTTCAAATAACAACAAATGTCATCCTAAAAAGAATGAAACTGGATGATGATCTCCTCATCCACATTGTGGCACTTTGTGTCATCGGGTGTTTATCGCTTGTGTGATGTTCTGGTGGGGTAGAAAGTCAGTCAAATATTGCAATCTTTATAATATAATTAAACTCAAAAATCAGAAGCAAAATCACAGATTTAGTAAGTTTGCGTTACAAATATATATCAGTGCCTGCCTTTCTACCAGAATAGGAAATTCTAGAGAAAATGATATATAAGTATACAGCAGTAACTCAGATAAAGTAATTTCCCTTACTTTAAGTTATTCCAATTGATAGTCCAATAATACAAGACTAATAGGGTTTTTTTTTTTTTTTTTATAATGGGAAAGAACTGACAGATACCTATAACGTTATTCGCTATTGATTTAATCAATTTATAGTAACTGCTTATATCTAGGATAATACCGATTTTCGAGCACGTTTCTAGGTCATGAACTTGCGGTACTCTCTTGTACAAGTTTAATGGAAACTATGTTCGTTGTCCTCTTCATTTCATCACGTGGCAGAGCTTTCCCACACTGGCCACACGTGTACTACCTACTACAAGGCCTGAAAATTAAGTAATGAGACTGATTTTATATGGCCAAGACAAAAATGCCATCTATGAAGCAAAGGGAGATGAATGGTCGTAGACCATGAGGCCGACCATGAAGAAGATGGAGAGATAATGTCCAGACAAACACTTGGTGTCACCAACTGGAAAGAGAAGGCCAACCAGAGAGATAAATGGAGGCAGGTGATATCTGCAGCAATGAACCTCAGGGGCTCATAATGCTGAAGAATAAGAAGAAACGCTATGAAGCTTTCATTTTGTGGAAAAAGATTTTTCGTTGAATAGACTGCACACCCTGGGTTTTCCACTTCAAACAGCAAGACAAGAAAACCATGCTGAAGCCGCCCTTTGCTGCACCATTCAGAACAGAATGGGAGTTGTTAGCTGAAAAACACTTGGAGACATACTAAGGAAAAGATCGGAACAGTTGATAGTCATGTGCGATGAAGATAATGTTCAAATGAACAATGACTATAAATGTACTGTAACCCGTCAATCAGATAACATATTTGATATTGCAGCATGGAACCATCAAAGAGATACGCATGGTCACCTACAGAAACGGAAGTCCCAAGGGGATAGCTTACGTAGAGTATGATAATGAGGTAGGTTCAGGAGTTGACTTTGTTTTGTGTGTTCTCCAAGTGTAGATTTGGTTTTGTCAATGTAAAATGAATGAATAAACAAACATTATTTTCAAAGGGTTACCAACTGGGCGCGCAGGCCTGTTTAACATTTGTCCCTCCAGACACTCATCTTTCACATGGCAGCTATTGTATTTATCTGTCAAGTGTGTTATGTTCACATCACAAACAATATTTGTGCAAATATCAAGTAAAATACACTAAAGTATGTAAGGTGTATGCATACAGAAATACATACATGCACTCACACACCCTCATCCACTCACATGCATTAATTAATGAATGAGTCAAAAGTACACTCCCACATGTGGTCTGTCCCCCTCTTCAGTAGCCAGCAGAACTTTCGTGTTGATGGTACCTGCGGCAGTCGGCCTGGAAGTTCATCTTTTTTTTTTGGGTGGTCTTTGTTGATGGAGTTTAGTGGGTTTTTGTGTGTGTCATCAACCTATGAAAGATGACATCAGGAGAAGAGCAACACAGAGGCAGTACTGAACTTTATTGGTAGAAAACAAATCCAAATGGTTTGGCCATGTGACTAGACTAACAACAGAGCACCATATAGAGCAGTGTGGTGCAGATACAGTAGTAACAGCCAGAGCTTGACCATGCTGAAGATGGGCCACAGAAATATCAGAGACACTAACAAGAAATATGAAGTTGACAGAAGAGCCCATACCCACGGGCCCTTGTCTTCCTGCCCTGAAGTTGTGAGGCATTCCAGGAGTAGAGAAGAAGAGGTTTGAATGTGATTTTATCTCTGTTCAAGAAATTTTGAGTTTTATGTCTTGTCTGAGTAGTTTTTGTCTTTGTTTGGGTAGTGTATTAATTTGCTGTCTAAATGAATGTATTTTTAGGGATTGTATGCCTTTGTCTCAGGTAAGGGAATGTAATTTTAGTCGTTTAAATATAGCTGTATCTCAGTTTAGTGAATGCATTTTTTGTCATTTAAATGAAGCTAAATGTTTAAATATAGCTTTATCTCTGGTTTGAGAATGAGGTTTTTGTCATTCCAATCTTGAATCATCATTAGTGCTCCAGTCTATAATAATCATCATTGGTGCTCCAATCTTTAATCATCATTGGTTCTCCAATCATTAATCATCATTGGTGCTCCAATATTTAATCATGAATGCTCCAATCTTTGATCATCTCTGGTGGTGCAATGTTTAATCATCATTGTTGCTTCAATCTTTAATAATCACTGGTGCTGCAATCTTTAATCATCATCAGTGCTTCAATCATCATCGGTGCTCCAGTCTTTAATCATCGGTGCTCATATCTTTAATCATCATCAACTCTCTGTAATAAATCAACATTCAGGGACTGACTGCAAGTTCTTGATTGTTTTCTTCAGACAAATGCAGCACAAGCAGTTTTAAAAACTGACGGACTGAAGATTGAAGATCATGTCATATCTGTGGCCATCAGCAACCCGCCGGAGCGCAAAACTCCACTGGCAACAAGACTAGAGACACCAGGTCTTCGTGTTGCCAGTTTGGGCAGTGGGAAGAAGGAGACAGAATTGTAAGTTTACATGTGATTTTGACCCTAGTTACTTTATTATTAGAATCTGGAATTCGAACTGACACATTTAGCCTTGTGGTTAATAATAGAAAGAAAAAAAAACCACTGATTTAAGAGAGTGAAATATTATTTCTTCTTTTCATCTTCCAATTCTTCTTCTGTGGTTGTCCCTTAAAGAGACATTGTGTTGTGGTTTACAGCTAAGCTGTGATATTTTTTCATCATTGTTCTGTGTTTCTTCTGTTTGTCGTCAGTGCCCATTTAGAAGCGGTTCTTTCTTTGTTACTTCGCCATAAATTTTCTTGATCTGTCAGCATTGGTGCATTACAAGCAGAGGAGGAGCATTGCTTTTCTGCAACAGCTTGGCATCTTGCTTTCTGCCAGACGCTGCTTCCACAATCATCTCATGGTGTTGTCGTTGATTGAACATCAGGACCATTGCAGATGTCCTCATTCCAACTGTAGGCAGGATATCCTGCTCAGAGAACGCCCGTGGCTGCAAGGCTTACATCTGCATCTTACATTATTTTTTGTGTACTACTTGTCTTAAAAGTTGACAAGCTTTTTATTTTGCCAGTTAGAGTTATAGATGTTGCTGACATTTTGCTAGTCAGAGTTATAGATGTTGCCGACATTTTTGCCAGTTAGAGTTATAGATGTTGCTGACATTTTGCCAGTTAGAATTATAGATGTTGCCGACATTTTGCCAGTTAGAGTTATAGATGTTGCCGACATTTTGCCAGTTAGAGTTATATATGTTACAGACATTTTGCCAGAGTTACGGATGTTGCCGACAGCAACTACCTGCAGGGGCAGTTACCCATGGGAGGTTTGTGCCAACAAATTTGCTAGTCAGTCCTGCGGTGATCTAGGACCCAATACCACTGTCAAGATTGATGAGAGCCTGTTCACAGGGCACACAAATCTGGTGGGATGAGTTTTCCCACAGCAGCATACATACTCCATATGGAGACTGTCCATTTCCGGGATCCACCACCACCAAAACATCCCTGATTCTCGTCTCCCTGAGGATTGCACGTAATGTTCGTTCACACAAAGAAGGGTGCACAGTTTGTGAAAAAACTTTGCATGCACATATTTCGCCACGGTTTGTGCATCCGGTGCACACTTTTTCGCACATTTTATCAACACTGAAGTTATGACATAACACGTAGAATAAATATGGAGTGTCCAGAGATTTCCTTTGGTGCGAGTTACAAGAAAAGCTAAAGGTATCTTTATTAGCTATGTCTGTCATAAAGTTTGAATCCACATCTATCAAAGACTGACCTAATTCATCTCAAGCCAAACCGCTGTTAACTAGTGTTATATTTGTATTAGTCTCTTTTTCAATACATGGTTTGTCTTGTGAATGTTTCAGCCGAGGTAAGGCACGGACACAGGTGTCACTGCTGCCCCGAGCTGTCAGACAGCAGCAGAAGCAGATGGCAGCACCACCACCACAAGTCTCAACCATACAGTCAGAAGATTTATCATCATCAGAGCCACAAGTGAAGAAAGAAACAGCTATGAGCAATGATGATTTCAGAAAACTGTTGAATAATTGAAGCAGTATCAAAAACAGACTTCCCACCAGTATCAAGGACAGACTTCCCATCAGACAGCAGACCTGTTTATTGAGATAGTTGCTTAAACACGGTACCAGGTAATGTCCTGGGAAGTAAAGGTGACCGTTGTGATGTTGACCAGATCATCTATCAAGTGCTGATTGATGTAAGCGATTATCGGTCTGTCATCATATGCCAGATACATCAGTGTATCTTCTTCTTCTCTTCCACTGGCTGTAAACTCTGGTGGAATGTTTTGGTCATTTACTTCCTGAGTTTGGTCTTGTTCCAGGTCTTAAATTTTACACATCCCTTGTGCCCATGTGGCGTCCCGGGGTCCTGTTATGGGGAAAACAAGAATAGACTTACTGCCTGCCCAGAAGCATGTTGTAAAATTCAACTAATAGTGAGCTTCCTTGAAGTTGAAGTGCATCTGTCTGAAAGGCAAGGAACCAACTGTCATTCAAGTTTTGGAACAGGACTAGAGTCCAGAAGTGGACGAACAACCAGAACTTTCCGTCAGAGTTTACAGCCATTGAACACAAGAAGACACACACATTTTAAGATCTGGCCTAACTGTATGCAGACGGTTGGTTCCTTTCCTCTCAGGTTTTGACAGTGGTACCGAGAACTGACCATTCAGAAAGCAGTGGCAAACTGCTGAATGTAAAATTTGCCTAGAAAAACCACAACAGCCAAAAAATTCTAGGGTTGGTTCTGTAATGTCCTTTAAAAGATACGCAACTAACTTTAACTGTTGGTGGGGCGCTTCTATTTTAGTTCTCTACAATATGGGGTTCCGGAAGCTACGCAAGGAGTCAGTGCAAAAAGGGGATCTTCAGGATATACATAACGTGTTCATTGTTTCTGTTCCAGGCAGCTGGTAGTTCAAAATAACACTTTGGTAACTCAAAATAACTGGATCAGAAATAACATGACACTGAGTATTGGGCATATAGGGCTAGACCTATATTTTATACACCAATCAGCACTCGGTGGGTGATGCGGTCAACATCACACTATCAACTTGGAGAAAATCATCCACACAGACCGGCCACCTTGGCTTTTTATTTTATAAATAGCTTTTTTTTTAAAATCAGTGTGACATTTTTTGACAAGGACAAATGAACTCATTTTCAATGCACCCAATTGAAGTTGAAAATATAGGAAAGTCCTGAGTTGAGCTGTTTAAGAGAGCAGAAGGTGGTGTGAGTTTTGTTAGGGCATGGAGTGATCAAGAGAAGGAAAAAGAAGAAATATTCTAGACAGTGCTAGAATTTGGCTGCTTGTTAGGGGCACTACTAAATGTATGCTTGGTTTTTACATTTCTTGATTTCTGTGTGAGAAACGTTGAACATGTATGAACAGGCACTTTGATTCTTGGATCTGTTGGTTGGTCTTATTTTTGTATTAATGGGGTTTACTGACTTAATAATCTGCTGGGTAACAGTTGTAGATAGAATATCTACTCTGATTCCTTTGGACATGTGTGATCTTTTGGGCTGATTGCTTGTTGAGAGTTAATTTGGTAGTTTCAAGATGAAACAGTAAAAGTATATTTTCTTAAAAAAGCTTGTAGACAACTGCTTACATCATTTGCAGTAATTGTTAAATGTTTATTTAGATGTTTTGTCATTTGAATTTTTTTTTTAAATTGCTGTATGAGAAATACAATAATTGTACATGAAAACTTGCGTCACCAAAGTTGCTTTCTTTCGTAAATGTTGTAGCGTGACCAGTCCCATTTCTCTGTCTACTTTTGAAGCCCGCCTGTTTGTTTCCCCCCAAATCCAAGTGCCTCGGGCTTTGAGGTTTGAGCAACGGATCAACATCATGGCACAAGGGCAGTAAAGTGCTCCATCCTTCATCTAACTCAAGTCTAGTCCAAAGAAGCTCAGCACAGTGCACAGGCTCTGTAGCACCGGCGAGAATCCTGAAATACTTTGGGTGAAATTTTGCCTGGGCAGCGCCATTAGGCTACTCTTTTAGATTTCCAACTGCCAAGGGATTTTTTTTACATGCTCAAAAATACACACGGGCGTCCGATCACACTACCTAAAGACCAGGGGAATTACTAGAAGTCCAAGTCCAAGTGAACAAATTCCAGCCTTTACCGGGGATTGAACACTATGCCTCTAGACCACACTCCCCCTCCAGCAAAGAACTCTCTTTACTACACTTTTAGGGTGGATCCCGTGATCCTGGTGATCTAAAGCTGTAAAGCTGCCACAAATTGTACAGGTTGGGATTTTATTTTCTAAAGGTGAAAAATCGACATCCCTCACTGACGATCAAACCCAGGTCTCCTGTATGACAACCGAGCATTCAAACCACTCAGTCAGCCCTCGTTCTGATAGAACAAATAATAACAAACAGATACACAAACGTCTTTCATTTAGTGTTGATTCAATATTTATGTATGAAGTGAAATGCTTCCATGATAAAAGATGCAAGAAGGAACAACCACCTTAGATTCTGCACAAACTGAGAGCTATGACTTTCTGCAGCCAAGCAGGAGGTTTATTTGCTTGTCCTATTTATTTTGTGGTTGGCAGCAAGTACCACATTTTTCCTTGCAGTTTCCCCAAACTGTTGGAAGTTTAAAATAAACTGGAGGGGGGAGGGGTGGTGGCGGCGGCGTGTGTGTGTGTCCCCCCTCTTATACTCAGAATGTGTTTAAAATATTTCTTTGATAATTTTAAGCTTTACACAATAGGTCGTCCTATACATGGAAGAATACTGTCATATGCATGAACACTCTTGTAGCTGGTTCTTATTCTGCTGTGGCCACACTGTCATCAGGTTGTAGCCCACTGTTTTAGTTCTCTGTATTTGTCTGCACTACCTGGATGGTTAAATGATGGTTTTCTTACTCTTTTTGCAGGGTTCAGCTCGGCTATTTATCCATGTCTTCCTCCTGCCTTCCTCCAGATGTTCTGCTGCTGTATTAAGTCTCATCCACAGTTTGGTCTGGTTGTGTTGACAGTTAATTACAAAAGGGATGTTCGCCTTGGCTTTGTCACTGCTGGAAATCTAACCATACTGGTTTAAAGGTTATGTCAGCAAACTGCAGACAATGTCAAGGGGATTTACTGCTCTCTGTCCTTGACTTAAGTGACCTCACACAGGCAAGTAAAGTTCCATACAGAAAGACAAGGCTCAATAGGATGGCCACAAACCCGAGAAGCCCAACCCCCAGCAGATAGGACAGAACCAAATACATGATGCCAATATGAAGCATAGTGTGGTAGTTTGCCAGGAAGCGAAGGGATATCCGGGCTTGGTGTGACCTGGTTAATTCTGCGGCTTTCTTGGATACTGGTGACCTAATTTTCTGCTGCATTTCTTCAGCAGCAGACGGAGATATAAGAAACACACGGGCAAAGTGTCCAATAAAATCCTGTCGGTTGTACAGAGCGTTGAATTCGGCATTGAACTGAAACAGACAACAATTATTATATGATTGATGATAATTATGTATAAAAACAACAGTATTACTGTTATTATATTTACAACAGTATACTACAATACCATCTAGAAAGTACCTCGAGAGTTTGAAAAATGCCATCTTGGTCTCAAATTTGATGAAAGGGAAACTCCCAAACTGCCCTTGAAGTGGTGTACTACTAACGCTACCTTTGCTATCTGCACATGACTTTTTTTCTTTTTTTTACGTTCTCTTTTGCCACTTCGGGAGGGAGATATAAGGTTCTGCTTCGTGCTCTTCTAGCTGCTTCGACCATAGACACATCATGGTGCTGTTGAGTTTCTCTGATGTTATCTTCCCATGTTGTTCTTGGTCTACCTCTTGCTCTACGTCCCTCTCCTCGTTTGGTATATGCCTTGTATGTTATAGCATCAGAAGGCTTTCTCTCCAAGTAGGCAACCATCTGATTTGCTGGTTTTTTTTTACATAATTTAGAATTGGTTCTGTGCCAAATTTTATCTCTTTTAGTCACTCCTACAGTCTTTCTTAGATACCTCCTTTCCATGGTTACTAATTTTCTTTTATGTTTTGATGTGAGCAACCATGTCTGGCACTGACAGCATAGGGTGGGAATGAATATGCTTTCTATGAGATGTTTCTTTGTGCCGACTAGGATTGCCTTATGCTGTAAGAGTGGAGCTAGATGTCCCAATATTTGACCTGCTTTACTGCATCAGATGTCAATTTCTTCACCCAATTTACCATCTTCTGTAATTGTTGTTCACACTAATGCTACTGCTGCTGTCTACACATATGACTACTAATTCTGTCTACACATATGACTACTAATTCTGTCTACACATATAACTACTAATTCTGTCTACACATATGACTACTAATTCTGTCTACACATATGACTACTAATTCTGTCTACACATATGACTACTAATTCTGTCTACACATATGACTACTAATTCTGTCTACACATATGACTACTAATTCTGTCTACACATATGACTACTAATTCTGTCTACACATATGACTACTAATTCTGTCTACACATTTGACTACTAATTCTGTCTACACATATGACTACTAATTCTGTCTACACATATGACTACTAATTCTGTCTACACATATGACTACTAATTCTGTCTACACATTTGACTACTAATTCTGTCTACACATATGACTACTAATTCTGTCTACACATATGACTACTAATTCTGTCTACACATATGACTACTAATTCTGTCTACACATTTGACTACTAATTCTGTCTACACATATGACTACTAATTCTGTCTACACATATGACTACTAATTCTGTCTACACATTTGACTACTAATTCTGTCTACACATATGACTACTAATTCTGTCTACACATATGACTACTAATTCTGTCTACACATATGACTACTAATTCTGTCTACACATATGACTACTAATTCTGTCTACACATATGACTACTAATTCTGTCTACACATATGACTACTAATTCTATCTACACATATGACTACTAATTCTGTCTACACATATGACTACTAATTCTGTCTACACATATGACTACTAATTCTGTCTACACATATGACTACTAATTCTGTCTACACATATGACTACTAATTCTGTCTACACATATGACTACTAATTCTGTCTACACATATGACTACTAATTCTGTCTACACATATGAGTATTAATGCTATTGTAGCTGTCTACTACTGCTACTGGGAGTAGACGCTCGCCGCGGATCGGAAGGTCGTGGGTTCGCTCCCTGGCGGAGACGGACTTTTCTTCAAAAATGACCTTGGCTCCCAGGTCGACCCAGCCTTGAGTGGGTACCGGGTGCAATCCCGGGAAGTAGAGAAGGCCGGCGTGATGCTGACCACATCACCCATCTTGTGCCGTTGGTCTATAAAAATATAGGTCTAGCCTTATATGCCCTATACGCCTAAAGGCGTTGAAAGGGTCCTTTACTTTACTTACTACTGCATCTACCATATAACTACTAATGCTACTGGTGCTGTCTACACATCTGATTACTAATGCTACTGCTGCTGTCTACACATGACTACTAATGCTGTCTACACATGACTACTAATGCTTCTGGTGCTGTCTACACATCTGATTACTAATGCTACTGCTGCTGTCTACACATGACTACTGCTGCTGTCTACACATGACTACTAATGCTTCTGGTGCTGTCTACACATCTGATTACTAATGCTACTGCTGCTGTCTACACATGACTACTGCTGCTGTCTACACATGACTACTAATGCTACTGGTGCTGTCTGCACTTATGACTACTAATGCTACTGTTGCTGTCTACTACTGCAACTATTCCTGTGTCTACACATATGACTACTAATGCTACTGCTGCTGTCTACACATGACTACTAATGCTTCTGCTCCTGTCTACACTTATGATGACTAATTCTACTGTCGCTATCTACTACTGTAATTATTCCTGTGTCCACAAGTATGACTACTAATGCTACTATGGCTTTATTTCCATGACTACTGATGCTGCTGTGGCTATGGCTACCTTTATGATTCCCACAAGCACTACTACTACTCACACCACCACAGGAAAACATGCACAGAACATACAAACTCACGTATGAATTGACGAACGAGCAGAAATAAAACAACATCCGAACCAATGTGGCGTTCTCATAACTTCTCACTGGCAGCAGGTCGGGATCTCCAACATAGAAATTGGTAAACTTCTTCTCGCGGTTTATCAACTGTCAGCAGAAACAAAGTATTCTATCAGCAAACAGATGATTCAAGATGTGATGGATAATTGACATAAGGCAGCAATGGATATGTGCCCCCACTGTTGTCCTGCATGAGACCCTCAATATTTTCGAGTGCTGACTCTTGTGCCACCATCTGAAAAGTCTGAAAACTGTCTAAAAAAAATGTTCTTACTCTTTCAGTCCCAAGTAAATGTTGTCGCCTACCAATCAGCCCCACTACTTCGACACCAGGAGTCTCCTTTCCAGCAAAAGATTAATGGCATCTTTATCACTACTTTATGCTATCAGTGCCAAACATGGACAATGAATAGGGCAGAAAATAACTACATGGGAAATGTGCTGTCTAGGCAAGGTTGAGAACACCAGAAGGGACAGAGTTACGATTACCAGCTTTAGAGAGAAAATTAGATTAAGATCCTGTCTGAATTATACTGACAGACAAAGAATCTAGAGAGAATGCAGACAGACCAAACTGCACCGTAGCTACATTTTCTCCATTTACCTCAGAGTGTTAACTCTGGTACCCATTTCCTAAAGGCTGGGTGAACCCCAGAAACCGCCTGGTTTTTAACACCAGCCGTGGGCTGCAGCAAGTCACAGCTGGATTTGAAAGCGAGTCTCCAATCCACAGCGCTAATGCAGCACTCCTTTTTTTGTAAGGAGATGAGCTTAAAAGCAATGCATATTTAGGTATGAAGAAGTTCAAAAGAGACGTGGGATAGCGGTAGTTGAACAAGTAATTCAGACACAAAAGGTGAACATAACATCTGTCTGTGATGAAAGACAGCAAAACATTATATTATCTTTGAATTACCTAGCAACAAACGATGCAATGTTTGTTACTGAAGAGTGTCACAGAGTATCCTCACCTAGAAAGATTGATTCAGCAGAGAGTTTGGAACTTTTTCAACATGCAGGACAAAAGACAGGCTGACTTTAAACCAGATTACCATCAGTACACAAACTCTTTGATGGCTACTGAGGAATGTGTGGAAATAGTCCATATGCAGTGATTTCAATTCTTGGTTTATTCATTAATTTCAAAACAAACATACTAACCTGTCTCCTGCCAATGTCCGTGAGTTTTAAACCAGCCTCTGTTTGGACACAGTCTGGAAGCGGATTATCCTCTTCCGTTAAATAAATGGATTCGTTTGACATGGAACTGTCTATGCTCTGGTTATTGCTGGACAGAAAAATAGTTCCTGGCGTAGGGATCTGAGCATGCAAGAAGAAGAAAAAAAGTTCAGGTTTCAGTTCATGAAAACACTGCAAACAGAAGTGAAAACTGGTTATCTAGCAATGCATGTTCAGTGGAATACATGAAAATACTACATATAAAAGCTATGCTATATGATTGTCTAGTTATTAGTTTTGTTTAGAAAATCACCAGATACTACAAGAAAGATGTGAACATTGAGAAACGGTATATAAATAGTATCAGTTTCTTAAACTAAAATACATAAATCCATAAAAGTATAAATAAAAAATACAACTTATATAAAATCATAACATACCTGTTTAAATGTGTGTGCATGCATGTAAGTGTACAGTCTGCTCCTAAAGTCATGCCCTCAAATTCTAACAAATACCTAGAAAACTCCTGTACCAATCAACACTAATTTTTGCATGTGGTCTTATGATTTCATAGTTTACAATTGCACAGGTGAACTCTGTCGGAATCATAATTTATATACAGAAAATACAATAACCATGCTAAAAGTATGCTTTGGATCATTGTGTTTTTCACATTCCACAAACAAGGCCCCAAAAAAACCCAAAAAACTAGATGTCTGTTTACATTATAATTATTCTCCTACAAGCACAGGATTATTAACTAGCTACACATTTTTTAAGTTGGGCATGACTTTTAGAATGGACTTTAGTTCTTGTACTAACCATATAAAGGCACAATTTACAGAAAATACATAACAGCTGAGCATACGTGTATGCATGTATTTTAGTGAAAAAATAAAACAGTTTAGTAAATCTTTATGCTGTGTACGTAAGTGTCTTATGTTCTCAACAACAGAAAGCTATAATTTAAAGAAAACATAAAACAGTTGAGTAAATTTTTATGCATTTATGTCAGTTCTTATGTTCTCATCAACATATGAAGTTCAGTAAATGTCTATGTACGAATGTAATGTAATGTATGTATGTAATGTATGTGTGTATGTAATGTATGTATGTGTGTATGTATGTGTGTATGTATGTATGTATGTATGTATGTATGTATGTATGTATGTATGTATGTATGTATGTATGTATGTATGTATGTATGTATGTATGTATGTATGTATGTATGTATGTATGTATGTGTGTATGTATGTATGTATGTATGTATGTATCATTTCTCAACCTCATAAAGCCACAACTTACAGAAAATATGTAACAAAGCTTGAGAATGGCCTGCTCCAGATGTACCGGCAGACGCCTGTATTCCGGACCCTGATAAATATTACGGTCCCTCCCGGAGCTGAAGAGAAAGGAAAAGAATCCGGACTTCTGCTCCGGCTTGGCAGCAGTCAACTCCTTGTTTTGTCTGGCTCGGACTGTCTCTAAAGCCTCAGTCAACTGGGAAATCACCTTCATCACCTTTAGAATTAAAAATAACTGCTTATATTTCACTGTTTATGTATTTATAATGCATACCATAATGTAGTTGCTAGACGCTTGCCTGCGGATCTGAAGGCCGTGGGTTCAGGCCTTGGTTGAGCTGACCCAGCCCTGGATGAGGGGCAGGTGAGGTGCTCGGAAGTAAAGGTAGCTAGAATGATGTTGACCGCACATTAAACACTGAGTGTCGACTGGTCTATGAAATACAGATCTGGCCCGATATACCTAAATGCCTGAATAAGGGCCCTTTTATTTACTCACTTTATAATGCATATATTATTGCTCTTGTTTAAGAAATGTATGAATGAAATAATATATGAAAGGAGGGAGGTAAGAAAGACAGAATGTCTGGGCTACGAGGCTATTTCTTTATCCTCCGAAAAAAAAGCATGTTTTTTTCATGTATTCTGTCTACTATTTCGTCCTGGCTGCCTTTATTATTTTCCTACAATCTCACAATTTAATCGGAATGAATTCAGTAAAGATAAAGAAATAAGAGAAACTGGTGTCACTGGTACCAATAATTACATGTATGTATATATGTGTGTGTGTGTGTGTGTGCGTGCACGCGTGTTTATACATACATATATTATTTTTAAGGTCCCTTTTCCATGCCTTTAGGCTTATTGGGAATATATGGCTAGACTTTTATTTTTTTTATAGACCAATCGCCACTTGGTGATGTGGTCAGAACTGCACCTGGTACCCACTCAAGACTGGGTCGACCTAGGAGTCAAGGCCATAAAAAAAAAAGTTTGGCTCCGTTAGTATGTGAACCCAAAACCTTCTGATATGAAAGTTTAACCGCCAACGCCACATCAAAAACTTCTCAGTCAAGCAATCAGTAGAAGTACTCTCGGGTGGCTGCTGCATCCGAGGACTGAGCATGTATGGAAAAGCCTAATGTGCAGTGATGCCAAATGTTAAAGCATAGCATAACATGTCAATATGCAAAAAGATAATTAAGGCAGTGATGGTGTTAATGTTATCACAATCAACGTCATTTGGCAACGACTGGTAACAACGGTTATAAATCAAAGAAGACAGCGCTATGTTGGGCACATACTGAGAATAAACGAGCAGAGAACTGTCAAACAGGCACTGAAATAGAAAACAAATAGACGGAGCAAATAAGGATGTCTAAGAGAAACTCTCAAAACAAACACTGATGAGAGAGGCCAAAAGTCTAGGACTGGATTTCTTACATAACACTGAAAGAAGAATACAGGATTTCCCCGTGTGGGTTCAGGGACTCCATTGCCGGGCAAACAAGAACAAACCAACTGCTTCCTAACAAGCATGTCAGAAAAGTCGACTAACTTGGGGTTTCCTTCGAAGATTTGTAAAACGAATGTGCACGCAACACCAAGGTTCTGGAACATGACTATAGTCTGAAGGGAGGCAAACAACCAGAACTTTTTCGCTGGAGTTTACAGCCAGTCAACAGGTAGAAGATGCTGTTCACGTCAATTTGTGGGTTATCTTGTGGAACATCGCTGCCCACTAACAAGAGACAAACACAGACTTACATTGTACTTCATATTTTCACTAAAGAACGACACGTAGTGGAAGTTGGCACCCTCGAGTTCAACCATCTGGGGCGGAGTCACCATGGACAGGTACACTGTCTGGTTGGACAGGTAGCTGCCGCCCAAGTCTGCTTGTGTGCCGGAACCTCCAAACAGTTTCTGTTCAGCTGAAAGTATAGGCAGTGTCTGTGTTACCGGGGCACATAATATTATCAACAAGCCCAACAAAGAACAGCTGAACAACCTCCCAACAATTTCTGTTCAGCTGAAATTATAGGCAGTCTTTGTGTTACTGAGGCTCACAATGGAAGCCAAGAATAGTAATAGCTTTCAATCTCTCAGCATTTGTCTTCTCTGCCTATGATATCGTCAACAACCAGTCCCAAACCCACCTCGGCAAGCCTTCAAACTCTCCATTTTATGACTCTGTGCATTTACAAACAACTAGAAGGCACAAAAGTTACTGGGGGCAAAAGGAAGGAAAACATTTATATGACAGGCATATGTATCTTTCAAGGTAGACATTAGGAATGCATAGACCAGCATAAGTTCACCTATAGATCGGTCTGTCTACACTACCATAAACAGTGGTAAATAAGGCAGTAATGACAGACAGCAAAAGACTGATAAATATAGATCTATAAAAGCAGTTACACAAGGATTAAAACTGATCAACATAGGCAGACAGATAGATCTGTCAAAGCAGATATGCAAGGAACTACTACAGAGATCAACATAAGACAGACAGACATAAACAGATCTATCATACCAGACATACAAGGAATTACAGAGATCAACATCAGGTTAGGTTAGTTGCGTATCCTTTACAGGACGTTGCAGAACCAACCTGGCTGTTGTGTGGTTTTTCTAGGCAAATTTACGTCCAGTAGTTTGCCACTGCTTTCTGGATGGTCATCTTTCTTGATACCACTGTCGAAACCAGACCAAGGTGCACGGCCCGCAGCTGGGATCGAACCCAGCATCCCGGCATTACAAAGCATCGCATCGACTTAGGATCAACATAAGACAGACAGATATAAACAGATCTGTCATACCAGATATACAAGGAATTACAGAGATCAACATAGACAGATCTATCAAAGCAGACATACAAGGAATAACGAAAACCAATATAAGACAGACATTTACCTATCTATCAAAGCAGACATAAAAGAAATTACAGGTATCAACAAAAGACAGACATAAATAGCCTACAGATAACATCTTATTCAGCAATTCTAACTTACCTTGTAAGATCAAATTGGGCAGGTTTGGAAGACTCAATATCTGTAAGGCAATAGAAAAACAACAATGTAGATTACATGGCAAATTTAGTTTTAGAAAGTACAAAAAATCAAGAGAAAAAAAATGTTACAAACAGTCATTTGTTCTCATTTCGAACAATCAATATGAAGATAAGTGACCAAAGTTTGAAACAAGAATTAAAATACTTGGACAGCGTCTTTATACAAAATGGTAGACTACATGGAGAGATGGAAACAAGATTTTAAATACTTGGACAGCGTCTTTATAAACAATGGTAGACTTCATGGAGAGATGGAAACAAGATTTTAAATACTTGGACAGCGTCTTTATAAACAATGGTAGACTTCATGGAGAGATGGAAACAAGATTTTAAATACTTGGACAGCGTCTTTATAAACAATGGTAGACTTCATGAAGAGATGGAATCAAGAATCCAAGCCAACGATATCAACTCACCCAAAGCTTACCATAGTCTGCTATTCAAACAGATGTAACAAGACAAATTACAGTTACAACACAGTTGGCCATTCCAACAAATATAAACAGAAAAATTACAAATACAACCACAGTTGGCCATTCCAACAGATATAAAAAGACAAATTACAAATACAACACAGTTGGCCATTCCAACAGATATAAAAAGACAAATTATAATTACAACTACAGTCGGCCATTCTAAGAGATACTTCATATACAACCACAGTCGGCCATTCAAATAGATATTTCATATACAACCACAGTCGGCCATTCCAACAAATACTTCATATACAACCAGTGTCGGCTATTCCGACAGATACTTCATACACAACCACAGTCAGCCATTCTAACAGATACTTCATATACAACCAGTGTCGGCCATTCCAACAGATACTTCATATACAACCACAGTCAGCCATTCTAACAGATACTTCATATACAACCACAGTCGGCCATTCTAACAGATACTTCATATACAACTACAGTCGGCTATTCCAACAGATACTCTATATATAACCACAGATGGCCATTCCAACAGATACTTCATATACAACCAGTGTCGGCCATTTTAACAGATACTTCATATACAACCAGTGTCGGCCATTCTAACAGATACTTCATATACAACCACAGTCAGCCATTCTAACAGATACTTCATATTCAACCACAGTCAGCCATTCTAACAGATACTTCATATACAACCACAGTCAGCCATTCTAACAGATACTTCATATACAACTACAGTCGGCTATTCCAATAGATACTTTATATATAACCACAGATGGCCATTCCAACAGATATTTCATATAGAACCACAGTCGGCCATTCTAACAAATACTTCATATACAACCAGTCAGCCATTCTAACAGATACTTCATTTACAACCACAGTTGGCCCTTCCAATAGATATTTCATATACAACCACAGTCGGCCATTTTAACAGATACTTCTTAAGTCCCATCTGAATAAAAATAACAACCTCACAAGTGTGGAGGACATACATTTGAGAGTGGAGTGACCTACCCTGGAAACTCGGTAGACCATGTAGGCACTGTAGGGAGAAGTCAGGTCCATTCTGTAAATACGCGGGATGAACTCTCGCAGCAGAACTGTGTAGAATAGCAAATTGTCTTCCACAAAATGGCTCCTGTAGATATCAAAGTTCAGTCCACATAATTTAATAGCTAAGGTTTGCTTGTATATAATACAATATGTTTTCCCAAATATTTTACATTTAAAATTGGGAAGGTCGTTTTATATATGGAAAGTTTAAAATATTTATTTCTTAATTTCAGGCTTTAAAAAATGGTTGTCTTATACATACAAACATACAGTATGCACTTTAGTATGAAAGTTAAAACTGAAAAAAAACAAAACAAGCACAGTACCAGACTTTACAGCGCTATCTCAGAACTATCACAGTACTAAATAATCTCATATAACATGATTCTTAGTCTTTTCTGTCTCTACCTTCCAATGAAGCGCATGCTCTCAACCAACTTATACCAGCTGCCTTCTATCTTTTCCCATCCCTTTTAAGATTCCCTCTATGTCATCTCCAAATTACAGGGTCTCCTCAACTTACGACTGAGTTCCATTCCGACAACAGGTTGTAAGTCAAATTTATATTTTCCAATATTATTTTCATTCAAACAGGTTGTACAAATTCTACATAAAACACAACAATTCAATCTAAATATGTGTAATTAGACTTAATGCTCTCTGGGCATTAGTTCCGGAAACCTTTTGACTTTAACAATGTAGTTATCTTTCTTTATCTACTTATATGGTTTTTTTTGTGGGGTGTGTGGTTGTTAGTGTGAATGGTCCCAAGTCGAGGTGAAGTTGTATTCATCCCTACTTCTAATTTTCTTTCCCATGTGGTTCTAGGCCTCTCTATTTTTTTTTGGGCCCTGTGCATTTCAGTAAAAGAACCTTTCAGTTACAATATAACCGGTTTTCACAAAGTGACTCATTCAGCTCCCTGTTTTTTCCCTTACTTTATGGCGACTGCCACACTACAACCACACAACCCTATTACACTGTTGCATCTTCTTCTTCTTTTCTCTACTCCTGGAATGACTCACCGCGTCAGGACAGGAAGAGCTCTCTGGAACGGGCCCTTCTGTTCGCTTTGTATAAAGTACTTTTCAGTGTCTCTGATATTTCTGAGGTCAATCTTCTGCGTGGTCAACCTCTGGGTCTGTTACCATTGTATCTGTACAACATTGCTCTCTGTGGGGCCATGTCTGCTGCCAATCTTGTTACATGGCCAAACCATTTGATTTGATGTCTACCTATAAAGTTCAGTATTGGTTCTGTGCTAACTTTCTCATGATATCATTTCTAAGTGCCTTCTTCTTCTTCACTTCCACCTTGTACCTCAGAGAAGTGTCGGGGGGAGATGTAATGTTCGTTGATGAGCTGTCAAGATCACTATTAAGATTGATGTTCATTTCTGTAAGGCTGTTCTTAATGCCATCACTCCATCTTGATGTTCATTGCTGTAAGGCTGTTCTTAACGCCATCACTCCATCTTGATGTTCATTGCTGTAACGCTGTTCTTAATGCCATCACTCCATCTTGATGTTCATTGCTGTAAGGCTGTTCTTAATGCCATCACTCCATCTTGATGTTCATTGCTGTAAGGCTGTTCTTAATGCCATCACTCCATCTTGATGTTCATTTCTGTAAGGCTGTTCTTAATGCCATCACTCCATCTTGATGTTCATTTCTGTAAGGCTGTTCTTAATGCCATCACTCCATATTTTCAGAGGTCTTCCGCTCGCTCTATACCCCTTGTAACCTTTCAGTGTGGCTCGCTGTGGTAGACAGTACCAGGGCATTCTTGTTCGGTGTGCAAACCACTTCATTTGCTGTTCTTTGATGACCTGTAAGACTGGCTTTATTCCTAGCATTCGTCTGATTTCATATTCTGTCTTTCCTTGAAACTCCTGCAGCTCTTCTAAGTGTGTTAACAGGGAAGATCGTTGCCTCATTACTTAATTAGCTTTGGCTCATCTCGAGCTAATTCAAGTTCCTAACTGCAGCAAAATTAAAAGTAGTAATGGTAGTCTATTTTCTTCTTATAGTTCCTGCTGTGTGGCACTGATAATCATGTCTTATCCACAACCTTCTGTCTCGTGTATTTTAGATCAACTCTGACATAGATGATTTTTCTATACCCTGTGATGTTGGTAGTCATGTCTCTAAATAACATTCTGTCTCATGTACCTTTAATCAGTTATGAAACATGATCTTCCACACCATGATGTCGAACTCTGCAGCATCTTCTCTCCTGGTCTTCCTCTGCCTCTTTTCCCCTCCAACTTTCCCATTGCCATGATATGCTCCAGTTTGCTACAAATACTGCATATCTATTCTTAGCTTGCCTAAGGCACAATGGCAACAAACTTGCAGTTATGCCCTGGCTGATAGATTGTCCTTTATTCACCGACAGACCATACACACACAAGCCACATACCACTTGTTGTCCACTTCTTTGCCAATCTCCACTTCAGAAGGCTGTCCTCTGCTGACAGCAATGCTTCTGTAGTCTGTGTACCTCCAGGGCTGGATGTAGCTCAGCCACGTCTCCAGGACCTACAAGATGCCAACAGAGGATCTCCATGAGCTTTCTTACATCATAACCCTAGGTATGTGTGTGTGTGTGTAAGCTTTCTAATACATCACAGTTCTGTCTCGTGTGTGTGTGTATGTGCTTTCTAATACATCACAGCTCTGTGTGTGAGCTTTCTAATACATCACAGCTCTGTGTGTGTGTGAGCTTTTTAATACATCACAGCTCTGTGTGTGTATGTGAGCTTTCTAATACATCACAGCTCTGGGTGTGTGTGTGTGTATGTGTGTTTTCTAATACATCACAGCTGTGTGTGTGAGCTTTCTAATACATCACAGCTCTGTGTGTGTGTGTGTGTGTGTGCTTTCTAATGCATCACAGCTGTGTATATGAGCTTTCTAATACATCACAGCTCTCTGTGTGTGTGTGAGCTTTCTAATACATCACAGCTCTGTGTGTGTGTGTGTGTGTGAGCTTTCTAATAGATCACAGCTCTGTGTGTGTGCTTTCTAATACATCACAGCTCTGTGTGTGTGTGTGTGTGTGTGTGTGAGCTTTCTAATACATCACAGCTCTGTGTGTGTGTGTGTGAGCTTTCTAATACATCACAGCTCTGTGTGTGTGTGCTTTTTAATACATATCAGCTCTGTGTGTGTGTGCTTTCTAATACATCACAGCTCTATGTGTGTGTTATGTGTTTTCTAATATATCACAGCTCTGTGTGTGTGTATGTGCTTTCTAATAGATCACAGCTCTGTGTGTGTGTATGTGCTTTCTAATACATCACAGCTTTGTGTATGTGAGTGTGTGTGCTTTCTAATACATCACAGCTCTGTGTGTGTTTTGTGTTTTCTAATACATCACAGCTCTGTGTGTGTGTGTGTGTGTGTGAGCTTTCTAATAGATCACAGCTCTGTGTGTGTGCTTTCTAATACATCACAGCTCTGTGTGTGTGTGTGTGTGTGTGAGCTTTCTAATACATCACAGCTCTGTGTGTGTGTGTGTGAGCTTTCTAATACATCACAGCTCTGTGTGTGTGTGCTTTTTAATACATATCAGCTCTGTGTGTGTGTGCTTTCTAATACATCACAGCTCTGTGTGTGTGTGTGTGTGTGTGAGCTTTCTAATAGATCACAGCTCTGTGTGTGTGCTTTCTAATACATCACAGCTCTGTGTGTGTGTGTGTGTGTGTGAGCTTTCTAATACATCACAGCTCTGTGTGTGTGTGTGTGAGCTTTCTAATACATCACAGCTCTGTGTGTGTGTGCTTTTTAATACATATCAGCTCTGTGTGTGTGTGCTTTCTAATACATCACAGCTCTATGTGTGTGTTATGTGTTTTCTAATACATCACAGCTCTGTGTGTGTGTATGTGCTTTCTAATAGATCACAGCTCTGTGTGTGTGTATGTGCTTTCTAATACATCACAGCTCTGTGTGTGTGTGTGAGCTTTCTAATACATCACAGCTTTGTGTATGTGAGTGTGTGTGCTTTCTAATACATCACAGCTCTGTGTGTGTGTTTTGTGTTTTCTAATACATCACAGCTCTGTGTGTGTGTGTGTGTGTGTGTGTGAGCTTTTTAATACATCACAGCTCTGTGTGTGTATGTGCTTTCTAATACATCACCGCTCTGTGTGTGTGTCTATGTGTGTGTGAGCTTTCTAATACATCACAGCTCCGTGTGTGTATGTGCTTTCTAATACATCACAGCTCTGTGTGTGTGTGAGCTTTCTAATACATCACAGCTCTGTGTGTGTGTGTGCTTTCTAATACATCACAGCTCTGTGTGTGTGTGTGTGCTTTCTAATACATCACAGCTCTGTGTGTGAGCTTTCTAATACATCACAGCTCTGTGTGTGTGTGTGTGTGTGTGTGTGTGCTTTTTAATACATATCAGCTCTGTGTGTGTGTGCTTTCTAATACATCACAGCTCTGTGTGTGTGCTTTCTAATACATCACAGCTCTGTGTGTGTATGTGCTTTCTAATACATCACAGCTCTGTGTGTGAGCTTTCTAATACATCACAGCTCTGTGTGTGTGTGTGTGTGTGTGTGTGTGTGTGTGCTTTTTAATACATATCAGCTCTGTGTGTGTGTGCTTTCTAATACATAACAGCTCTGTGTGTGTGCTTTCTAATACACCACAGCTCTGTGTGTGCTTTCTAATACATCACAGCTCTGTGTGTGTGTGTGTGTGTGTGTGTGTGCACTTTCTAATACATCACAGCTCTGTGTGTGTGTGCTTTTTAATACATATCAGCTCTTTGTGTGTGTGTGTGTGTGCTTTCTAATACATCACAGCTCTGTGTGTGTGTGTGTGTGTGTGTGTGTGTGTGCTTTCTAATACATCACAGCTCTGTGTGTGTCATGTGTTTTCTAATAAATCACAGCTCTGTGTGTGTGTGTATGTGCTTTCTAATACATCACAGCTCTGTGTGTGTGTGTGTGTGAGCTTTCTAATACATCACAGCTCTGTGTGTGTGTGTGCTTTCTAATACATCACAGCTCTGTGTGTGTCAAGTGTTTTCTAATAAATCACAGCTCTGTGTGTGTGTATGTGCTTTCTAATAGATCACAGCTCTGTGTGTGTGTATGTGCTTTCTAATACATCACAGCTCTGTGTGTGTGTGTGAGCTTTCTAATACATCACAGCTCTGTGTGTGTGTGAGCTTTCTAATACATCACAGCTCTGTGTGTGTGTGTGAGCTTTCTAATACATCACAGCTCTGTGTGTGTGTGTGCTTTCTAATACATCTCAGCTCTGTGTGTGTGTTCTTTTTAATACATCACAGTTCTGTGTGTGTGTGTGCTTTCTAATACATCACAGCTCTGTGTGTGTGTTATGTGTTTTCTAATACATCACAGATTTGTGTGTGTGTGTGTGTGTGTATGTACTTTCTAATAGATCACAGCTCTGTGTGTGTGTATGTACTTTGTAACAGATCACAGCTGTGTGTGTATGTACTTTTTAATAGATCACAGCTCTGTGTGTGTGTATGTACTTTCTAATACATCACAGCTCTGTTTGAGTTTATGTACTTTCTAATACATCACAGTTCTGTGTGTGTGTGTGTGTGTGTATGTACTTTCTAATACATCACAGCTCTGTGTGTGTGTATGTACTTTTTAATAGATCACAGCTCTGTGTGAGTTTATGTACTTTCTAATGCATCACAGTTCTGTGTGTGTGTGTGTGTATGTACTTTTTAATACATCACAGCTCTGTGTGTGTGTTATGTGTTTTCTAATACATCACAGCTCTGTGTGTGTGTGACCTTTCTAATACATCACAGCTCTGTGTGTGTATGTACTTTCTAATAGATCACAGCTCTGTGTGTGTGTTATGTGTTTTCTAATACATCACAGCTCTGTGTGTGTGTGACCTTTCTAATACATCACAGCTTTGTGTGTGTGTTATGTGTTTTCTAATACATCACAGCTCTGTGTGTGTGTGACCTTTCTAATACATCACAGCTCTGTGTGTGTGTTTTGTGTTATCTAATACATCACAGCTCTGTGTGTGTGTGAGCTTTCTAATACATCACAGCTCTGTGTGTGTATGTACTTTCTAATAGATCACAGCTCTGTGTGTGTGTTATGTGTTTTCTAATACATCACAGCTCTGTGTGTGTGTATGTACTTTCTAATACATCACAGCTCTGTGTGTGTGTGTGACCTTTCTAATACATCACAGCTTTATGTATGTGTGTGTGAGCTTTCTAATACATTACAGCTTTAGGTATGTGTGTGTGTGTGTGTGTGAGCTTTCTAACTCATCACAGGCGGTTAGATGAAGCAGAACCCCTATGGGGTGAAAACAGGAAGTGAAGATGAAAACTGAAGGATGTATGAATATATCTGCGTGCAATGAAAATGATCTAAAATAAAAAAAAATAAAAATCTTACAGATGTTTCTTCAGCAACAAATGGTCAGAAATCTGGCTACTTACCATCCTAAAGCATGAGTCCAGAGGCCAGCGCTCAAAGGCATGCCGCAGGAATGTGTAGAGTGGTTTCTGAAGGATGTGAGGAATCACCGATCTGAAAGTGTGCAAACAGAACATCATTATAAACCAGTAGCAGACACTGGTATACCAAACACAGTGGTTCCCCCTGATATACCAAACACAGTGGTTCCCCCTGGTATATCAAACAGTGATTCCCCCTGGTATATCAAACACAGTGGTTTTCCCCTGATATATCAAACACAGTGGTTCCCCCAGGTATATCAAACACAGTGGTTCCTCCTGGTATATCAAACACAGTGGTTCCCCCTGGTATATAAAACACAGTGGTTCCCCCTGGTATATAAAACAGTGGTTCCCCCTGGTATATCAAACACAGTGGTCCCCCCTGGTATATCGAACACAGTGGTTTCCCCTGGTATATCAAACACATCAGAACAACACACACAAAGGTCATATAGGTGGAAAGCTTTAGTGGCTGCTTTAGGCTCATCAGTTACTCTGTTCAAATCCCATCATAGAGTTGGACATTTTTCTGGAAACACTGATGTCTGATGACATCACTTGCACCCTTTGTCTCTCTGGCTAGCGAGATTAATAACCCGGCCTTCTGAAAAAAAAAAAAATGGGTCCAGTTTCAGTGAGTGTACAAATATCCAACAGTAAAGCTATCAGAATGGCAAAACTTTTAAGAAAGTAGATTTACAAACTGGAAGCAGGGAATAAATGAAAGATGTGTGAAGATGCCATAGAAAGAAACTGCAAATCTATGGGAAGAAAATTAAACACAGAGAGGAAATCATTGCTGTGCAGGAAGATGATAAGTAACACAGAGAAGAAACCAGTTGTCTGATGGAGAGATCACAGCAAACAGAAAAGAAACCAGCTGTCTGAAAGAGAGATCACAGCAAATGGAAAAGAAATCAATTGTCTGATAGAGAGATCACAGCAAACAGAGAAGAAACGGGCTGTCTGATGGAGAGATCACAGCAAACAGAAAAGAAACCAGCTGTCTGATGGAGAGATCACAGCAAACAGAGAAGAAACTGGCTGTCTGATGGAGAGATCACAGCAAATGAAAAAGAAACCAGTTGTCTGATGGAGAGATCACAGCAAACAGAAAAGAAACCAGTTGTCTGATGGAGAGATCACAGCAAACAGAAAAGAAACCAGTTGTCTGATGGAGAGATCACAGCAAACAGAGAAGAAACCAGTTGTCTGATGGAGAGATCACAGCAAACAGAAAAGAAACCACTTGTCTGATGGAGAGATCACAGCAAACAGAGAAGAAACCAGTTGTCTGATGGAGAGATCACAGCAAACAGAAAAGAAACCAGTTGTCTGATGGAGAGATCACAGCAAACAGAGAAGAAACCAGTTGTCTGATGGAGAGATCACAGCAAACAGAAAAGAAACCACTTGTCTGATGGAGAGATCACAGCAAACAGAGAAGAAACCAGTTGTCTGATGGAGAGATCACAGCAAACAGAGAAGAAACCAGTTGTCTGATGGAGAGATCACAGCAAACAGAGAAGAAACCAGTTGTCTGATAGAGAGATCACAGCAAACAGAGAAGAAACTGGCTGTCTGATGGAGAGATCACAGCAGACAGAAAAGAAACCAGTTGTCTGATGGAGAGATCACAGCACACAGAGAAGAAACCAGTTGTCTGATGGAGAGATCACAGCAAACAGAGAAGAAACCAGTTGTCTGATGGAGAGATCACAGCTAACAGAAAAGAAACCAGTTGTCTGATGGAGAGATCACAGCAAATGAAAAAGAAACCAGTTGTCTGATGGAGAGATCACAGCAAACAGAAAAGAAACCAGTTGTCTGATGGAGAGATCACAGCAAACAGAAAAGAAACCAGTTGTCTGATGGAGAGATCACAGCAAACAGAAAAGAAACCAGTTGTCTGATGGAGAGATCACAGCAAACAGAAAAGAAACCAGCTGTCTGATGGAGAGATCACAGCAAACAGAGAAGAAACTGGCTGTCTGATGGAGAGATTACAGCAAACAGAGAAGAAACCGGCTGTCTGATGGAGAGATCACAGCAAACAGAAAATAAACTGGCTGTCTGATGGAGAGATCACAGCAAACAGAAAAGAAACAAGTTGTCTGATGGAGAGATCACAGCAAACAGAAGAGAAAACAAGTTGTCTGATGAATAAATCACAGCAAACAGAAAAGAAACCAGTTGTCTGATGGAGAGATTACAGCAAACAGAAAAGAAACCAGTTGTCTGATGGAGAGATCACAGCAAACAGAAAAGAAACCAGTTGTCTGATGGAGACATCACAGCAAACAGAAAAGAAACCAGTTGTCTGATGGAGAAATCACAGCAAACAGAAAAGAAACCAGTTGTCTGATGGAGAGATCACAGCAAACAGAAAAGAAACCAGCTGTTTGATGGAGAGATCACAGCAAACAGAGAAGAAACCGGCTGTCTGATGGAGAGATCACAGCAAACAGAAAAGAAACCAGTTGTCTGATGGAGAGATCACAGCAAACAGAAAAGAAACCAGTTGTCTGATGGAGAGATCACAGCAAACAGAAGAGAAAACAAGTTGTCTGATGGATAAATCACAGCAAACAGAAAAGAAACCAGTTGTCTGATGGAGAGATCACAGCAAACAGAAAAGAAACCAGTTGTCTGATGGAGAGATCACAGCAAACAGAAAAGAAACCAGTTGTCTGATAGATCACTGCAAACAGAAAAGAAACCAGTTGTCTGATGGAGAGATCACAGGAAACAGAAAAGAAACCAGCTGTCTGATGGAGAGATCACAGCAAACAGAAAAGAAACCAGATGTCTGATGGAGAGATCACAGCAAACAGAGAAGAAACCGGCTGTCTGATGGAGAGATCACAGCAACCAGAAAAGAAACCAGTTGTCTGATGGAGAGATCACAGCAGACAGAAAAGAAACCAGTTGTCTGATGGAGAGATCACAGCAAACAGAGAAGAAACCGGCTGTCTGATGGAGAGATCACAGCAAACAGAGAAGAAACTGGCTGTCTGATGGAGAGATCACATCAAACAGAAAAGAAACCAGTTGTCTGATGGAGAGATCACAGCAAACAGAAAAGAAACCAGTTGTCTGATGGAGAGATCACAGCAAACAGAAAAGAAACCAGCTGTTTGATGGAGAGATCACAGCAAACAGAGAAGAAACCGGCTGTCTGATGGAGAGATCACAGCAAACAGAAAAGAAGCCAGTTGACTGATGGAGAGATCACAGCAAACAGAAAAGAAACCAGTTGTCTGATGGAGAGATCACAGCAAACAGAAAAGAAACCAGTTGTCTGATGGAGAAATCACAGCAAACAGAAAAGAAACCAGTTGTCTGATGGAGAGATCACAGCAAACAGAAAATAGACCACAGTCGTGTGGGAAATCCAAGCAAACAGAAAAGAAATGTGTGATGGCTAAACAAGATGGCAAGGGACTAGAATAAGTAACAACCATGATGTTTGATCTTAAGTTTTAAGCTGTCTGACAGAATGGTAGTCAGCGATACTTCAGTGGCTAGGTAGCAGACTGCGGTCTTGATTTCTTTTTGGCTTTATTTTTCACCGTATGGTGCATCTACCTTCAACCCTCAGATTGATGGGTCCATTTAAGGGACAGTCATCAGGGGTGGTCATTGTACAATATAAGGTGTATCTGCACGGTCGGGTGTCAGTAGCCCATAGCAGGGACCTGGGACATAGCCCACTGGGGTGTTTCATCCATGTCTGGAAAGACTGCCAAGGTGAATATTTGGGAAGGCAGTAGAAGACTTGACAGTGTGTCATCGATCACCACTCATTTTCGTCATAACGTGTTTTGTCCATAATAAAGAGACTGATGCACTACAAAGGATCATACTTAGTGTATGCATGATGTGTTACTGTACTCATAGACAAGGTTACTGGTTACTTAAGGAGATGTGTTAGCTTGTCACAAGTGTGTGACGTATAGTGGTGCTATTGTTTGGGTTGGCCCTCCTTTTGCTGCAGGTATAATCACCATCAACATGTGCTGTGCCAATGAGAGTGGGCAGCCATAAGTAAATCCAGTGTATAGGTGGAGGACAGTCATTTATAATTAAACCCCTTAGACACTTGGCAAGCGTGCGATGCCTGGGACAGATCACCCTAAAAGGTGTTTTATCTTTGGTGTTATTTTTCTATTACTGCCATCAGTTGTTTTAAACTTTGGTGTCAAGTGTTCTTATCTGAGGTGAATGGTTTTCAAATGCTCATAAAAATCAGAAGTACCTCTTAAACTGGTCCAGCGGTGACTGGATTGATGACTGATAAGAGGAGGTGACAATCGAGGTGGTACTGTTAGCGAAACAATGGAGGTACTTGACCAGCAGTCTGACCATCTTCACATGGTTCACAGTCGGCATGAAATGTTCCTGTAAGCAAACATTGGTGCCAATTCATAAACATCACACAAAGGAAATCTACTCTAATAACTGCACATATGGAAACAATTCATAAACATCACACAAAGGAAATCTACTCTAATAATATGCACATATGGAAACAATTCATAAACATCACACAAAGGAAATCTACTCTAATAACTGCACATATGGAAACAATTCATAAACATCACACAAAGGAAATCTACTCTAATAATATGCACATATGGAAACAATTCTAAAAACCGCACAGAGAGAAACTACTCTACACAGGGGAACTACACCAAATAGAGGAAAACTGCTCCTAAAAAAAGGGGGGAAGAGACTACTCTAACCAAAGTGAGATACTCTAAACAGAAATGGAACATTCTACACAGAAAGAGACTGCTCTTAACAGAGACAGGGAGACTAAACAAAGAGGCTATTTTAAACAGAGGGAGACTACTCTCAATAGAGACTACTCTAAACAGAGGGAGATCACTCTAAACACTGGCGAGAAGGAAACTAGGCTAAACAGCGGTAAATTACTTTAAATGTTGCACAAAACAAAATTACTCGAAATATTGCACAGAGACCTTGTTCTAAAAACAGTCAGTAAAGTTAAGGACCCCTTTCCACGCCTTCAGGTATATTGGGCATATAGGGCTAGACCTATATTTAATAGACTAATCAGCATTAGGTGGTTAAAGTAGTCAGCATCCCTCTAGCCACCTTTATTTTCCAGGACTGCACCTGGGTCGACCAGAAAGCCAAGGTCATTTAAAAAAAAAAAAAGCCAGGCTCCGTCAGGTTGTGAACCTATGACCTTCTGATCTGCAAGTGAACATCTATCTGCTACACCACGGCGACTGCCCACTAACAACAATAATTCAGTTCTACACTTGTAATCTAGTGTTTTAATTTACCAATGAGTTTGAAACTTGCCCATCTTTAGTAGAAATTATCCCTGATTAACCAGAAGCTATCCTCACTTTAGCGGAAGTTACCTTAACTCTATCAGAAGTTACTCTAACTCTATCAGAAGTTACTCTAACTCTATCAGAAGTTATCCTAACTCTATCAGAAGTTATCCTAACTCTATCAGAAGTTACTCTAACTCTATCAGAAGTTATCCTAACTCTATCAGAAGTTATCCTAACTCTATCAGAAGTTATCCTAACTCTATCAGAAGTTATCCTAACTCTATCAAAAGTTACCCTAACTCTATCAGAAGTTATCCTAACTCTATCAGAAGTTATCCTAACTCTATCAGAAGTTATTCTAACTCTATCAGAAGTTATCCTAACTCTATCAGAAGTTATCCTAACTCTATTGGAAGTTACCCTAACTCTATCAAAAGTTATCCTAACTCTATCAGAAGTTACCCTAACTCTATCAGAAGTTATCCAAATTCAGCTAGAAGCTATTCCCACTCTATTAGAAGCTGTCTCCACTTTACCAGAAGCTGTCTCCACTTTACCAGAAGCTATCCACACTCTATCAAAAGATAATCCTAACTCTACTAGAAGTTATCAGCACTCTATAAAAAGCCTGAAGATTGTTGACCCCACACACAGCCACATATTTAGACATGTCAGACCAGAAGCCAAGCTTGCATTCTATGTTCTCTACAATTTGAGGATGAAGAAAAAAAAAATAACTAGGCAAAGTAATTATCGCTACAGTTAGGGGTTGGTTATTTAACTGTTAGTGGTAATACATAAGTGGTGGTTGGCAATACTTAGTTGGTGGTCAGTAGAAATTAATCTTTTTTTTCTAAAAAACAATGTTTAGCTTGAGAATGGAGGTGGCAGCAGTCACTGTTGCCTTCCACTGGCTGGAGAATCAGCTGTACACACGTCCTAACTGTAAATGACTCACAGAGCATGTTGAGAAAGGTGGAGATAAACATGCTCCATGCAGAGTGGCAAGCATCACTTCAAAGGTCTTGGGTAGTTAGCGTTCTTTGGATATTTTCTCCAGGGTATGCCAATGTGTTGGGAAACGAGCAGACAGAAAGACTGGCCGGTTCTGCAACTCACCTGGCGGTGAATTGATGTATGACAAGCAAGATGTTGTGAGGGCCCTTTGGAAGCACGTGAACAGTGCAGAGACACAAATAGATCATTACGCTCCGAGGAGAATGGCGCTGCGAGGAGTTAACAGAGGATCTAGACGGCTCTTAATACTCAATGGAAAGGTGAGACGTATATACAGTTACTGCTGCTATCGGAACCAGAACTCTTCGCTTGCTGCTGAAGATGGGGATAAAGCACTTATTGGAGTGTCCAGATTGCTGTGATGTCGATTCTTAGTTTAACATTCAACTTGTGGTTTGTAATACTTAAATAGTTTGTAATAGCTGATTGGTGGTTGACAACAGACAATCACAGCTAATGGTTGATAATATGAAATAAATGGTTGGCAATGCTTAACTGATGGTGAAAAATTAAGATAATAGTGGCTAGTGGTAGGAAAAACTTAATTAATGGTTGACAGTACTTAATCACTGAGAGCAATACCTAATATGTGACTGTCAATAAATTAATTTACTTAATGAGTAATTGTCAATACTTAATTTGAGGATGGTAATAATCTTCTAGGGACTGACACCAATGAAAGCTAGTCGCTGACAATATATAATCACTGCAAGTGGGTGGTATTAAACAATCACAGACAGGTTGGCAATACATCATTATAGCTAGCGGTTGGCAGTACATACCCAGAGCAAGTGGTTGACAGAACAAAGTAACAGCCAGTGGATGGCAACACATAATCAAAGCTAGCGGTTGGCAGTACATAGCCAGAGCAAGTGGTTGACAGAACAAAGTCACAGCCAGTGGATGGCAACACATAATCAAAGCTAGCGGTTGGTGATATTTAATCCCAACAAATGGGTGGCAAAATGTAGTCATAACTAGTTTTAAGGCTTCCTCGTATATTATGTATGTACCGTACATTGCTGTGTACAAGTCAACATCGTGTACGAGTCGACCTCAAGATTTGTAGCTGAAAATTCTGAGCTAGACCTACACATACGTAGACACATTCTACACCCGCCGTTAAAGCCAACCTCGTTTTGGAAAGATTTTTAATGTTTGAAAACTTGACTTATTGACTGCAATTTATAATTAATCCAGTTTATGTTGAGGAACCTCCGGCTGAGGTGTTAGAATGCTGAGCACTCATTTGGAAGACATAGGTTCAAATCATCACATTTCATTTTTTCTGTTAGAACACAAAAATTTAAAAAAACTTTAGCATGAACAATTCGTGGCAACCACACTAGCAATGCAGGCCTAAATCCCCAGGAGTATGAAGTACCCCCACCCCCTCCAACAAATAGTAAATACAGTAAATCACTCTTTTGGTGGATATAATAGCAGAATAAGAAATAAACGACCTTGTTCCACGCCTTGAAACATTTTGGGCACATAGGGCTGGACCTATATTTTAAGACCAATTGGCACTCCATGGGTGATGTGGTCAATATCATGCCGGCCGCCTTTACTTCCCAGGACTATATCTGGTACCCATTTGAGTTTAGGTCAACCCAGGAGCGGAGCCGCGGTATTTAACACACACACACACACACAAAGACATGAATACCAAGGATAGAGAAGCAGCAGACATCAACAGAGATCACTTGTGAACGCCTTATGCGTCAACTGTGACAGGAAAAGCAGATACAGACAGTAAAAAATTTTTAGAAATTTTTTTTACATTTACGTCAGAGTGACTGAATGAACAAGATTCTCCACATATTATTTAAAAAAAAAATAAAGGCAATCTTATTATAATATAGTAAAATATGAAGGCAAGAAGCGACCAAAAAACAAGTCAGATCAGTTATGTGTTAATATGCACCATGTTCATTAACATAAAACTCTTACATTACTATGACAGGAGATGTTACAGAAATGTTTCCCCGTTTTAATTTTGAACAAAGAAGACACACACAGCAGAATACATGGTATATGTCAATGTGGGGAGCCACTGCGGTGTGGTAGCTAGACACTCGCCTGCAGATCCAAAGGTCAAGAGGTGAAATCCAAACTGTGTTGGATGTTTAAAAAAAAATGACTTTGGCTCCCAGCTTTAAATAGGCACTAAGTTAAAACAAGTCCTGGGAAGTAAAGCCAGCCTGTGTGATGCTGATCACATCACCCACTAAGTGCCGATTGGTCTATGAAATACAGGTTTTGCCCTATATGCCCAATACACCTGAAGGCGTGGAAAATGGTTCTATTTAATATTTTTTCCACATCCTGTCAAGTGCAACTGTTACTCTAATTTGCACCTGACCAGATACAGAAAAATATACAAGGTAATAAATTGTGCATTGTACTGTTTGTGTCGTCTTGTTCACATTTGTTCTACTGCTTACAACACGTGACTTTCGATGCAGCAACAAGATGGGTGTTAGAAGCCAACGTGCAAAATAAATACAAAAGATAATGCCGAAGATAAATACAAAGCCTAATATGCGGCAAGCAGAACTCTCAACCAGACTGAGGCAGATACGAGCAACAAGTGTGTACTTACAAAAGCTGTTCTAAATGTGTCGCTTTGGTACATTGTGGACAGCTTCACATGGTCAAGGAGAAGGAGAATATTCAGTTAAACATTGCCAGGTGGCATTATACCCCAGTACCCAGTCAAACAGGGGTACCAGGTAATATCCTGGAAGGTTTGTTGTTGTTTATTCAACGGATCAACAACACTGCAGGAGGGTAGTAACCCATAAGTGCTCTCTTCTACTGCTAACTCAAGCTTGAGTCCGAAGAAACGTGGTGCGGTTCACGAACTCTGTAGCACCAGCAAGGATCCTGAAATACTTTCAGGTAAATTTTTTTAAACTCACAATTTTTTGGCTCGGGCAGCGCCGTTAGGCTACTCTTTTCGATTTCCAACTGTCAAGGGATTTTTTTACGTGTGCAACAACACCACCCTCGTCCAGTCTCACTACCCAGATATCAGGGGAAATTACTAGGAGTCCAAGTGAAAAAATCCCAGCTTTTATCATCTCTTCCTAAATTCATCCTATTCCATGTTCAACATTTTCCTAAGGCATTTGTTTTCCCATATATTTAACTGTTGTTCTCTGTTTTTAGTGGTTCCTGGACAGCTACAATGCATGATTTTTAAAAAGCTGACCTGGACTCAAAGGTTGGCCCAGCCTTTTAAAAAGTTCTTGAGGGTAAAGGCAGCCAGCATGAGTATTTGCTCATACAACCACGGAGAGTCGATTCATTCAGACAAAACTTGAAGGTATCATTAATTCTCTCTTATCACAACTTGTCACATGTATAAGCAATATAAACAAATGTGATTTAGTACTTATGAATACATGGGCCTCTAACGCTTTTATTAGTTGTGATAAAAAATTGTAGATGCCTTTTGTATAGATAATTAGTTAAATTTATGTGCCCATTAAACTAGTCTGTTCCAAAAGTTGTACCCTCAAATGTTATCAAATATCTCAAAAACTCCTGTATAGATCAAACAACAATTTGCGGTTTACTGTCTGTCATATTTCCCTGTATCTCATCAGGTGCACCCTACAGTAGAAATTGGTTGAAATGAAGCAAAGAAATGAATTCTTCCAACTTCTTCAGCATTCCGAGCTCTTAAGGTTCACTGCTGCAGATATCACCAGCCTCCACTCATTTCCGTGTCTGGTCCTTTCTTTCCAGTTGGTGAGCCCAAATTTTTGTAGGTCTGCCTGTATATTATCTCTCCATCGTACATTGTAAAATACTGAAAGAAAGCCCACCGACCCAGCTTGATCCCGGTGTTGTATTCTCTTACACACAACACAGATCTGATGTACAGGGGAACCTTCACACAACACAGATCTGATGTACAGGGGAAACTTCACACAACACAAATCTGATGTACAGGGGAACCTTCGCACAACACAGATCTGATGTACAGGGGAACCTTCACACAACACAAATCTGATGTACAGGGAACCTTCACATAACACAGATCTGACGCACAGGGGAACCTTCACATAACACAGATCTGATGTACAGGGAACCTTCGCACAACACAGATCTGATGTACAGGGAACCTTCACACAAAATAGATCTGATGTACAGGGGAACCTTCACACAACACAGATCTGATGTACAGGGAACCTTCGCACAACACAGATCTGATGTACAGGGAACCTTCACACAACACAGATCTGATGTACAGGGAACCTTCACACAACACAGATCTGATGTACAGGGAACCTTCACACAACACAGATCTGATGTACAGGGAACCTTCGCACAACACAGATCTGATGTACAGGGAACCTTCACACAACACAGATCTGATGTACAGGGGAACCTTCACACAAAATAGATCTGATGTACAGGGGAACTTTCACACAACACAGATCTGATGTACAAGGGAACTTTCACACAACATAGATCTGATGTACAGGGGAACCTTCACATAACACAGATCTGATGTACAGGGAACCTTCGCACAACACAGATCTGATGTACAGGGAACCTTCACATAACACAGATCTGATGTACAGGGGAACCTTACCTGAAATCCACCAGAGAAAGATTGCAGCCTGTCGCCACCACTGAATGTATTTTGGTTGAGCCAAAACTCTGTTATAATCTGTTGATTCATCAATACATGCATATTTACAAATGTAGCCCAGAGTTGTTCCAATGACCGGGTTCCAGGAATGTCTGCAGCAGCTGTACATTAAATGAGCAATGGCAATGCGTATCTATGAGGGATAGTCAAAAAGTAATGCCTCCTATTTTTTTTTATCTCTGTAAATACTGTACTGGTGATCATTTGGCAAATTTAGCAGGATTGCTCAAACACTCTTCTGCACCATCTAGCATTACCAACCTGTTTCAGTAACATGTGGTGCCACTGTAACAGTTTAAAAAATGGCTTCAACAAATGTTTGGTTAAAACAATGTAACTTCATAGAATTTCTCAAAGCTGAAGGCGAGAACCCAATTTGCATCCATGAAAATCGGAAAAATATTTATGGTTATTCAACAGTGGATGTTAGCATGATCCAACACTGGGCTCATGGCTGTGACAAAGCTGAAGGCGAGAACCCAATTTACATCCATGAAAATCGGAAAAATGTTTATGGTTATTCAACAGTGAATGTTAGCATGATCCAACGCTGGGCTCATGGCTGTGACAAAGCTGAAGGCGAGAACCCAATTTACATCCATGAAAATCGGAAAAATGTTTATGGTTATTCAACAGTGAATGTTAGCATGATCCAACGCTGGGCTCATGGCTGTGACAAAGCTGAAGGCGAGAACCCAATTTACATCCATGAAAATCGGAAAAATGTTTATGGTTATTCAACAGTGAATGTTAGCATGATCCGACGCTGGGTTTATAGCTGTAACAATGCTGAAGTAGGTCAATCCTCAATGGCTAACACAAAGTTTACTGGCAGCCCGCCTACTGCAGTGAACTCCACATAACATTCATTGAGCTGATGTCATCATGACCACAACAACATCGTGATTAATTTAGAGATTTCCTTCTAAGTCAGAATGCATCTCCCTGAGAGGCAAGGAACCAACAGCCTGCACACAAAAAAGTTGCCTCTACAAAAAAGATGTGCATGTGAAACTCAAGATCTGGAACCAAAGAACACAAATGGATGGACAACCAGAACTTTCCGCCCAAGTTCACAGCCGTTGAACGCAAAAAAGAGGAGACTGTTTTGTAATATGCATCTCGCATACGTATACAAAAACCTGTAGAAAGAGAACAACTAAAACAATAACTAAAAACATTCATTAACTGGTGCCTGAGCAGAAGAGAACCGTATGGCAGAATTATCATTGTAGAGCTCAAGTAAAGAACTACACACATGTCAGTGAATTATGAAGTGAGGAAGAGACATTGATGCTAGATAAGACAACACCAAGAGTGAGGCGGCCATGATGGCGGCAGCAGCAGTTGGAAAAAGACAAACAAGTAAAGACCATGACCGAAATCCTTCAAGCAATGCTGCTCAAATTACAAGCACAAACTCCATGAGAACCTTCCTCCATGAGAACCTTCCTCCATGAGAACCTTCCTCCATGAGAACCTTCCTCCATGAGAACCTTCCTCCATGAGAACCTTCCTCCATGAGAACCTTCCCTGCTTAGGCTGGTCTTATGAGTCCCCTTCTTCTTCTTTCATCATCTCACTGTTACCAGGTTGTAGCCCAGTGTCATGGTTTTGTCATCTCACTGTTACCTGGTTGTAGCCCAGTGTCATGGTTTTGTCATCTCACTGTTACCTGGTTGTAGCCCAGTGTCATGGTTTTGTCATCTCACTGATACAAGGTTGTAGCCCAGTGTCATGGTTTTGTCATCTCACTGTTACCAGGTTGTAGCCCAGTGTCATGGTTTTGTCATCTCACTGTTACCTGGTTGTAGCCCAGTGTCATGGTTTTGTCATCTCACTGTTACCTGGTTGTAGCCCAGTGTCATGGTTTTGTCATCTCACTGTTACCTGGTTGTAGCCCAGTGTCATGGTTTTGTCATCTCACTGTTACCTGGTTGTAGCCCAGTGTCATGGTTTTGTCATCTCACTGTTACCTGGTTGTAGCCCAGTGTCATGGTTTTGTCATCTCACTGTTACCTGGTTGTAGCCCAGTGTCATGGTTTTGTCATCTCACTGTTACCTGGTTGTAGCCCAGTGTCATGGTTTTGTCATCTCACTGTTACCTGGTTGTAGCCCAGTGTCATGGTTTTGTCATCTCACTGATACAAGGTTGTAGCCCAGTGTCATGGTTTTGTCATCTCACTGTTACCAGGTTGTAGCCCAGTGTCATGGTTTTGTCATCTCACTGTTACCTGGTTGTAGCCCAGTGTCATGGTTTTGTCATCTCACTGTTACCTGGTTGTAGCCCAGTGTCATGGTTTTGTCATCTCACTGTTACCAGGTTGTAGCCCAGTGTCATGGTTTTTGTCATCTCACTGTTTACCTGGTTGTAGCCCAGTGTCATGGTTTTGTCATCTCACTGTTACCTGGTTGTAGCCCAGTGTCATGGTTTTGTCATCTCACTGATACAAGGTTGTAGCCCAGTGTCATGGTTTTGTCATCTCACTGATACAAGGTTGTAGCCCAGTGTCATGGTTTTGTCATCTCACTGATACAAGGTTGTAGCCCAGTGTCATGGTTTTGTCATCTCACTGTTACCTGGTTGTAGCCCAGTGTCATGGTTTTGTCATCTCACTGTTACCTGGTTGTAGCCCAGTGTCATGGTTTTGTCATCTCACTGATACCAGGTTGTAGCCCAGTGTCATGGTTTTGTCATCTCACTGTTACCAGGTTGTAGCCCAGTGTCATTCACTGTTACCAGGTTGTAGCCCAGTGTCATGGTTTTGTCATCTCACTGTTACCAGGTTGTAGCCCAGTGTCATGGTTTTGTCATCTCACTGTTACCAGGTTGTAGCCCAATGTCATGGTTTTGTCATCTCACTGATACCAGGTTGTAGCCCAGTGTCATGGTTTTGTCATCTCACTTATACCAGGTTGTAGCCCAGTGTCATGGTTTTGTCATCTCACTTATACCAGGTTGTTGCCCAGTGTCATGGTTTTGTCATCTCACTGTTACCAGGTTGTAGCCCAGTGTCATGGTTTTGTCATCTCACTGTTACCAGGTTGAAGCCCAGTGTCGTGGTTTTGTCATCTCACTGATACCAGGTTGTAGCCCAGTGTCATGGTTTTGTCATCTCACTGTTACAAGGTTGTAGCCCAGTGTTGTGGTTTTGTCGTCTCACTGATACCAGGTTTTAGCCCAGTGTCTTGGTTTTGTCATCTCACTTATATCAAGTTGTAGCCGAGTGTCGTGGTTTTGTCATTTCACTTATATCAGGTTGTAGCCCAGTGTCATGGTTTTGTCATCTCACTGTTACCAGGTTGTAGCCCAGTGTCGTGGTTTTGTCATCTCACTGATACCAGGTTGTAGTCCAGTGTCATGGTTTTGTCATCTCACTTATACCAGGTTGTAGCCCAGTGTCATGGTTTTGTCGTCTCACTGATACCATGTTGAAGCTCTGTGTCTTGGTTTTGCCGTCTCACTGATACCAGGTTGTAGCCCTGTGTCATGATTTTTTTCATCTCACTGATATGAAGTTGTAGCCCTGTGTCATGGTCTTGTCATTTCACTGATACAAGGTTGTAGCCCAGTGTCATGGTTTTGTCATCTCACTGATACAAGGTTGTAGCCCAGTGTCATGGTTTTGTCATCTCACTGATACAAGGTTGTAGCCCAGTGTCATGGTTTTGTCATCTCACTGATACAAGGTTGTAGCCCAGTGTCATGGTTTTGTCATCTCACTGATACAAGGTTGTAGCCCAGTGTCATGGTTTTGTCATCTCACTGATACAAGGTTGTAGCCCAGTGTCATGGTTTTTGTCATCTCACTGATACAAGGTTGTAGCCCAGTGTCATGGTTTTGTCATCTCACTGATACAAGGTTGTAGCCCAGTGTCATGGTTTTGTCATCTCACTGATACAAGGTTGTAGCCCAGTGTCATGGTTTTGTCATCTCACTGATACAAGGTTGTAGCCCAGTGTCATGGTTTTGTCATCTCACTGATACAAGGTTGTAGCCCAGTGTCATGGTTTTGTCATCTCACTGATACAAGGTTGTAGCCCAGTGTCATGGTTTTGTCATCTCACTGATACAAGGTTGTAGCCCAGTGTCATGGTTTTGTCATCTCACTGATACAAGGTTGTAGCCCAGTGTCATGGTTTTGTCATCTCACTGATACAAGGTTGTAGCCCAGTGTCATGGTTTTGTCATCTCACTGATACAAGGTTGTAGCCCAGTGTCATGGTTTTCTGTATTTGTCTTGCACTTCTTGGGTGGCCTAGGTGATGGGTTTGTTCATTGGTTTACAGGTTTCTGCTATACCATTTATCCATCTCTGTCTTGGTCTTTCTCTGGCCTTCCTACCAGATGTTCTGCTATAAAAAGTCTTACACGGCATTTGGTCTGGCTGCATTCTCACTAGATGGCCTGACAATTGCATTCTTTGTCTGTCAAAATAATACAGTCACCGGATAAGCTTTTCGGGTCGCTGAGTAAACTACAAAAGACAGTGAAGTTCACACTAGAGACAATAGTGCAGATACAGAAAATCTATTTCAGGGAAATGAAAGAAGATGAAGAAGAAGAAATATAACCCAAACATGGTCTTATTCCTACTTTCTCTCTAATGCTGGTATTTGTAACCCTACATACCCATAAATCGGCATCTGTTGTGAAAGGTCTGCTTGTTCCGTGCCCTCTTCTTGTTCACCGGCCGTAAACTCTGGAGGAAAATTTCTGGTTGTCCCCCACTTCTGGATTTTGGTCTTATTATAGAACTTGAATTTAGCTTACAAATTTGTTTTAAAGATCTGACCTATTTGAGTGCAGACTGTTGGTTCCTCGTCTCTCAGGCAAATGCCCTCTAATTTTAAACACAATTCTAATTAGTTGATCTGTACACCATGCTCATAAGGGCAGTCTATTCCTCCCCCCCCCCCCCCCCAAGAACCCATAAGGGAATAATCATAGCGTATTTCCCTAAGTATAAGACAATTCCATGTAAAAGACTCACCTTGCTTATGGAATCGGCAATTT